ATGGTTGTGATCATGGCGTTTAGGGTTCAACGGCCCGTCTGAGTGACCTGAGCTTCGTTGGTGTTATATGTGCTGAAAATTAACATATAGATGCACAAGTTTAGTTCAGCAGAGGGGAGACTCTTCTCCAGACAATTGATCGGCTGATGGCAGCTCATTGAATTAAATTTTTAAGCATCCAATCAATATCTGGAGCTCATTAAGCTCAAATTTCTGTATCAGGAGCTCCAGTATCTGAATCAAGTAGTTTGTGAAAAATCAGGTGTCAAAGTTTGTTGGGGAGTTGTTTTACACATTTATCAAAATAAATTGAAAGTTTTATTTTCTTTTTATTTGACCACTGATTAATTAAGTAATTTTCAAATTCAAGTCCTTGCTCTGTCTCTGTCTGTCTGTCCAGCCGTCGTCGTGGTGATGAGCACTAATGAGTGTTTTGGTTGCGGCCGCAGTGGCCACTGGGTGAAGAACTGTCCGAGCGCTGGCCGAGGACGAGGGAAAGGTCGCGGCAGAGGCAAAGGTGGCTTTTACTCAAAAACATTTATAATATACACTCACTGAGCACTTTATTAGGAACACTTGTGCACCTGCTTGTTTGTGCAATCGGCCAATCATGTGGCAGCAGTGCACTGCATAAAGTCCTTCATTTAATGTTCACATCAAACATCTCTCAGTGACTCTGACTTTGGCATGATTGTTGGTGTCAGACCAGCTGGTATGAGTGTTTCTGAAACTGCTGAAACCGCTGGGATTTTCACACACAACAGTCTCTAGAGATTTTACTCAGAAAGGAGTGAAAACAGAAAACATCCAGTGAACAGCAGCTCTGTGTTGATGAGAGAGGTCAGAGGAGAATGGTCAGACTGGTTGGAGCTGACAGAACAGCTACTGTAACTCAGATAACCACTCTTTGCAACTGTGGTGAGCAGAAAACACATTATTAATCCAAGCAGGTAATCCTTTAACACTGGTGACACTGAAACAAAAGTGTCCACTGCACAATAATTCTACTGAAGGTATTAATCCATCAACTATAAATAAATAATCCTATTGTCTGGAAGAAAAACAGTCCATCAGTTTTAATCAAATCATTTGCTTTCAGCCTCTCTGAGGCAGAGCAAGGAGAGAAGTTATATTAAAAGTCTTTACTTAGTTAGTGTATTGATTAAAACACTGACCAGTTAGACCTCACACAGTCAGGGTTGACATACTATTGCTATTTTCACCCTGATGTAAAACTGTAGGGTCGACATTTTGACCAAAACACTAAATAAATCATTTGTTCCATTTGTGCGCCATTAAAGTTTTTAGTCTGTTTACAGTGCTTTTGTGCTAATTACTCTTATTGTAGCATAAAAACAGCTGTATGGGTGTACAGGGCCTTTAATTTAATATAATGGGAAACTGTGTCCAGACTTTTGTACTGTATATTGGTATGTTTCATGTGCAAAATTATTATTGTGTGTGTGTGTGTGTGTGTGTGTGTGTGTGTGTGTGTGTGTGTGCGCGCTTTTGTTTTTTTCCCAAGCTTGAGAACATTTTAGATGTAATGTTTTGTATATATCACCTAGCATTTATCATTTGAGATGTCCTGAGGGTCACATGTTGTTGTTGTTGACGTGTTGTGTTTCAGATCTGTTCTGTTATCGCTGTGGGGAGCTCGGACACGTCGCCAGAGACTGTGAGAGGACTGAGGATGGTGAGGGCACACCTGCACGCAGAGTATAGTACCTACCTGCTGTCTCAGTCAAATACAGGTGTCCGCTGGAAAATCACTGAGCCGTTTAGATTGTGAGTTAACAGCCAAACATCCTCATACTGTTTCTCTGAAAAGATCTTTACAGACATGAATCTCTACATTTTCAGACCAGTTAAAAGAGGACTCCGCAGATTCATCATTTCAGTCCTATTACACAGTCAGGCTCACAGTGGACGGATTAAAAGAAGGATGAAAATCAATGCAGCACAACCAGACACATAAAGGTTTATGCTACCATTTTCACATACAGCATGCTGTAGTACTCCACACAACGGTGAAAACACACTGAGGTGGGAAATCTCTCCTTTATGAACTGAAAAGTATTTTCCTTTTTTAAATCAATTCAAAACATTTTAAAAATCTGAGTTTCTCTAAACTCAAAATTTTAACCAGGGACAAGAACTTTATTAACCAGGTACAAGCACTTCACTGATTTGTAACATGGGACAAACAGGACCAACAAGTTAGTAGCTGCAGGTCAGAGATTTTGTGGGTAACCCTGAGTTGTGAAATTCTCCTGTAGGTCTGGATTTAGTTAAACCTGGTCTCAGGATGAGGATATGCCACTTAGACCTGGACTAAAGGTGGTTTGAGGTTTTAACTAAGTATAGTGTGAAAACTCCCAGTTAGGCAGGGCAGGTTTATTTGCCCAGTACAAGTTAACTGTAAAGTGTTTTACATAACCCAAAATGAATTAAGACAAGATATAAAAGAAATGATAAATCTGTATAAATCTGTGAGTTGTGTGCATAATTATGGTCCTTATTTAGTTGTTTTCTGTAATCTGAGCTAGTGGAAGCATGTAGATGTTGAACAGAAGAGGTCCGAGGATGGAGCCTTGGGGAACTCTATGTCATATTTGTACGCTCAGATGTGTAATTACGGATCAACACAAAGTAGTCCCTGCCCTGAAGTAAGCTTTGATATTTATCTTAAAAGCTGCATTAAGCGTTTTTAGCCAACCAGAATTGAGGACCAAGCGTTTAGTATTTAACACACTTGACCCTGAGCCTGTTGTTGTCACTGCAGCCTGCTATAACTGCGGCAGAGGAGGACACATCTCCAGAGACTGCAAGGAGCCGAAGAAAGAGCGAGAGCAGCTTTGCTACAACTGTGGGAAGGCCGGACACATGGCACGGGACTGCAACCATGCTCACGAGCAGAAGTGCTACTCCTGTGGTGGCTTTGGACACATCCAGAAGTGCTGCGAGAAGGTCAAATGCTACAGGTAAACTGATGCTACAGGTTAACTACCTCCTCCAGGTAAACAAAAGCAGACTGGTTTGGCTTTTAGTTTAGTTTGGTGTTTGTTGTATCTGCTAGTTCACCAGTGTTACCAGTCTAACCACTGAAACCATGTGTAGCCTGTCTAATAAGCACGTGTTTGCTGCAGGTGTGGGGAAATCGGCCATGTTGCAGTGCACTGCAGTAAGGCGTCGGAGTTGAACTGCTATAACTGTGGGAAGTCAGGTCACCTGGCCAAGGAGTGCACAATTGAAGCCACTGCCTAGGTGTCGCAGCCTTACCACCTCGCTCTCTTTCATCTTTTCTTTCTCTTTATTCATTCCCTCTGATCCTCCTCTTCTCAATGGTCCAGAGGCCTGTCAGTCAGCCTCACAGCAGCCAGTCAGAGCAGGCGGAGGGAGGAGGAGGGGTGGACACTAAAAAACAAGTTTCTTCTGCATTTCTAAAAGAACAAACAGAATCTGTGTTTTTAGTTTGGTAGCGGTGTCATGACGTACAAAGCTTTGTTTAAGAATACTTTCTGCCCAGCCGATTGGCTGAGAGAGTAGAGCGATTTAAGAAAAAAAAAGAAAAGAAAAAAAAAAGTTAAGCCCCTCCTCTTAGTCCTAAAGTGGGTGGGACTATAATGGAGGGAAAAATATGTGATGGAAGTTTTTACCTTCCAACATTAACTTTATTTTCTATTTTCAGACAAAATCAAATTTGTCTGAAAGAAAAGTGATTGGTCCCGCCTCCAGCAAACAGCCAATCACCTCACACGATGAACAAACCAATCAGAGCTGGCCACAGCAGATGACAAAAGGAACATTAATTGCTCATGTTTTCAAGGTGCGTTTGGTTGCTGTTTGGACCAAATGGAGCAATGCACTGACAGACAAAAACTAATCATAACAATAATAATAATAATGGTAAAATTCATTTTAAAAAACAACAATTTTAAGTTTGGGGAGAGGAGAATGTTTTCACAAAAAAAAAAAAAAATCCAAATGTTATTTTTGTACAATATATCACTTAGAGCTACTGTAAAAATGTCATTTGGTTGTACTGCAGACTGTAAGTTTAACCTGACAATAAAAACATGGAGGAGGAGGAAGAGGATGGAGCCAAGACAAACTTCTGTCTGGTCTGATTATTTCACAACGACAACACAAATATAAAAGAAAAGTGCAGTAAGGCTTTTTTCAATAGGTCAGTCATTTAAAAAATAATTACATAGATATTTTCTCGGAAAGAACTATGAAATGTATGGCGGCTTGTTTCTGCCAAAAATGAAGGAAAAGAGCTTAAGACATAAAAGGCATGATGATATACAAGAAACATAAGAGCATATGAAAAGACAAATAGGATTTAAAAGGAAAAACTTGATGAGAAGTTATGCATAATATATTTAAGCAATGTCACACGAGAGGAAGTGATATACTGAATATCAGCGCGGCTGTGATTTGGTCATAGGTTCCGAGGTCGCAGGCCGTGCTGATATTCAGTATTTCATAATTTATTTGGCAACACCAACACAAATAGTTCTGCGACTGGACTGTTGCTAAACACATTTTCCTGACCTGCACAGTGCACACTAGCTTGCTACTTTGTCTACACGTTACCTCAGCTGTGCGCTTAAATATCCAGGTTTCTTCATTTTTCTGGAAATATATTCATATTTGCAAAGTTTGTTACAATCTAAGATAGATAACGACCGTTAATGTAACGCTGATTAATGGTTAATAGACACCTGTGAAGCGGAGTGATACTTACAGTAAAAGTCCCAGTGCCGTTGTACTCTATATCAGCAATCATGGAATGCCTCTCGTCCAATCAAATTACTTGGTCAGAACTAGCTGTTGGATATGATATGATATGATATGATATGATATGATATATGATATATGATATATGATATATGATATATGATGACTCCTGACTCCACTGGTGGGAGACAGTACAGCAACAACTACCCAGTCGTTCCGAGACCGGAAACAGAAGAAGAAGAAACTAGTGGCGGACTTCCTGTCAGTGTCGGCGTGTGTTGATCGTTTGAGGCTGAAGTTTGATCAGTTTTCCTCCGGATTCGTGATTAAAACAACACGCAGCAGCAGATATGGTGAGCACCGGAGCACAGCTTCAGTCTGACTCATCTTTTCATTTACCTTTTTATTATTTATCTCGGATACACAAACGGTTAGCATGCTAGCCTGTTAGCATCAGCGGTTGTTTCAGTGGATATTCCGCAGATTAAAAGTTTCAGCTTCATCGAAACTTAAACTCTATAATAAAATGACAGTTTTTTGAACGGAATCTGATGTGGGAGCTGTCGTGTGCCTGTCTCAGTTAGTGCGGATCAGTTAAATATGAATTAGCCTCCAGCTCAGATGCTCAAGTAATCGTGTTAGTGATGTATCGAATTTAATTATTTTCAACCTACAAATTCACATTATGAGAAAAGTTAAAAGTTAGACAGATATCAAAACAATCCAGACAGACTCATGGCCAAGAAAAAAAAAAGCTCTGAGCATAGATTGGAGGAAGTCTCAAGTTTTAACTTTCAAATTTCAAGCAAGTCCCAAGTTACTGAGGTGAGAATCAAGTAAGACGAGTCAATTCATTGCTCAGGTCAAGCGAGTCCCGATCCACCCCAGTTTCCACATTAAATAATTTTAAAGAGAGTGGCCATGAAATGTTGAGTTTCATGCTCAACATTAATGAAAACATTAATGGAAACGCCTTCACTTTATTATAGTGATATCTGACATTTTTTGTCAATGTAGAGCCTGGATCTGTGACTGTAAGTCACCCACTGACCGATGATCCTGCTCAACACCCACTTAATTACCTTTCATATTATTTTTACTCCTACTACACATCTCTATGTCTATATTACTATGCATGCATTGCACTAGTAATCACTCAATCCTGTTTCAAAATCAAAACGTATCTTCTCAATATCTGGAGTTAAGTCTGAATAAAATACCAAGTCAACGTAAAGACTTTCATCAGTGTTAGTCAAGCAAGTCTCAAGTCCTCAAATTTGCGACTGGAGTCAAATCATGTGATGGGATCATATTGAAATTTGCATATTATTCAGTCATTGTGAGCCTGCTACATGACAGTGAGTCCAGCCATGCCCCGATCATTGGTGCACCTGATGTCATGAATCTTTCTTGAAGTTAAACTTATCTAAGACAAAGGATATAATCATCATGCTTCAAGCTATGAAACTACGATCATTAGAAAGCTACAAGTATCTCAGGACAGTCGAAGACCCTAAATTGACCTTTGAGAAAAGTTGTGAGGCCATGTGCAAAAAGGGCAACCAGCATTTGTTATGTCTCAGAAATCCAGCCGTGATAAACCATGACAATCCTCTGTTATCTGGCTTTTATTGAATCAGTCTGCAGGTACAAATACTTTTGCACCTGCAGCAATTGCAATAATAAACAAACTTAGTATGAGATGATGTATTCACCCATGTGTGGCAGTTTGAGCTTTGAATGCACAACAGATTTACTCTTGGGTACTAATAAAGAAATCTTAATTCATATAAACATTCAGTTTAATTCACTTTATTTCAGACATCATAGTGCACATTTGTACTGAAATAGAAGGTATTATGAGATAAAATGCATGAAATGTGTTATTGGTTATTATTTTTTATTATTTTCAGTGATTGTGTCCTAACTGTTTGTCTTTGTTTCTGCAGGCGAGGAACGCTGAGAAGGCCATGTAAGTAGAGAAGTACACCTGAAGCAGTTTACCTGTCGTATCAGCTTGTTATTAACAGTTGGAGGTTGTTTAGCTGTCAGTCTAATACTTTGCACCAGTTTGTATTGAAGAAACCAGAAAGCAGCCAGATCCCACTTTATTCTTTATTTAGAGTCTTTAAATGAGGAGCAGAACGAGGACGATGAGTTTATTATGATGAAGTGATCATTCATGTGTTCTGTGTTAATTCAGCTACATTCAGTTATGAACAATGTGACTGTGTTACACGGCCGGAGAAAATAAAACTGAATAGCTGAAGACCATCACACATGATGGCAGCTCATTGCAGTAAACAGGGATTTTGAGTGTCGTATTTTAGCTGTTAGCTGTTAGCTCACATTAATGTCAATTCATTGTGGATTAATCTGCTGATTTTCTCGATTGGTGGGTCAATCATGTTATCTATTTAACATAAGAAAACAGTGAAAATGTGGTTCTACTGGTTCCACTGTGCCCTTGTCATATATGCTTGTTAAGATGGGATGAATATTTTTCACAACTTTCTCACATTTTATTGATGATTTATCGATTGATAAAGAACATAATTGACAGATTAATTGATAATATAAATAGTTGTTAGTTGCAGCCCTTATAATAAAATATCCATCTGTCTATCTACTGTGGTTCTCCTGTTGGGTTCTCCTGTCCTTTAACTGTGTCCCTCTGCTCTGTCTCTCAGGACGGCTCTGGCTCGGTTCAGACAGGCTCAGCTGGAGGAGGGAAAAGTCAAGGTGAGATTCTACTGTGTTCTACTCTCTCTGACCTGTCTCTCTGACCTGTCTCCCTCTCTCTGACCTGTCTCTCTGTCTCTCTCTGACCCGTCTCTCTGACCTGTCTCTCTGTCTCTCTCTGACCTGTCTCCCTCTCTCTGACCCGTCTCTCTGACCTGTCTCCCTCTCTCTGACCTGTCTCCCTCTCTCTGACCTGTCTCTCTGTCTCTCTCTGACCCGTCTCTCTGACCTGTCTCCCTCTCTCTGTAGGAGAGGAGACCTTTTCTGGCGTCAGAGTGCAGTGAACTTCCTAAAGCCGAGAAATGGAGACGACAGGTACGTACCATATACTACATATGATAGTATTGACTGTAGTACTGGGAGTAGTATTGATGGTAGTACATACTGCAATACTGATTGTAGTATTAGCCTCAGTTCCACACTTTTTGGTTCTGTCTCCAAAAACTAAAGTACTCATGATCCTCAGCTTTTTTTTTTCTGTATTACAGCTGCTGATTGTTTAATCAGGTTTCTTCAAAATAGACAGAGCAGGGACGAAGCTCTGTGATTGGCTATTTGTTGGTGAAATTTTGCTGATTTGTAGTTTTTAGCTTCACCTGAAGTTTTCTGACTCAGTTGAGGTTTTTTTTTTTTTTTAACTTGCTTTTTTCCTTACTTTTTTACCTGCAGTTAAAACCATGACTTTTACTGCTGGAACACTTCAGTACTCGCTGTACTGTAGTAGTTCTCAGTGTACTGTAGTAATACTCATATATCTGTGTAATGTGTGTGTGTGTGTTTCAGATCATCAGTGAGATCTCAAAGAAAGTAGCACAGATCCAGAACGGTGAGTTAAAACCGGACCATCACAGGTAGATCTGACCTGCTGCTCCATGTTACAGAGACTTTAACACTGAGTCCTCACATCAGTCCTCACTGACGACATTTTCATCATTTCATGTTGTGACAGAGTGAGTTCAGCTGCTGTTTGTTTTAATTGAAATTCATTTATTCACCCACACAGCTGCCATGCATTCAAATTAAAAATATAGGTACAGATCACTGTTCAGATCGTTATTGAGGTTGTACGAGGTGAAATTAGTTTTTATAGACTGATCTGATCTGAGAAGAATCTTCTCTGCAATTTAACATTTCAATGTCAGTGTTTATTAAACTGATTTAATCGTCTTTGTGCATGAGAGATGAAGACTGAGATAAAACATTTATTACAGTGATGTCAGAAGTCCTGTCTGTCTCGTTTCAGCTGGTCTGGGGGAGTTCAAGATTCGGGATCTGAATGATGAGATCAATAAGCTGCTAAGAGAGAAAGGTCACTGGGAAGTTCGGATCAAAGAGCTGGGAGGACCCGACTATGCGGTAAGTAGTCTAGTATATAAAGTTTAATGACAAAGCACTTCGCGCTTCACTTCTCATTCACACATGACGGAGAGGGAGCTGCCAGACGAGCGCTGGTCTGATCATCAGGCAGGAGGAGCTGGGGGCCCGAGCTGCGATTTGAATAGATTAGAATAGATTTCCGCTACTCTCTGACATTTTATCAACAGAACGATTGATCAGCTAATGAAGGAGGTAATCATCAGATTAATCAATAATAAAAATAATCACCTGGTGATGACGTGTTTGTGTTTCAGCGTGTCGGTCCAAGGATGTTGGATCACGAGGGGAAGGAGGTTCCAGGAAACAGGGGGTATAAATACTTTGGAGCAGCCAGAGACCTGCCCGGAGTCAGAGAGCTGTTTGAGAAGGAGCGTACGTACACTTTTCTGTTTGTATGAAATTATTATATAAACCTGTACTGTACCCACTCATGACTGGTCCTCACTGATCATGTGACTCCAAGCTGCCCCAGCGCTGAGGAAGACGAGGGCGGAGCTGATGAAGGACGTAGATGCAGAATATTACGGGTACAGAGACGAAGACGACGGAGTCCTGCTTCCTCTGGAAACTCAGTACGAGAAACAAGGTGAGATTATTTTAGAGAACAATCAGATTATTTTACAAGACAATCAGATTATTTTACAAGATAATCAGATTATTTTACAAACCAATCAGATTATTTTACAAGACAATCAGATTATTTTACAAAATAATCAGATTATTTTACAAGACAATCAGATTATTTTACAAGCCAATCAGATTATTTTACAGTCCAATCAGATTATTTTACAAAACCTGAAAGCACAAGAACCTGGAAGCATAAGGAAGGATTCAGTAATCAGGTATTAAAATGTCAGACTGTAGATGAAGCTGCTGTCGTCTCTGATGGTCGTCGTCTCACATGAGAGAAAGATGTCGATCAGTGACTGATACACAACCAACCAACTGAGAATCACTTATTCACGACATGTGTTGTGTGTGTTTTGTGTAGCTGTGTTGGAGGCGGTGCAGAAGTGGAGAACAGAGAAGGATTCTCGTCTGTCCGGTGAGAAACAACAGGAGGAAGAGGAGGAGGAGAACATCTACACCGTCCACAACGAAGAGGTGAGCCGTCCCTTTACCGGAATAATCCTTTAATCAATAATGTCCTGATCACTGAAGACAAGAAGTAAAAATCTGTCACATCATTCTCACTGGATCTTCGGTCAGTGCTGAGGTCATCTGTGCACACTCGTAATACACTCCAAGAGTTTCCAGGTGTCAATAAATGTGTGTGTTTGTTTTGTGTCACTGTGCAGCCTGATGACGAGGAGAGCCGGGAGGAGCAGGAAGGGGAGGAGGGAGGAGTCACCTTCATCGCACACGTACCTGTTCCATCACAGAGAGAGGTAAGATACGCATTTGTCTTTCTACACTTGTGAGGACCCTTATTAACATAATGCTTTCACAGGCCCCCAACCTGAACCTGGTTCTAACCTGAACCTGGTTCTAACCTGAACCTGGTTCTAATCTGAACCTGGTTTTTACCTGAACCCTAAAACCACGTCTGAATTTTGAAATAGGCCTTTGTAGTTAACAAGGATCGGCCAACGTATCCTCACAGCAATACTTCAAAACTAAATTACTCCTCACAAAGATACACACACACAGACAAAACTCTGTCTCTCTCTTGCCTGTCTCACCTCTCTGACCTGTCTGTCTCTCAGGTGGAGGAGGCTCTGGTCAGGAGGAAGAAGATGGAGTTGTTGCAGCGGTATGCCAGCGAGACTCTTCAGGCTCAGAGTCAAGAGGCCAGGACTCTGCTGGGAATCTAACCTGTCTGTCTGTCTGTCTGTCTGTCTGTCTGTCTGTCTGTCTGTCTGTCTGTCTGTCTGTCTGTCTGTTAATGTTGATGTAAATATCGGCTCATTTTTGTTGTCAGCCTGTTTCTTATTAAAACTTTCTTAAGCTCAGCTTGTTCTCATCTGGTTTTTTTCTCCCACATATTTTCAGAGAGTTTGTAAACTACTGTTTCTACTTAAAGTGTTGAAACCGATGACCGCAAAGAGACACGAAACCACATGTATTGTCCATGCTAAAATCACAAAGCACCAGTGTTGGTCGGTTTTGACTCTTTCACATTGCTGCAGAATTATTCAGAGGTCACATCAGGTCGCATCACCTGAGGACATTTATCAGAGCTCACACAGCTCCCTCTGCAGACACTTTGAGGCTTTAAACTGCTGTAAAACACATGCAGTTGTACTCCCCAACATCAATTTTCCACTTCAAATACCTGGAGTTGTCACTTAGCAACGAAGTTTTTCTGCTCTGATTTGAGGATTATATGAATTTGTCTCCATGCTGAGAGCAGCTGACACCACAGCAGAGACTTTAACATTATTTAAATCCCTGACAATGTGACAGCAGCAGCGGTTGAAAGTATCTAAGTACATTAATTCAACCATTGTACGTAAGTAAAGTTTTAACTTTTTTCTACTCGGCTGCATTTCAGAGATAAATACTTGACTTTTAACTGCTTCTATCTGACAGCTGCAGTAATTCTTTTTATAAAATAAACTGGATTAAACTTCCCAACAGGAGAAATTAACTCCATCTCAACTGACTACACTGCTTTTATGTTTATACATCAGTAAGAATCCAAAAACATTATATGTAGTATAATGTTACTTTCTACTGCACAGTGAGCATTTCTACTTTTGATACTTTGAAGTACATTTAACAGCTTTTACTTGCAGCACTTCTACTGTGTGGTATTCATACTTTTACTTAAGTAGAGGCTGTGAGTATTTCTTCCACCACAGGTCAGGAGCCAGTATCAGAGGGTGAACAGGTGTCACACCTGAATCCTGAGCTTTTTATTCCATCCAAATATTATTTCTGTCTTTTTATCATAAAAGAGAGTTTTCAGATTCAGCTCTGTCTCGTGAGCTTTAGTTGTTCATTATTTATATTTATACATTATAGATAATGTCATTTTTTATGAGGAGGGTGAAGCTCTGTCTGAGAACTGATTACAGAACAGTAACAACTAACCAGTGACATCTGTGAGAGACTTTACAACTGACAGAACTGATTGATATGTTGATTGATCTGCTGATTGATCTTCTGAGACTGAAAGGATTAAGTATAAAGTGTTTACATTGTGTCAAAACATATTTACATATTTATATTGATATAAGTGACTGTGGTTTCTATTCAAATCCAAAGAGTGTCTCTTTTTTTTGCATCACAACATATGGACACAGTGTTGGAAAATCACTGTATGAAAATCTGTGTCTCTGTCCTCGTTCTTCAGGTTCCTCTGAGTATCTCTGTGTCTCATCATGTGGTTTCAATCTGGCAGCTGATTGGTTGATTGGTGGCAGCCTGCTGCAGCATGTGATTGGCTGATTAATGGCTGAACGCTGCATGTGATGTCATGTGAGAGAAAACTGCCATCAGCCACATTTAATCAGCAGCTTTTGTGTGTGTGTGTGTGTGTGTGTGTGTGTGTGTGTGTGTGTGTGTGTGTGTGTGTGTGTGTGTGTGTGTGTGTGTGTGTTTTACTCTGCAGTGTTGACTCAGTTTTTGCAGCTGGATGTCTCTGTAGCATTAGAGCCTCTAAAGTCCTGAAACATATTTTTTATCAAGATTTAGGAACGACATAGAGAAAGGGAATGTTACCAAATTAAAGTGTCTTATTTTAATAAACCATGTAGTTTGACTAATGTATTTGTATCCACTTGTTATAATAAGTTCTTTGTTTGTGTGTTTTTATTGTTGTTTGTTTGCATGTACAAGGTACATTTGTAGGTACATTTGCTTAAAATGAATAATAAAACAAATGTAAGTTTTAAATGTCATGAATACTTGCAGCTTGACGTTCATGTTCCCCTCAGGATGAACTGGAATAACTGCGGATCCTCCTCGTCGTCATCTAGCCCCATCATCAGGTCACGTTTCAATTTTTCCAATTCTTTGATTTATGATCAAATACCTGGTCATATTTTTAGATATTGAGATTAGACCCAAAGTGGTGAACTGACTGGTGTGGTATAACATACCCAGCGGGTTTTTGAAACAGATTCTGTAACAATTAAAGGGAAAAACATCAGGATTTTTCAAATTTCATCAATCAATAAGAATCAGGGCTAATGGGGGCGGAGCTGCACAGATTCAATCAGTTTATTCATGGAGCTTACTGAAAACCCAAAGTGAATTACACAGAGATTAATATGTAAGATTATTTGACTGATGATTAGAATCAAACACACATTATAAAGAGAATCTAACTTAACTAATAAAAGTGTAGAATATTAGTGTAAAATCACAACAAACATCATTGCACAGAGAACACATTGTGATTGGTCAGCAGATCTGAGGGATTCAGAGATGTTACCTGGTGCTGGTTCATGCAGAGCTTTAAAAACAAAAGAATAAAGTAAAATCTATTTTACTGGTAACCAGTGAAGACCATTACAGCAGTACAGCTGGGAGATCTGGTCTCTGCTGCGAACCACTCCCACTGAGGTAGAGACTTCATGAGGTTGTTTCCTGTTTCTTCTTCTTCTGTTTTGTCTGCTGTGTGACAGTTAGTTGTTGTTGTTGTTGTTGTTGTTGTTTACTTTGTCAGCTGATGGAGGTAAAATCAGCTGTTTGTGTTCTGCTGATGGGACTCAGCATGCTGCCACAGTGACAAACAACAGACTGTATTTATTGATAAATAAATGTATTGTAGTTTATCTGACTGACATCACTGTCATGTTGTAGCCCGGCCCCCCCTGATGATGTCACAGCTGTGTGAGTATAAATTAGCAGCACACGGCAGCTCTCTGCAGACAGACCAGTCATGTGGTGCCGAGGTTTCTTGCAGCAGACGGTTAGATACATGTCGACCAGCAGACAGGTCAGTGTGTGTGTGTGTGTATGTGTGTGTGTGTGTGTTTTATAGGGACATAAACCTGATAACTTACTGACATTATGGGGACTCCCCTCCCTTGACAGGACCTAGTTTTTGTCCCCATTAACTTGGGTTTTGGGGTTTTGAGTTTGTTACAGATCAATTTAAGTTTCGGTTAAGTTGTAAAGTAAGATGTAAATGAGTAAATTTAGATAAGAGATGTGAATAAATGAAATGTCCACAGGAAAAAAGTTAGTCCTTGTTATGTGCCTGTATATGGATGGGTGAACAATAAACTTCTGTTGAGTCTTGAGTTTAATAATGGGGAAAACAGATTATTTCTAACAATTATACTACATATGTATAACATCTTTTAAACATCTTTTTTTTAAATCAGCAGAACAATGATTTTAATGAATAAGATCTAATGAGTTGATAAGTGAAAACGAACTAGTGCCAGAGAATGATTTATGTGCTGAAATGACTGAAACGTGTCTCATGTGGCTTTGTCTCTCACACCTCTCTCTCTCTGTCTCTCCCATCTGTCTCTGTCTTACCTGTCTGCCTCTCTCTCGCTTGGCTCTGCCTCACCTGTCTGTCTCCACCAGGCGGGCGTCCTCTTCGATGTGGACGGCGTCCTGCTCCGCGGTGGCAAAGTGATCCCAGCTGCTCGACGAGCTTTCCGGAAGCTTCTGGACCAGAACAATCATTTCTTGCTTCCTGTCGTCTTTGTCACCAATGCAGGAAGCTGTCAGAGACATCACAAGGCCCAACAGCTCTCTCACCTGCTGGACGTCCAGGTAAGACAGATAAGTGGAGGACAGGCAGGTAGAGGACAGAGAGACAGTGGAAGACAGAGACAGGTTAATTTCATAGGTGAAAACATGATTGTCACATCTGCCTTCTTGTAAGAGGAATTATTATATAGTTGACTTTTTACATTCATGTTTTTTTTTTATTGAATTATTATTTCTTAAAATTATGTTGTATTTATTCTGTTTTCATTGATGTGGATCTTGTTTATGACAGAATCATATCTACATTTTTGTCAAATGTAGTTGTCCATTTGTTTTCTTTTTTGTTTTTCTTTTGTAATTATTTAGTTTGGTTCTACCTTTTGTTTGAATCAGTTTTTATTTAATAAAGTTGTATGCAATGATTAAATTAATTGAATTCATAAAAATTATTATTAAATTAAATTTTTGGTTTATTTTAATGGTATATTTTGTTGTGTGTTTTATTCATAACGTTGTTTTGCTGTGCTGTGATTTGACCATCACAGTCATGTGACCTCTCTCTTTCTGTAGATCGCTCCTGAGCAGGTGGTTCTTTCCCACAGTCCTTTGCGAATGTTGAAGAGTTTCCATGATAAATGTGTCCTGGTGTCAGGACAAGGACCAGTGACCGACATCGCCCACACGTATCCTTCCCGGTTGACCTTTGACATCTGAGGTTCACAGCAACCACAGATCATGAATCATGTCTGTATCAAAAGTTGTGATGTGGCGCCCCCACTCAGCCAGTGGTCACTCACAGCACTGCAACTAAACACATTTTCGATATAGACCTCCTTTATAAACAAGGCATCTGTAAAACTGTTGACGGGACACCTCCAACTGCAAACAGGCTCAGTTATTGCTGATTGGCGTGTTTTTTTATCCACAAAAGTTTTATATTTATAAAATTTTTACAGAGCCTAGAAAATAAATTTTATGACATCTGAATGTAGGCTATGAAATGAGCAAGAGAAACACTACTACAATATTTTAAAACGGCTTGCCCAATTTTTAAATCAACATTTAAAAATTCTGTTCACAAAATGCTGAATTCTTAATTCTGGCTTCAAAATCTCAGTGAACATACGAAATAAAGACATCTTAATCAGATTATATAAATGTTGTATTTTAACATAAATCCTGATCACCAAGATGAGCTTTTATGAATCACACAAAACATCACATATTTACATCATTTGTAATCATATGAAATACAACTGCAGTTATATTAGAATTATTAAACCCAGAATTTAGTAATCAGGCAAGAATCAGAGGAAGATAAATTTGATTCCTTTTCCCCTTTTTCCCACTGATGTTTTACAATTGCACATGACAACAGTGGTGCTGCAGTAATCAGTGGCTCTGTTTCACCTGATAATGATGTTAAAATCTGGAGAATTGTGAAACAGTGAAGCTTGTGTTGATATGAGTGTTTTTATTCTGAGGACTGAACATGTGTTCAATGTTTCACACTTTGTATATAAGTTCAGCTTTTTGTGTTTATATGTGATTATTTATTATCTCAGTTTGTCTCTTTATGATAAAAAAATCTGTGATTTGAAAAATATGACATGAAAGAAAAACACACTGACAGTTTTATCACTGTTCATGATTTGCAGTTTGGCGTGTTGAAGCCTTGACCATGTCATCGTCAGTTTAGGTTTTCAGAAGGTGGTGAGCATTGAACAGCTCAGAGAACATCACCCTCTGCTGGACATGGTGGATCACAACAGGAGACCCAAACTACCTGTGAGTACTGCACCTGTGACTCAGTCCTAGTCCTGAGATCAAAATGGGCTTTAATCCTTTGGCGTCCTTAATACTGACTACAGGGTGTGAAGCCTCAACTGCACAGGAGCAGGTTTAAAGAGACAAACTTTACTTGTGTTGTACTCTTTTATGTTTGATTATATGTCAGTGATAATCCACATTTCATCAGTATCAGTGATTTAACAGTGTTTGTTCTCTTTCAGTCGTCTCTTCTGCAGACTCTTCCCAAAATAGAAGGTAACTACTACAAACACACAACAACAACAGTGTTCATTGTTTTATTTTAATATTTTTGTTATTTAGCTAATTTTGGTTTGTCTCGCCATCTAATTCATATACTGATAAATACTAATTTGACCTTTCAGTGATAATCCTTTTCTTTAATACAGTGAAGCTTTCACAGTTGATATACAATATTCAGATTTCTTTATTTCTTCTTACTGTATCTACACTTTGTCTTGTTTAAAGTCATAATCTTTGCAAACAAGTTAAATAGGGCTGTTTGTTGGTATGTTCTCATCTTGTGTAAATAAAGGTTGAATGAGTGGTATGGAAATATGTTTATTTATTAGAAAATGTTTTTATGTTGGACCTTTTAACAGCAAGAGAAGTTAGGTATACATAGCCTATGTACACACAAAGAAACATAAATATGATTTAAAAATAAAGTAATGAGCTGAATTTTAATCAAACAGGTTAAAGGGAATAATAAAGTATGATGGTGAAAAATATGATTAAACAGCACCTCATCTATCCCTTTAGTTTTCCTCGCTTTTATTTTGTTGACTTTTCCTCACTGACTTCTTGTGTTGCCATAGCGATTATCCTGTTCGGAGAGCCAATTAGATGGGAGACCAACCTGCAACTGCTGATTGACGTGCTCCTGACCAATGGCAGCCCCGGCTGTGAGTATGACGCTCAGTTGTCGGCTCAGCTGCCAGTTCTCGCCTGTAACATGGACCTGATGTGGATGGCCGAGGCCCCGTCTCCACGGTAACTGACAAAACAAAAACAAACAAAAAAATCAATACTTCAATAACTGATCAGTTTCGTTAACATGTTTTGTTAGTAGTATGGCCTGGGATCCATATACCCTTCTGTCGGGATGGTGGTGTTTATAGTTTTGGCCCTGCTGTGTTACTGCAGGTTTGGTCATGGGATGTTCATGCTGTGTCTGGAGTCGGTCTATAGGAAGATGACGGGTCGGGAGCTGCAGTACCAAGCACTGCTCGGAAAACCTAGTTTGCTCACTTACCAGTACGCCGAACATCTGCTGAGGCTGCAGAACCCCAACCGCAAGCTAACCACCATCTACGCTGTCGGGTAACCAAACTGTTCATAACACTGTCTACGCTGTCGGGTAACTGAACCATCTGTATCTGTATTTGGTGAAGAGTGCATTATGACTGGTTTAGGATTCAACTCAAAGTTCAGGACTTAACTTGGGACTTGAGTGGAAAGACTTGAGACTTGTGACTTGAGAAACAAAGATTTGGTCCCAACTCTGCTGTCAACAACCTGTAAGGCTGTCAATGCTGTTGGTTAACCAAACCATCTTCCTATTGTTACCTAGTGACAACCTGATGACAGACATCTACGGTGCTAATCTCTACAACCGTTACCTGGTGCAGCAGCACACTGCCATGACGACAAGCACCAAGTTTGTTGCCCAGGGAACAGGGAGTCAGGTGACGATGGTGGTCCCAGAGGAGGAGCTGGTGTCTGCTGCTGCTCAGTGTCATTCCATACTGGTATGTACAGATGTTCAAACACCTTCACTACAGATACAACAGCAAGTTTTCAACCACATGTAATGGTCTTCTTCAGTGGTAATTTACTGTAGGTAACAACATAGGTCAACAATAAGGTGCAGTAGCTACAGTACAATAGTATAACACAGTAGACTGACACTGACCCTCTGACAACAACATGAATGAAGGTCTTTCATTAACACAGAGCTGCTCTACCTGTCCTCAGGTGTGCACAGGTGTCTATAACCCTCGCTCCCCGTTGCCTAGCAACCAGAGTGGCACCATCACGGAGAAAGTGTTCCACGGTCACAGAGACCTGGTCCTGGAGCCAGACCTGGTGGAACCAAGTCACGTGGTGGAGGACGTCGAGTCTGCCGTCGACCTGCTGCTGCAGCAAGAGGACTCCGTGACACCTGACCTCTGACCTCTGACACCAAATCTCTGACACCTGACATTGGACCTCTGACAGCTAACCTCTGATACATGACATTTGACCTCTGACGGCTAACCTCTGATACATGACATTTGACCTCTGACACCTTATATCTGACATCTGACCTCTGACACCTGGCATTTGAGGTCTGACCTCTGACTCCTGACCTCTGACTCCTGACACCTGACCAGGTTAAGATCTGAAGACGTCTCACTCTGTCTGTTTTTCAAGATATATTAGGAGTTGACTGTGTGACAGCTATGGTTTAGAGATTTTGAGTTAGACTCAGAGTTGCCTGTTTTTATGGCACTTTATTAAGTTGTGATATTTTTCAGGTCAGACTGTTTAGATTCACAACATGTGATCCGTTTATTAAAATAAATTCACTCTGATCAGAGTGCTTGGTCATCATCCTGATTATAACAGTGTGATGTCTCTGTAGAGTTTAGATATTTTGATTTAATTCCTTACAGTGATCTTATTTATACAGTGTAAATTTTATTGTTATTTAGTGTGAAGGTAAAGTCAGGCACAGACAGGTACAGTCAGGTCAGATGGTTACAGTGAGGTATAGTCAGGTACAGTCAGGTCCAATGGTTACAGTCAGGTACAGACAGCTACAGTCAGGAACAGTCAGGAACAGTCAGTTCAGTCAGGTATAGTCAGGTACAGTCAGGTGAGACAGGTACAGTCAGGTACAGTCAGGTCAGACGGTTACAGTCAGGTACAGTCAGGTCAGTCAGGTACAGACAGGTAGAGTCAGGTCAGTCAGGTGCAGTCAGGTCAGTCAGGTATAGTCAGGTGCAGTCAGGTACAGTCTGGCCAGTCAGGTATAGTCAGGTCAGTCAGGTCGGTCAGGTACAGTCAGGTACAATCAGGTCAGTCAGGTATAGTCAGGTACTGTCAGGTACAGTCTGGTCAGTCAGGTATAGTCAGGTATAGTCAGGTGCAGTCAGGTACAGTCAGATGGAGTCAGGTACAGTCAGGTCAGTCAGATATAGTCAGGTGCAGTCAGGTACAGACTGGTCAGATGGTTACAATCAGGTACAGACAGGTATAGTCAGGTCAGACAGGTCAGTCAGGTATAGTCAGGTACAGTCAGGTCAGTCAGGTATAGTCAGGTGTACTCAGGTACAGTCAGATCAGAAAGGTACTCGTCAGGTACAGACAGGTACAGTCAGGTCAGTCAGGTAAGACAGGTACAGTCTGGTCAGATGGTTTCAGTCAGGTACAGTCAGGGATAGTCAGGTCAGTCAGGTACAGTCAGGTAAGACAGGTGCAGTCAGGTACAGTCTGGTCAGATGGTTACAGTCAGGTACAAACAGGTATAGTCAGGTCAGTCAGGTAAGTCAGGTATAGTCAGGTGCAATCAGATCAGTCAGGTCAGTCAGGTATAGTCAGGTACAGTCAGGTCAGTCAGGTCAGTCAGGTCAGTCAGGTATAGTCAGGTGCACTCAGGTACAGTCAGGTCAGAAAGGTACTCGTCAGGTACAGACAGGTACAGTCAGGTCAGTCAGGTAAGACAGGTACAGTCTGGTCAGATGGTTACAGTCAGGTACAGTCAGGTATAGTCAGGTTAGTCAGGTACAGTCAGGTAAGACAGGTGCAGTCAGGGACAGTCTGGTCAGATGGTTACAGTCAGGTACAAACAGGTATAGTCAGGTCGGTCAGGTACAGTCAGGTAAGACAGGTGCAGTCAGGGACAGTCTGGTCAGATGGTTACAGTCAGGTACAGTCAGGTATAGTCAGGTCAGTCGGGTACAGTCAGGTAAGACAGGTGCAGTCTGGTCAGATGGTTACAGTGAGGTATAAAAACTACTACTTCTCCCATCCCTGAGAGTCTGGACTCCTGACTTCAAACTCATGTTTGTGAGTAGGTACGTGAGTCTGACCTTGGCTGCTCTGCACTGAGAAAGACCTCTAGTCCTGAATAATCCTCCTGACACCTGGTCTCAGCTGACTGCTGATGTTCTGGAGGAGGTCTTTGGGTTTTAATGGGTTCAGTAGATCTTCAAAACACCTGTGATCACCTGACCATCGAGCTGAGTTTAAACCATGACCTCTGACCTCAGACATGCTGCAGAATGTTTCAAGCTCATTTTTATTTTTATACACCAAGAAGAGTTTAACCCTTTAACTACTTTGACCACTAAGAACCTAACTTATGATAACCTAATTGGTAATTAATAACTAACAGTAAACCTGCTGGTGCTCTGATTCATGTCTGATATATACCATTTGTGTAATGTTATGATTTTATTTGTGGACTGTAAAAATCTGAAGTTTTTATTTTGCTGAAATAAAATAAAAATGTATGAAAATCTGTCAAAAGAACTTCTACTTTAATAGAAATTATACTTTAATAGAAGCTCAGATGAATGTATGATCATACTGACTGAACAAGAAGTTCATATTAAATGCTTTTGTGTTGTAACTTTTTTTAAACAAATTTCTCTTCTCCGTTAACTCAGTTTTACTGTTGTATTTCATAGAAACATCATATTGTTGCCACCTCATCATGACAAAACAAAAACACATTGTGAAATGAATAAAAGTGCAACACAAAGATCAAAAAATAAACCAAAGAAAAACAAATATTAAAACCCAGATGAAAACATTATATCACTAATATGAATAATTCAACCATTTTCAGGGTGAGATTATACAAGTTAGAGTTGAATTTCAATCAGAGATGTATGACATAAATTCCTTTCATTTGTAACTTATGGAATATATGAATAGGGAATTTTACATTTTAAAAATATTTTCATCTTTATACTACGCACATACAGACCATATATATAAAAAACGGTTAAATGGTCTTAAAGTCTTAGAGAAACTCTAAGTTTTTCACCAGAGAAAATGTCTTTATGTCAAAATTGTTTTAAAACTTTCTAAAAATTTTCACTGTATGAAATTTCTAAAGTCCTTCACTTATTTAGCAATGTGAAAATTTTGTGGTAAAGATCAAACCTTTATATCTTTCATAAGACTGTTACAACAAGGTAATGCACAGAACACCTTAATTTTTCCGGATGTTACTGTAATTTAGTTTAATGTTGTCAGTGTTTCTGAAATTAAAGCATAGAACAATTACAAGATTTAATAAAAACAAACAAAACAAAAAAACAACATGGAACCTTCTTGTTGAACTAAATTTAATCTACATTTTTTGACTCATCCAGCAGCTGAGTTCCCACAAATGTGTTGCACTTGCAGGTTGCTTTGCTTCAGTGCTGATCCTAGATTCTGGGGGGGCCAGGCAAAGAAGCCAATTGAAGCTCAGGCTTCATTTACTTCCATTAGTGAGGAAAAGCTGGAAGTTAACCAATTTCTTCATCTCTGAAAGGGGCCTGTTTTCTTTTAAATTTACAGGATTTTTTTTTTTATTTTTTACCTAGGGCAGTTAACCAGTGACATTTGTACCATTTAAGGTACCCCTCTGAAGTTTGTGAGGTGAGGAGCGGTGTTTTTAAGACTTTTTTTGTAACACTTTGTGGGACCTTTCATGTTTGGGTCTCGTGACCTGCTCAACATGGCGGTGGGAGCAGGACACCTCGGAACAGGAAGCAGGGAAATCGCCGCGTCTGCGCAGTGGCTCAACCCGGGTCCCTGTAAAGATGTCTGAGCAGGCGGGGAGGGAGCGGAGCGGAGGACCCGAAACAAACACACAGAACCCGCAACTCTCCGCAACTTAACCGATCAAGGTAAGGGCAGGCGGCCCCGCAGAGCCGCTCCGACTGCACCGAGGCGCGGCGGAATGTTCAGGCCTTCAGATGAACCGGGTCACCGGTGCGCAGGGCGGCTGGGTTCATAGACCAGAGCAGAAATGTTGTGCAGGACGCGCCGCGCTGTGGCAGGGGCGTGTCCGCCATCTTGTAACAGAAGTGGCGCCTAAACAGCAGCTGTCGCTCCGAGCGGGCCGTGCGAAATGGCCGTTAACGACGGAGCTAACGACGGCCCAACGCCCGCTCTATGTGTTTGAACTACTTTAGCCCAGTTTGACGCCGCTGTAGACCAGTACCGACCGCCGCGGTGTCCGTGTGTTCAGCCCGGACTCCGGAGGAGCAGCCGCAGCCTTTTGTTGTCCTCCCCCTCCTTCCACCTCCTCCCCCTCCGTGTTTGTTCGGAAAGCCTGCCAGGCGCATGCGTGTAACCATGGCGCTCGTCCCTGCGTATGAGAGAAAACACCAGGAAAGATGAAATTTATTAACATGGCGCTTTGATTAAACGCCGATACAAACAGGCTCTGGCTTATCTGCTGGTTATCGATCTTCGGGATCGGATGTAAACACTGAAATCGTTCAGTTTGCCGCCACATTCAGCCCGTCATGATAAACCACTCGGCCCGGACTTTCATTTTCCCTCCGACATGTTTAACTGAAAATCCGTAAAAGTGTCAGTATGACGTTTAAACCCGATAAAGTCAGATTTATATACACACTAAATCATCATTTACCACTGTCACACAGGTTTTATGGAATCAACTTTATTAGGCTGCAGCTAACGATCCCTGCCATTAGCGACTAATCTACTTGTTTGACTGATTAATCATTTGGTCGATTAAAATGTTGGAAACCAGAGAAAAACATTCTTGAGATCTTGAGATGTCTCATCTAAAACCCAAATTATTCTAAAATTGATTTTTTTTTTTCTGGAAATTTGATCAGACTAGCTGAATTATTATTTTCTTTTCTGTATTTTAAATTAAATGACTGATTTTTTTCTGCTGTAGTTCAGTTTGTAATGTTATAAGAAGATATCCCTTCATGCTGTTTTAACAGGAATCACCCATCAAACAGTCAAATCAAACCAAAAACATCACAACAACGAATGTCAATGAAAACAAATAACTTGTTTAATTAAAACAGGTTTTCTTGTGGTAGTATGACGTATTGGTGTGTTGTTATGATGATAAACTTCGATAATGTTTTTATAAGGAGAAAAAGATTCATTCAGTTTAGGAGTAGACGCGTTCAGCACCTAGAGAAGCTGACATAGACTGGTTGACATTTTACATAGCCACATAGGGGCACTTAAAATGAATCTAGTTATATTTGATGCTTGATTCATCTTTTTTTTTTTTTTCAAGCTACAGACAGTCAGCTACGACTTTACACTCTGTTTATACCTGGTAATAAAATGCAATCTGCATCCAGATTCATTATCCAGATAATAAATGATCCAATCTTGGCTTTGCGTTTACACCTGGTATTTTTAATGCATTCTCACCATCCTCATTGAGATCCAACCACATTCATATTTACACCTTATGTTAATCAGCTCACAATAACATCAGTATGGAATAAAAGCACATACGACTCTGACTCACTGTTCATACAGCACAGAGGTCAGTTATCCTGCTGAAAGAAATCAGCTGATACATTATCTGATGTTTATTTTGAAAGTAACAGTGTCTCTTCCTGTCCAGGCAGGTAGATGTCATTCTGATGAGCAGCTGAGATGTCGAATGACAGCCAGGGATCGGTGAAGGGGGAGGCAGCCATGATACTGTCTCCCTCTGGCTCCGCCTCCTCTCAGGGACCACCCCTCTCTCCATCCACCACCTCCAAACCACCTGAACTCCCAGGTACACCTGTCTGTGTCTCACCTATCTGTCTGAACTCTAAATGCCTACTGAGATTTGTGAATGTCTACAGGAATCTGCAAATGTGTTTTCAGAATCCGTGCGTGTAATCAGATCTGTAAATGTTTAAAAAATCTCCACACATCTGCAGATCTCTGACAGATGACTCTCTGATGACTCGTATGTATTTGCAGCTCTTTTTAGCCATTGATATCTATATAGACATTTATAGATTTGTCTACACATTTACAGATCTCACTATACCTGCAGTTCTGAATACGGATATGGAGATTTTTTTTGACATATTTAAAAATCTTAGTACACACACATGGATTGAAATACAGTTGCATACATACCCATACAGGTACACAAGTCTGTATCTATACCTGTCTGTCTGACAGATGAACTGGTCCAGGTGGGATGGTCTAAGTGCTGGTCTCTCTCTGACCCGTCCATGTCTCTCTGACTTGTCTGTCTCACAGATGAACTGGTCCAGGCTGGATGGGCTAAGTGCTGGTCTCGGAGGGAGAACCGGCCCTATTATTTCAACAGATTCACCAATCAGAGCCTGTGGGAGGTCCCAGTGCTTGGTCAGCATGACGTCATTGTGAGTCACTGTTTCAATCAATAGAATAATAATATTATTAATGATAATAACAGTAATAATAATATAAAAACATGCAGGGGTCTCTGTGTGAAGATGGATTTTCTTGCTCTAAAGTTTGATTATCTGTTGATCTGAATTTTACATCAGTTCCTGTGTGTTGACTTTATTTTGTGCTAACTTTACTAATAGGATACTATAAAGATTATATTTTATATAATGGATACTGTATGTCTTTATATGTTATAGTTACTGTTTATAGTTAGTATGTACAGTATATGGTCTGCCTGTCTGTCTCTGACCTGTCTCTACCTGTCTGTCTATCTGCAGTCTGATCCTTTAGGTCTGAATGCGGCTCCGGCTGAGGGCGGAGACAGTAACCTTGGTAACGGTCAGAGGAAAAGGAGGAGCTCTGAGGAGCAGGTGGCAGGGCCTAACAGCGTCAAACGAGCTAAGGTAAAAACTGCCCACCTACAACTGAACTAGAATACACACCTGGTCAGGTGATTGGTGTGTGACTTTAGCTGCATTCATTTTTTTACTTCAACCGGCTTGATGGTCAACACGAACAGTCGGCGTGGACTAAACAAATACAGTCGGTGAATCGGGGAAGTAGGACCCTAACTTCAAGCATGTCACTTAAACTGAGAGATATTTGCTTAAGTTAGGGTTAACTTCTGTTGCCATGGAGGTTAGTGCAGCCGCAAAGCAACTACAGCGCCTGACCCAGAAAGCTGCAGTCGCCTTGCTCCCGTGAGATTTAATGTCATGTGACATGGTGACGTTCTGCAGCACCGGCAAAAGTCAGATAAAATTTCTAATCAGCAGGCACTGTTTTAAGTGCAACCTGCATCATGTTCAGTCGAAACCTTTTAGGAGTTGACTAAGAACCAGCCAACAGGTGGTGTGTGCAGTGCCTCATGGGAAGCTGAGTCCTCTAACTATTTGTGTGTAATCTAACAAAATCTGTCTGTTTTTTTTCTTTCCAGGTGGAGCCCACCACACCCATCTCTCCCAGCACACCTGGGGTCAAACCCTGGAGCGCCGCCCCCGAAGACAAACAGGCCCCACCGCCCACACCTACAACTCCAAGCCCTGCCCCTGCCCCGTACAGACCAGCTGTGTGAGTACTGAGGCCGTGTCGCTTCCTTTTACCGCCTTGAGCACCTCTTCATATCTTCTTGTTTGTCGATGTGGAGGTTTTAAAGTTTAGTTTTTAAAGTTATTCATTGTTGTTGTCTTAAGTATCTACTGGGATCTGGACATTCAGACGAACGCTGTGATCAGAGAGCACCGCCCAGCCAGCCACTTGCCCCCCCACCCTGAGATTGAGATGCAGAGAGCTCAGCTGGTCACGAAACTGAGACAACACTACCACGAGCTGTGTCACCAGAGAGAAGGTACCGTAACAGCTGACAGGACAATACACTGCTGATAAACAGGGCTGGACTGTCTGAAAACACCCTTACACACCGGCTCTGGCGGTCGTCCAGAGTGCACCGTAGTCATGTTTGTAACTGTTTGATCTGACATGGAGACTGAGGACGACTGTTGTCAAGTCGCATTGCGCTTGAGTGAAATGGGAGCAGGTAGAGACAGCTGTTCTGACTGAAGCTGAATGGATGAATGATCATGAGGGGCTGGGGACATCAGTGGTTGTTAGAGGCAACTGTGTGTGACCACTAAAGTATGGGGGGGTGGGGTGGGGTGGGGGGGGGCTGACTGACTTGGGATGGTTGTTGCTCAGCAAGTATAGCAGGTCTCGCTCACTGCTGTCGATGTGAGTGTATAAAAGCTGTATAAGTACAGTCCATTAACTTGTTGGCCACCTGGATATTTGAACCATATTTAAGGTTATGTTACTGTCTGAAAGTCCATTTGTTAACAAGTTTCACGTCTGTGGTCCAGGTATTGATCCGCCCCGGGAGTCATTCAACCGTTGGCTACTGGAGAGGAAAGTGATCGACAAAGGTCATGACCCTTTACTGCCGAGTGACTGTGACCCCATCATCTCCCCGTCCATGTTCAGAGAGGTCATGAATGACATCCCCATCAGGTGCCTGTCTGTCTAACTAACTGTCTGCTTCTTCAAACTCAGATTCACATTTTGCAAAATTAAAGATTTTCTTAAACCTGGACTGGACAGTATTACAATTAATAGTTTCATTATGTATTTATTTCTGTGTGTCTCAGGTTGTCTCGTATCAAGTACAAAGAGGAGGCCCGGAAGCTGCTGTTTAAATACGCTGAAGCCGCCAAGAAGATGATTGACTCCAGGTAGGTCACAACAGACCAATCTCAGTGTGTTATCCTGCTGCACTCAGCTGATGGGCAGGCTGCTGTTGAGGGAACTCTGACCCCCTGTGACCCCTGACCTGTGCAGGAATGCGAGTCCGGAGAGCAGAAAGGTGGTGAAGTGGAACGCAGAAGACACCATGAGCTGGCTGCGCCGAGATCACTCCGCCAGCAAGGAGGACTACATGGTAACCGCTGACCTTCAACCTCTTTTTACTGCTGATATATTTATGAAGATGTGTAGTCCCTGGCTTACTATTGGATTATCCATAACAATCACCACTACTAACCACCTGGTATTGAGTTGGATAGAGGGGTACTGGACAGACCGGGTAAACCCAAACATGTACTGAGGGGAAAGTGGGCGGACTGAGGCTCCTTTCCACAAGATCTTTAACTCCCACCTCTGTAAGAACTGTTTCTGCTTGATGGGAGGATGCGGTTGCAGATTCTTAGTGGGCCCTTTTTTTCAAAAGTGTAATTTGGGGAAGCATCTGCTTGGAGTTGTGGCCTGAAGGTTTTAGGTGCCTCGAGACCATCGAGCTGAAGAAGGGATCCTATCAGGGTCAGGAACAGGGTAGTCCTGAAGCAGCAAATGGATATCAGGAGGGGGGAGCTTAATCCAGGCCATGTTCAGCAGGGGGGAGTCTGATGGCCCAGACTGAGGATATCGCTTGATGATGGTAGAAACTCTTTGTGTGTCTGTAGGACCGACTGGAGCATCTGAGGCAACAGTGCGGTCCTCATGTCGCCGCCGTCGCCAAAGACTCTGTGGAGGGAATATGCTCCAAGATCTACCAGCTGTCTGCAGACTACAGCCGCCGCTTGAGACAGACACACCTGAGCCTGCTGCAGGACCCGCCCACAGGTACACAGCACACACACGGACAGTCCTGAATCAATTGCAGGACCCGCCTACAGATAGCCTGTCTGTTATTTACAAGTGTGTATTGTGTGTTTCTGTGTGTTCAGAAGCATGTGCGTCCCCTCAGCAGTCCCGGCTGGTCTACTGTTACCCAGTTCGTCTGGTGATCCCTTCGCCCCCCCTCCCTCGAGTGGAGTTGCACTTTGAGAATGACGTGGCCTGTCTGCGCTTCAGAGGAGAGATGGTCAAAGTCAACAGAGGTCACTTCAGCAAACTGGTCAGTACTGCTGATAGTATTCTGAGTAGTGACAGATACTATTGACACCGCTGCTACTACTCTGATGTTACTATGACGACACCGTGAAGCTCATATTCAGGTGTAACATCAGGTGTCAAACAAACGTGAGCAGGTCACTCAGGAAACTTTATTCTGTATGGTTCTCCAGATTTACCACTGTATGTGTTATATATAACTCCACTCACTTCTACTTTTCTTTATCACTGTTATGTGACCATCAGGGAGCTTTGAGCCACTGGAAGGTTTTTAATGTGAAACATCTCTGCGGGAAGTGTTTACTTTCATTGACAGTAGCTGAAACAACAGACAGCAGCAGCCGGAGTTAATCAATAATAGTTAATTTGTACTCTTCACCAGCAGAGGGCAACATTCACCTGGAAAATGATGTCAAAAGAAAATCTGTTTCTGTTTATATTGACCCGTCTGTCTGTCGATCTGACCGTCTGTCTCTCTGCCTTCTGTCTGTCCGTCCAGGAGTTGTTGTACAGGTACAGCTGCATAGATGATCCCCGCTTCGAGAAGTTCTTGTCCAGAGTCTGGTGCCTCCTGAAGAGATACCAGGTCAGCCGTCTCTTTGTTGCCCTATCAGCTTTTACCTGCCCTCACCTGAACGTTTGTCGGCTAGTGCGTTAACGAGGTGTGTCTGTGTGTGTCCAGGAGATGTTCGGCAGCGGTGCTAATGAGGGGACAGGCCTGCAGGGGGCGCTGCCAGTGACGGTGTTTGAAGCATTGAATCGACAGTTTGGAGTTTCCTTCGAGTGTTTCGCCTCGCCGCTCAACTGCTACTTCAAACAGTTCTGCTCAGCGTTCCCCGACATTGACGGCTTCTTCGGATCCAGAGGGTGAGACCGGCGTTGATCACCTGCACACTGTGGGACAGCGGCAACCTGTTCATCCCCGTCTTATCATTGTAGAACGTTCAGTAACTGATCGTGTGTTTTCAGGCCGTTCCTGTCGTTCTCTCCAGTCAGCGGCTCATTTGAAGCTAACCCTCCATTCTGCGAAGAGCTGATGGACACCATGGTGACGCACTTTGAGGTCAGTCTTCCATACTGATCTGTACTGATTTAAACCGGTCTGGAGTGTATTGGCTTGCATTAAACTGGTCCGTTCTGGTTTGAATCAGTCTCGAACCCAGGCCGTACTGGTCTGAGCCAGACTGTACTGGTCTGTACTTGTCTTGCATATCCAGGTGGACAAATTGCTGTCTGTCTCTCTGGCAGGAGCTGTTGAATCAGTCCTCCGAGCCTCTGTCCTTCATAGTCTTCGTCCCTGAATGGCGCGACCCTGTGACCCCGGCCCTAACCCGCATGGAGGCAAGTCGATTCCTCCGTCACCAGCTGAGTGTCACGGCCTACGAACATGAGTATCGGTCCGGGAGTCAGCACATCTGCAAGAGGTACTGATACTACACTGTACTACACTGATACTGCACTGATATTGAACTTAATACTATACTGCAGTTTGCACAGTACTGTATTAGTCTTTGTCTGTGTGTTTACAGAGATGAGATGTACTACCGGGCGGTACACGGTACTGCAGTACTCTTTCTTCAGAACGATGCAGGTTTCGCAAAGTGGGCTCCGACTCCAGAGCGTCTGGCCGAGCTGACAGCAGCATACCGCCCCGCCTCCTCCCGCACCTCCTCGCTGTCCTCTCCTGGCCCCGCCCACATTGCTCCTGCAGACAGAGACTCCGCCCCTAAGGCCTCTGATAGGATGCAGAGCGATGTAATGTCACCAGGAGGCCATGACAACAACAACAACAACAGTAACAACAACAACAGCAGCAGCAGCAGCAGCAGCAGCAGTAGTAGCAGCAGTCCTCGAGACAAAATGGCTGCTGTTTAGAGGGTCTGGGGTTATATCGGGCCACGCCCACTCACCTGCTGGAAGGTTGTTTAAGGTTTCTGTGTTTCACAGAGTTAATTTTTTTCTGATCGTCGTCTCGTCTGTTCAGATTGTCCCTCACCAGCACCTGTAGCACACCCTCAGTTTCTCTCAACATACCCACAATGCCGTTCTGTTGCCCCTGCCAGCAAGGGGCAGTGCCAGAGCGTCACGCTAAAACCTGATTTAACCCTTTCTGTTGTTCAGTTGGCTTTCACTCATCCCTTCAGTCTGGTTCATCCCTGCTCACATCAGCTGTTCTGATTATTCAAAGCTCTGATAACATGGCGTCTGGAGCATTTCTTTCTCCTGCAGCTGATTCACTTCACGGTGTTGTTGCTACTGTTGCTTAGCAACAAACATCAGCTACTAAGAATACAGAGTTAATCGGTGAGCAGCAACGTGTTGGAGCTCCAGCAATAAAAACCTTTCCATTCACCTGTGATGTCACTGCTCCTCTGGGTCACTGGAGGACTTCTGATTGGTCCCCACACCGACTGGGCTTGGTGATTGGTTGACAAGGCAGCTATCGTTTCTATTGGACTCGTCTTTCTTTGTTGAGTCGGACAGAATTCAGCGGCATCCTGCTTCAGGCCCCGCCTCCTCGGGATAGCCTGGCTAATCAGAGCTCGTCCGTCAGATGATGTACCTGCTTCAACCGGAATGCATTATAGAAAACTGAAAATTCAGCAGGCATGAGGAGGCGGAGCCCCCGCGGTGAGGTCAAATTTACTGGTGGAAGGAGGCGGAGTCAGAACTGGGACTCAGATTCAGACTGGTCAGCGAGGACAGACGACTGAAAGACAGACTTCATCTTCCTGTCTCCTCGGAGGTCTTTTTACTTGTGCTTTCATTAGAGTGGAAGTTTGATCAGAGACGTGAGGCGTTAAACCAGGTGTGGTTGGTAGCAGCTGGAGCTGTTGGAGATGATTCTCCATCTCAAAGCTGCGTGAATAGGGATGTGAAGTGTGAGGAGTTATTTCAGGGTTCCTGCAGTAAAAGTCTGGTTCTTGTTCTATGTGCACAGACAGAATTTAATCACCCCATACAACATGTTGTTCGTGAACGTATGAACTCTTTCTCAAAATACTGTGACTTTTTTTCTCAAAACATTACGACTTTTTTATGATAATAGTTCATCTCATAGTGCAAGAGACTAGTGAGTTTCTGTGTTAATGAACATTTAGTGAATATTTTAAAAGAGATCTTTGACAAACCCACGCTCCTCACACTTCATAATCCGACACTGCAGCTAGCAGCTGATGCTGTTCTGTGATTGTTTGATGAGTCGTCTTATCAGGCGTCTGTTGCCGTGTGACATCAGTTCCTGCCGCGGCAGCAGCAGCTGTGTAGATACTGTACAGTTCAACTGATGTGAAGTCTGTTGATGTTATTTTCCTCATCTGCTGTTAAATTGATTGAAAAACAAATTAAAATGTTTAACCATTCTTTTTTATTTGATTTAATTTAACAATTTTTTAAAGAGATGGAGATCTGTTTCCTGTATTACAAAGCTTACAATAGTTTGTTTTAAACTAAACCAAAGTGTTATTAAGAAATTCTATAACTTGTATGTAAAAGTAGATGTGTGTATGCATCAGTAATGCTGACGTCTAACCAGCAGAATACTCCTCCACCTTATTTTTATAATTCTCAGCTGTTCTCTTTTCTCTAAGTTGATCTGTTTGTTTGTTTTTTTTTGTTTGTTTGTTTTTTTTTTCCAATGGGATTTTGTTTTTGTTCTTGTGCATGAACCTTTCAGACTTTAAATGATGTTTGTAATCCTGAATGTTTTCCAGGCCGAGTCTCCAGGCCGATTGGCATCACTGCACGGCGCCAGGCTTCACAGAAAACAGCCACACAACATGTTTTATCTGTCCTCAACGTTTTAATTTTAACTGTTGTGTTCAGCTTATTTAAGGGAGTATACCGACATTTAGTGTGCAACAGTTTTGTATTTGTTTGAAGGTGGGTTTATTTTGATTTTGATGAGCTAAGTTTCATAGTTTCAGCCCGCTTCTGGTCTTTGTGCTTTGCGCATGATGGACTGTTCCAATATTTCACACCTTGGTATTCCTACAAAACAACATCACACTGACTAAAGAAAACAAACTGGAGAAAATTTCTTGTAACTTATTATACAGATAAGATTTGGACCTAATAATTAAAAGTTCCTAAATAATTTTGACAAAACGTCATGAATGCACTCGTAATGAGAACTTCCTGTATAACTTCAAGAAAATGCTTTTCTTGTAATTATGAGGAAACAGTAGAGATTGAGATCTTTACTTCATAATTTCATGAAAGCTATATTTTCTCATTCGCATAAGATTTGTGTTTAATAAGTACAAGATAAAATTCTTGTAGCTATGTAGTAATGTATATTTGAATCACAGGACAACTGTTGGAATTGCACACTTATCTGCAATTTTGATATTTTTTTTCTTTATATTCATATCTAATAATTGCAAGATAGCTATATTTAATTCTGAGAAAAGATGTCATGAATTTTCCTGTAATCATGACTTCTTTATCTCGGTTAAAAGAAAACAATTTGTCTCAGTTTCATAAAAACTATATCTGTTTTATTAGATTTCATAATTTGAAAAAATGCTATAATTAAGAGATTTTTTTTTTCTGAAATTAAAGATCCCTAGCTCAGAAATCTGTCATGAAAAAAATTTCTATAAAAGAAAGTAGTCATAATTACAAGAAAGGATCTTGTAATTATGACATGTAATTACAATGTCACGCTTATTAGTGTTCTTGAAATGGAAATATAATTCCAACAGTTTGTTCAACAGAAGTCGCTGTTACAGTTTGTCTCCTGTTTGTTTGTCTTTATTAAATGTGTAAACATGTTTCTTTATCTTTCTGATTCAAACAAGCAGAACTTTTCAGTGTCAGACTCTTCGCAATTAAGAAAGCCGACAATGAAAATGTCTGTTTTTATTTGTAGCTTAGGTACAAACCAGAACGCTTTCTCCTTTTCATCTGAGTCTGGTGGTAAATGTGGAGTGAGTCTGATCGACGAAGACTCGGCTGTTTGTGGTCCTCACAGCTGGAGAATGTAAATACAGTCTGTCCTTCGTTCTGCCTGCAGACAAACTGCAGCTTCACTCTCCCAGTAAAAATATATCCAACCCAGTACAACCAGTCCGACTTGTCTGATCATTTATACTGGACACACGGACACACAGATGATATGTTCTCTACACATGTTCTACTGAGAACCCAGGAGGCTTTAATCAAGGTTCCACAGATGTTGCAGTTGTGTAGTGTGTGTATAAAAGTTTGTGTACAAGATTTCAGAAATGTTCTCCAGATGGAATGATTTCAAATAGAACAAACATCAATATATATATGTGTATTAAAATAATTGTCTGTGTATTGACACAGAACAAATATGTTAAATGAAATACTTAATATCATGTTAGTTACTGTGCTGTAGGCCTTCTAAGTGGGATTGCTGTGAAAGCAATTTAGAAAAGGCTTGTCAGTTTTCTTTTCAGCCATCTTTTGTCTCAGGTCCATGTAAATTTTAGTGTTTAAAACCAGGAAGAATGCACTCCGTGAGTTTAATGTTTACAACACAAAATAAAACCGCCTTTAGATTTATGTATCTGGTGCTTTTATTTTGAAACGTGCCTGGAAAAGTTGTCGCCGCTGCTAGCTTCACGCCAGCGGAAACGAGAGCAATTTCCTGGAAACAAACGTCAAACAATCAGAGTTAATTATTGATTATCAGGTTATCGATAATCATCTGTCACCCCCTTGGTATCTCTCATCGCTCTGACTCCGACAACAGTCCGGGAACGGCAATCTATTAAATCAGCTTGAGTAAACACCATTAGCTTCCGCTGTTAGCTTGAGTTGTCGTTAGCGTAACTCGGCCCGGCCCACTAGAGTTTGCTCGGTTGGACCCAGATCCAACTGAAAGGGATCAGAACCGTGTCCACCATGGGAGCCCATCGCAGTGAGGGAGGTCGGGACTGGCTGGAGCAGGACGTACAGGAACAGCCTGAGCAGAACCCGGTAAGAACCGGAGCTAAATGCGGCTAACGGGTTATTTTAGCTCGCCGCTAACCCGAATTAGGATGTGTTATGTGTTTTATTTTGCTTTTACATTAAAACACATATGTGAAATGCTTATGCTTTATTACATTTAAAGTTGTCCTACAAACTCAAGACATGGTACTTAAAACAACAAATCCAGAAAAGAAAGAAACTGTGAAAATGATGCGAGAGCAGTGTTCGGTTCTGGAGGAGCCGACAGCTGAGAACATGTATTAACTGGGGCCGAAGAACCGCCGTCGTTCTTTGAGGTGAAGAACATGTTCTCACTGTCACTGTGGTTCTGTGAGGTGATGTACATGTTCTCACCACTGCTGTGGTTCGGTGAAGTGAAGAACATGTTCTCACTGGAGCTCAAGAACATATTTTCACCGTTGCTGTCATTCTGTCAGGTGAAGAACATGTTCTGGTCAGGACTCTGGTTCTGATGAAAACATGTTCTCATTGGCGCTGTGGTGGTGGATGGTGAAGTGGATGGTGAAGAAACATGCTCTCACTGGATCCAAAGAACATGTTCTCATTGGCGCTGTGGTTCTGAGGTGAAGAACATGTTCTCACCAGCATTACTCTCTCTCCCCTCCTCTCTCTGTGTTTGCAGAAGCCATGGAACGTGATGATCAAACACAGACAGATTCACAGAAGAGGACGACGCTCACACATGACAGTCAGGTCAGTACTGGTTTATACTGGTTCATACAGTTTGTTGTAGTATGAACCAGTTCACATAACATGTTGTTTCACCACGTCTGAAACAGTCTCTCCTGAACACATTCATAGCATTGGCAAGTGTTCAATCATCACCTGACCAATCACTGCGTGAGGAGGCTGTGATGTAAAAATGTTTCAGAATAGTGTGGTAATGGTTTCCAGTTGAATTTCAGACCTGCAGTAGGCACACAGGTGACGTGACACAGTACTGTTGGTGGTTTCACATCAGTTGACTGATCTACAGTGTGTGTGTGTGTGTGTGTGTGTGTGTGTGTGTGTGTGTGTGTGTGTGTGTGTGTGTAGCTACACAGATCCCCAGGTGTCCATGGATCTGTTGAGGGCAGTGCTTCAGCCCAGCTTCAACAATGACATCATGGCTGTGTTCAAGAAGTACCAGAAGGTCAGAGGTCACTCCTGACAGATTCAGATACAAATGATTGTTGTGGTTTTCATCTTTCGGACACTTTTTATTCTTGTTTTGGATAAAATGCAGAGTTTTCTCAGTGGAATGTGACCTGATGAACCTGACAGTTCCTGATATTGTGTGTAGATACCATCTTACATCTATTCTAAATAATATATTTTAATCTTGTCAGTTAACAGATTAATAGTTGGTTAAGCGTTGGCTATCGGTCAGAAAAAAATTCAAAATGAGCATCTCTAACACACACACACACACACACACACACACACACACAAGGTGAAAATAATACCAGCCCTGCTGTCACGGCTGGTAACCAGGTGTGAGCAGGTGTTGTTGTTGTTTGTGTTGCAGTTCTTTGAGAAGGCAGCGGAGAATGTGAAGGAGAACGTGGGAGAAGACATTCAGACCGATCAGCTGATCAAAGAGGCCTGCAGGAATGTTCTGGAAAATGTGAGGTTATTTTCTGTTGTCTTGGATATTCTTAACTCTGATCATAAACAGAAAAAATAATTGACTGAGATCATGAGATGATCTGACCTTTGACCCCACCTGTCTGTCTGTGTCTCTGTGCTTACCGTGGTTTCCTCTGTCATCATGTCATCACCAGGCCAAACAGCTGTTTCCAGAGGGGGAGGTTAAGAGGGCGGGGCCAGATGTCACCATCAAGGTAGGAACCCTCAAACTGAACCATAAGCTCATCAGGAACAGGTGTGGTTCTGATTCTGGTCTGGTTCTTTGTGTCCTGTCAGAGGTCCAGACCTGGTGATGACGACTGCAATCAGAGAGGAAGCCCCCTCCTCAAGAAGGTAGTGTGACCTCTGACCATCACTCTGCTGGGAACAATTTCAGTCTGCAGGTTAAACACTCATGTGTTTCCTGCTCAACAGAACTGATTATAGAAAATAACAGAAAAAATCACATTTCTTTATTTTAAATATTGTAAAACCAACTAAAACTGATCTTGGGGTAAAACGGACTCCAGCAGTGAGAGGCTGCAGGTCTGAAGATCAACAGTCAAAGAGGGTTTGAAAAGTGTGAACTGTCATTTCCAAAGAGGAGAAACATTTTTCTCCTGTCAATAGAAACATCACTCATGTCAGGTGGTCAGGTGTGACGGGTGTGTGACAGGTGGAGGTTTAAGTTTTATAATTGTGATTATTTTGTGTACTCAGAGAAAAACTCGTCCCAGCGCGGCACCCGCCTCCTCTGATCGACCTCTGACCTTCTCCTCTCAGTGAGTATCTGACAGGTGACATCATCAGTATCCAGGCAGATTATCACACCTGACTAACTCACTGACTGTTTGTCCTCAGAGTGAAGCCGAAGTCCGATCCCATCAAGAGAGAAGGACCGAAGGTAAGTCAGATCTCACCTGACGGACTAACAGACAATTACCATGTCTACAACACCTACCATGTTCTGCGAGATAAAATTTACCATTTTGTTAATGGGTCTGATGTTCTTTGTACCTGTATATCGTCCTCCACCTCCCTCGTCACCCCCCAGAGTGTGTATGTTTGTGAGTGCATACTTACCTGTTTTCCTGTGTTTCAGTGGGATCCGTCCAGACTGAATGACAGCAGCACATTTGTTCTCGGCTCCAGGGCAAACAAGTGAGTCTACAACACGTTTTTTAGTCATTATTTACATTAATAAAGATGAAGTCGACATATGTGGAGTTTTACTGCCCTGTTAAAGTGCCACAGTTCAGTTTGCTGCAGATACTGAGATGACACAACAGCAACATCAAATGAGTTTAACAAATGAAACTAAAGCAGAAGGAGAGGAGGAAGGAGTCCATGTGTTTAGTCAGAAACATCAGTGTCCTGTTTACGTGGTTTTACATTTCAGTTAGAGGAAAAATACTGATGATTTTTTTTTTCTTGTATTTGAGTGTGTTCATTGTTGTTGATATATTTAGATGCAAAGGTAGATGTAAACTCCTCATGTTCCACGTGGACAGTAAAGTAGGAATATTCTGAGAGCAGATCCACAGGTAAACTCACTGTGAACCTGTTACTGTGATGTCACTGTGCAGGGCGCTGGGGATGGGTGGGACCAGAGGACGAATCTACATCAAACACGCGGACTTGTTCAAGGTAACCACACACACAGAGCAGTGTTGTACTGTGTTCATAACAAACAGATATGCAGTGTTGCTGTGTATATGCTGCAGTTTAATAATCATCTGTGTGTGTGTGTGTGTTTGTCAGTACGCTGCAGATGCGAAGGACAAGCAGTGGTTGGCAGAGCGACACCACATGAGAGCAACAGGAGGGAAGATGGTGAGAAGAAACATAGGAACTATAACATGTCAAATATGTAAAAAAAAAAAAATTTAAAAAGTCCAGAATCCAGGTTTGTCCAGGTGGAACGCACCACTATAACACTTGTGTTTGTGTTCAGGCCTACCTGCTGATTGAGGAGGACATCCAGGATCTTTCCCGCAGTGACGAGTACAAGTGAGTCTGATGTCATCTGTCTGTCTCCACAGTAACCACCTCCAAGGGTTTTCCTCCCCGTAGTTACCATGGTAACAACTGTGTGTGTGTGTGTGTGTGTGTGTGTGTGTGTGTGTGTGTGTGTGTGTGTGTGTGTGTGTGTGTGTGTGTGTGTGTGTGTGTGTGTGTGTGTGTGTGTGTGTGTGTGTGTTCAGGGACTGTCCAGACGTCAAGATGGATGAGATGAAGCCGTTCACTGTTCCTCTGTGGATGGTGGAGAAGATGCAGAAAGCCATGGAGGCTCAGAGAGACTCTGATCTCTGACCCCCAACACTCAATGAACACATGACCTCTGACCCCCACCACCACACACACACACACACAAACACACACCTGCTGTCCATAGTAAAAAACAGCCAGGTACTGGATAAACAATCAGCCAGTCAGAAAGGAGAAATTGCTCATGTGACCACCTGACTCTGAACTGATTGACTCCTTCCATAGTTTTTATTTACTGTTTTTAAAAAATGAAATTAAAACTGTCTCTGACAAGAGGATGTGTTTGTCGTTTGTTCATCACCTGAATTAGATCAGTCTGGCTCAGATTTTATGTCATTGTTTTTGCACTTTGTAAAATCAGCTCTTCTTCTGCCACACAACAATAAACATCAGAATCCATACCTCAGGACTGGTCCTGGTCCAGGATGAGTCCACTCTGACATCAACATACCTGAGAGACAGGTAAACAGGCAACACACCACACCCTGCAGGTTTTGACATTACAGACTTTATTTATAAAAATAAACAAACAGACACAGGAACATTGGGACATCATCAGGAGGGGTGGGGCATCACTCAATCCCTTCCTGTTTGTCTTTGATGGCGACTCTGAAGCGTTCCTCCAGCAGAGACAGCTCACTGATCAGATCTGTGATGGCGTTCGTAAACGCTTCCTGTCAATAACACATCGCCTCCTGTCAATGAAACATCTCATCCTTTCAAAATAAAAGGCCTCTGAAGGCGTGTGTGTGTGTGTGTGTTACCTGTGGACTGTAGTCAGGTGTGGTCTGTACTCTGATGACGATCTTGTGCTCCAGAGGATGAGGAACTTTATAACCAGCAAAGAGAACCTGAGGATCCTTCAACAGCTGACTGACACAGAAACACACACATGATCAGGTATTGATCATAATCATATTGATCAGTCAGGTGTAATACTCACTTTGAAGGGCAACTGTCAACTAATCACATGATTGATCATGACTGATTAAAGAATGAATAACCAGAGATATTGATCCTACACCATCATATATTTTTAGACCAAATAGACTCATCAGTTTAAAAAAGTTCATGTTATTTGTGTGAAATCTTTAAATCTGCAGGTGATTTCAGCTCATGTAGCATGTTGTAGCAGCTAACTGCTGTTCTACAACATGCTACTTTTATTTTGTTAATGTCAGTGCGTTGGATCATATTTGCCGTCACATTTTGGTCTGTATGATCTGTTGTCAGTTCAGTACAGATGTATCTGTAGGCTATCTGTCTGCTGAAAAATTATTTAACAAATAGCAGAAATATTTTTAGTCATAATTTGTTTTATTTTTGTAAAATTTCCTGATTAGTACATTTCTTTTAAAAATGTTTTAGGGAACCTTAATAAAAAGTGTTTATGCTCAGAACTGTATAAAGAAAATAATTTGTCTATCTATATTGGCCTCAGTAATCCAATATCTGTGGTTAATAGTTGAGCTGCAACTAAACTTAACTCTAGACCTGTTGATTACTTACTTCATTAACAGTTCTGTCAATGAAATGTCAAAAGATAGTGAAAGATGTAATTTAAATGATGCCTCCAGCTGACGTCTCCAGCTGACTTATTTTGTACAAACTAAGACACATTCAGTTTAGTTTGACTCTCACATGACTGACTAATTAGCTCTGTGAACTGATCTGTGTTAATTCTGATAAACTCAGTTTATAGAACTAATTATCTATTATTTATATAATAATTCTGGTTCAAAGACCTTTCACAATAAGAGCTGCTATATTGAGCCTTCTCCTGCATCCTGTTAGCTCTGTGTTTAGCATTCTATTAGCATTGTTAGCAGTCTGTTAGCGTCGTTAGCCTCTTACGCTCGGATTATGTTGCCCAGCGTGTGGTCCTCCTTGTTCAGAGTGAACAGACAAGCATTGGGGACCTTTGTGTCCTTGCTGATGCTGATCTTCTTCTCTCCTTCAAACAGCAGAAATGACTCGAAGGCTGGAGGCGCGTTCATCTTCTCTAAGCGCGAGGTGAGCGGTACCAACCAGAAACACTACTTCAAAATAAGACGATAACTTCCGGCTCATTCTTCTTCGTCGAAACTCTCTCGGTGCAGAGTCCAGGTGAGGAGTCCTCCGAGGAATAACTGCAGCTGGAACAGCAGCTGATCTCAGCAGCTCAGCACAGCAGGTGATGACCGGTGATGACTATTCAACACACCTGTACCTGACTGAACTGAGACAAACCAATCTCAACCCAAAGCTCCACAAACGTAAAGTTTTTTGATAGTTTTTCTGGGGAAAAAAAGGGGAGATTGGCGAAAGCTGCACCTGGTAATTGATATTAAAAATCTAATTAACTTTAATGTGAATTTATGACTCTTTTCATATGTTTGGTTTGTTTATTTATGTTTATCGATATGTGCTGGTCTGGTGATTGTGCACATAAAACTCAGAGTCCACAGAGGCAGTGCTTTTGTAAAACATTCATTATGTTTCAGCTGCAGATTCAGACAAACTGGCAACAACATATATTAGATTTCACCTCTGACACCAGAGGTGAAATTTTCCAACGGGAATTATATCATATTTCAAAACTTAAGGACTACAGAGATCAGTCCTTTGATCAAGATCAATTGACCACATGTGAATAGTCACTCTCTCCTAAAAAACTCAGTAAAGTGTCATTAGGTGGTGGCCCTATCAAACAACCAACAGGCAAGCGAAAAGGACCGTCACTCTGAACGTCCCTTTTAAACATCGACAAGTAACGCGCACGACGTCAACTGTTGTATCTCTTTCCTGGTTTGATCAGTTTGGTTGTTCAGTTCCGGAAGTTCCTCCTGCCCAATCACAGCGATGCTCCCTCCATGCTCGCCCTTTTCATTGGTCAGCAGGAGGTGGTTTGTTTTTGAAAGTCGGGCGCTGATTGGCCGTTTGTGTGAGGGAGAGTCTGTTTAAACCGGGGGGCGGGAGTGTGTTCAGTTTGAAACGGAGAGATTGCAGCTCGGACCACGAACACCCCGACACACGGTGAGTCCCGCAGGTAGGTGTAACACCTGGTTTATACACCTGATAATTTTTTTTTGCTGTGTGTTCGCGTGGACCTGCAGCAGCGGGCTGTTTGTCCGCTCGGTGTTTGTCCCATAGGAAACAGACTCACACCAGAGCCCGTCCAGTTAGCCGGTTAAGCTAATGTTGCTAGCACGAAGCTAAAACAGTACCGGGGCGAAAACAGGCGAACTGCTAACGAACCGACTTTACCGGTTGACGGACTGTTTTTACCCGGCTAACAGACACAGGACTGTACAGCTGACGAATTCGCTGGTGACTGTCATTCAGTGCTATATCCGATAGCTAACATTTAGCTGCTGCTGAATTTAACGGGAGAATCTAAGGAGTGTATCCGCAGTGTGAGAGCTGTGTGTTGGTGTTTGTCCCGCTGTGACCCCGTGTCTCTGTCTCTGTCTGTATCCAGCAGTAACCAGACCATTTGCACTCATGGCCTCCCAGAATATGGACCCTGCAGCGACTGCAGCTTCCTCCACGGCCGCTCTGAAGGGCAGCGAAAGCGGCGGCAGCGCGGCCAGAAGCTCGGTGTCCAAACGGTAAGAGAAACAACCGACCGGTCCGGTCATTTGTTCTATGTCCTGTGTTTGTTTGTCCCAATGAAAAATGCTTGTAACAGCCCAGTATCTGTATTTAGGTTGAAATGATCCTCCAGACTGGGCAACACCAGGGATGTGGATTTAACTGGTGAATTAGTGAATGTTGATGCAGCTCACATCTGGAACCTGAGACTCACTCAATACACAGTCCAGACCACAAGTGTTAAGTTAGTTGTTTCTTTATTGAACGCAGCCTATAAATGTTCACAGTGCTGGTGGGAAAAAGTCAGTGAACCCTTGGATTTAATAACTGGTCCAAACTCTTTCAGCACCAATAACCTCAAATAAGCTCTTCCAGTAGCTGCTGATCAGACCTACACATTATTCAGGAGCACCTTTGGACCATTCTTCCTTATAGAACTGTTTTAGTTCAAACATGTTCTTAGGATGTCTGATGTGACTTCTCTTCAGGTAATTCCACAGCATCTCTACTGGACTAACATCTGGGCTCTGAATGGGCCACTCCAAAAGGTGGATTTTCTACAGGTCATTCTGTAGTATATTTATTTTTGGCTACATCCCCACTAATATGCTTTTCGTTTTAAAATGAAATGATTTCCGACCAGATGATCACTAAGCTCTGCATCGGAAATATTCTCCATCCATATTAACACACCTGAAAACGCGTGTGCCAGTGTAAACAAGAAGCAAATTGTCTACTGAGCAGTTGGTTAGTTGCAGAAAATACTACAAACGAGGAACAGAATAGGCAGTTGTAGCATTAAGATGCAGAATTTAACTGCACAACAGCTACTAGCAAAGACAACAAGGTCAGCAATGCTCCTACTGAATTATCCATACTGCGTTCATCAATGGTAGTCACAACCTGGATTTTTCAAACTAAAACGGGGGTCAGCAGCGTTTTCAAAAGTCTCAGTTTTAGGGCCCTCAAAAAATCTGTAGTAGTGTGGAAGCCAGTAGCAAAAGTGATGCCATTGATGTTGACAATTAATTTTTCCCATGATGATGGAAGTTGTCCAGGACCAGAGGCGACAAAGCCCCAAATCATGATGTTCCCTCTACCCTAACTCACCTTTTGGGATGATGTTTTCATGTTGGTCCCAGAAAAATGCCTGTTTTTCTACAAAATACAACAGTTTTTCTCATTTACATGAGGTTCTGTTGTCAGAAACTGAACCAAGATAAAACTTATCACAGCTAATCAACACTATGTTGACCAGCAGGATTCATTATATTACAACACAGTAAACAGACATCCAGACTCATGACAGCAGCTGTGAGACAGACTGTACTGACACATAAAATGCAGCACCATGCAGCCCTGCACCCTCACTAAACAGCTCTAGAAACAGAGGAAGGTGTGTTCAGAAGTTTTACTGGCTTTGCTGTGCCTGTAGAGAACATATATACACTGTTTAACATGTAAGTAAGAGGCAGCATGTGGCAATCGAGTAATTTAAGCAAGTAAAGCCTCTTCTCCATCGACATGTACATTAGAAATGTGTCTGGACATTGAAACTGTCATACAGCTGGTGGCTGGTTATCACTGAATATTTGTGACTGACAGCAGAAACTGGGTTTTATTGTTGATGGAGAGTCAGTTTAATGTAGATCACACACCTGCCTGATACCTGATGTATTACTCTGATCACTGTTCTGTCAACTAGACCATTGTCGTCCTGCAATTAGTAATTTCTTCAGTTTAATCTGGTGGTCATTTTCTTGATTTAACATCAAATCCATCCCAGTTTCCCAGAATCCAAGTTGGTGTGTTTAAAATGTTTTGCTTTGTCTGACCAACTGTCATGTATGACAAAAAAGCAGCAGATTATCATTTGAGTAGCTGAACCAGCAAATTAATGAAACAGTTGGTCAATTATCAAAGTAGTTCTCGATTGTTTTTGGTTTGATAAATTGCTGCATGTCTATCCATGTTCTGTGTAAATGAGGGTGAATGTTGGAGAAATGTGAGGATGTGAAACTGAAGTCGACCTACAGATGTTTAACACGTGTCTGTGTCTGCAGGCTGCAGCAGGAGCTCATGACTCTGATGGTGAGTTCAGCTTTTATTTCTGTTTATTAACAGTGACCATGTCCTGATTCAGTTTAAACCACTGGGCTCACAATGGTAACCAGACATCACTCACATTAAGGTCTCATGTTGTGATGGGGTTTAATTACCATTTCATGAAATGCTTGTTCTCCTTTGCATCCAGAGCCTGTAAACTTGTTCTCTCCTCTCCAAGTTTGATCTTGGCCTGTTCTGTGACTTTGTGTCTGAAAGACGAGAGAGTGAAGTACAGCGTTTATAAACTGCAGCTCAGAGAAGATAACCACATCACACATGAAAACGTGCTCATATGCCCACGCACCAAATGAAACTCTCAGTAGCAACATGTGGGGGGACCTTTTGGGCGTGATGACTCCTATTGACTAAATATTGAATCTAAAATGTTGATGTTGATAAGCTGGGCAATATGAATGTACATCTCTCACTATATAACCAAGTATTCTGCAAAGCCACCATGACCTGTCTCACTCTGATGTTGCAGATGTCGGGTGATAAAGGCATCTCAGCGTTTCCAGAATCAGATAATCTCTTCAAATGGGTTGGAACCATTGACGGAGCTCAGGGGACGGTAGGTTCACACACGGCTGTGATAGATCTGTTAGATATAACATAAGAGCTACACTACAACTAGTCTGTGGAGGAAGCAGTTTGTTTACCCGTGTGTGTCTTTCAGGTGTATGAGGGTCTCAGGTACCGGCTGTCTCTGGACTTTCCTGCTGGTTATCCATATCAGGCTCCTCGTGTGAAGTTCGTCACTCCGTGTTTTCACCCCAATGTGGACGAACAGGGATTTATCTGTCTTGATATACTAAAGGACAAGTGGTCAGCGCTCTACGACGTCCGCTCCATCCTACTGTCCATCCAGAGCCTGTTGGGAGGTAACCAGTATAACTAGTTCAGACTCCTGATTTCTTTATCTGAAACACATTAACTGATGAAATAATCAACATGCAGCCCCTGAAAAGTCTTTTTAAAAATGAATAAATTCAGTTTCCTTGTGAAAATTAGGTTTTAAAAGTCTCTTAAATTCTCTTGCATGCTGGGCTTAGGGTTTTCTTTTTTCTTTTTTACCTTTCTCAATTCTTTTCCTTTTTCAGACCTAAAAACTACTTTAATCTTTGTGCTGCTCAGACATGTAGACATACTGAGTTGTCAGGAGGAAACATTACATTGAATTGAAATGGCCAGCAAGTAAAAATGTTGGTGCACTTAAGGTTTAATTAACCACTATGTTTTTAGTCTCAGTTTGTTCACATCAAACTGACTCCATTAAAAGTAGGCGAGTCAGCTGTGATCAGCTCCGGTTTGCAGTGTAACCATGGATGAAGTTTATCTACCACTGGATTACTGTGATACTGCAGAAAGAGGTTTATTCTGGATGGACATCAGAGAAGATGATATCCTCAGGAAGTGGAAGTCACACTGAATCATATCAACATGTGTTTCATGTCTGTGTATTTTAAAGTATCTTCATCTCCACCATAATTTCCTGTTAGCCTTTTGACCTTTTTATCTTCTGACTCTTTAAATAAAAAGTAACATCAACTCTTCACAGGACGTTTACATCTAAGTTGCAAAGACATATGATGTTGTTTGAATAGTTTTTTCAGGATTTTGGAACATCTGAATCGGACAAACGTCAAATTAAAGTTGAGCCAACAAACTGAGGAGAGCAGCTCACTTTGTTTACACACTTTACCTTGTTCTTGAAATGCTGATAGTGCATATTTGTAAATGTTTATTAAAGCCAGAGAACAGCCTGTGGCAGACTGATGATGTTTTATTCCCTTTCAGAGCCCAACAATGAGAGTCCTCTGAACACTGCTGCTGCTGAACTCTGGGACGATCAGGAAGGTGAGAAACATTCAAACTCTGCAGGTTGATGACACAGCAGCTGCTGCCTTCACAGTAGCTTTTAGATACAGATTTTACATTAGAGCCTGGACACATTAGATATACAGTAATACAGAAGTGATCGATCGTCGTGTTTATAGTTTGGTCCACACACAGCACACCTCCAGAAGCGTTAGAAGTACTAAAGTACAGTTCTTAGGTACTCTATGCGGGTATTTCAAATTTAAAGTTGTTACTTTTTGTACTTAGATTGGACTTTTTGCAGTTGCCACAGATTACACTGAAAATACATGATGAATATAGTATAATTCAGTCAGGTGTTAAAGATGAAACCAGTGCCTCTCAGCTGTTTGGTTTGTGACCCTGGACTAAAAACCTGTGATGAATTTTCAGCAGTTCACCCTGAGACATTTTCGCCTCTAAACCTGGCATGGTCTCATTTCAGTCACTGTATGATTCAGCAGAACACGAGCATCATGTGAAATTTAAAGACACTGTAACCTAAAGGTGAAAATGAAATGGTAATTTAGACTTTTAGATTATGTCCTCTGAAATCTGTCACATCATATAAATGGCCGTCCAAAGTCATTTTGCTTTTTCATTTTCATCATTAGCGTAGTATGTTCATTTAAATCTCAGCCTGACATTATCTTATGTCAGTTTATAATAATATTAATATGTATAATGAAATGTAATATTATGATTTGTCTCTTTCAGCCTTTAAAGCTCATCTACACTCGACCTTCCAGAAATGAAGCACCTCCCTGTTTTATTGTTCTTCTGCTTGTCTGTCTTCTGTGTTTGTACAATATTTTTATGTTTGTTCACCTCGATGTATCAATAAAGTTCTTAATTCAACATGCAAACAGTGATGGACTATTTGATGGGTATAACAGAAGTGTTCAGATTTCTCTACTGAAGGAGAAATTCTACTTTTTGTACATTAGATTTTCAATTACTTAATGTTAAATGTTACATTGCTGTAAAGTGTTAACATTCATTTTAACATTTTACAAGTCAAACTGGTGTTTATACTTCACTATATGATTTTAAAAAAAAAAAAAAAAAAAAATGGCATTAGCCACTGTGCTAACCTCCAGCTAGCACAGTGGCTAATGCCATTTTTTCACCTGTACTAACTACAAAGCAAGTTAAGCATACCCAGGATATATTTTTATCTGGCTTAACTGAACCTAATATCGGCCATTCTGGTAAATATGCTATGAAGCTGGTTCAGTGAACTGTTGCACAGTAAATATGATCACACAACTAAGAAATAATCATTCATTAATAAATGATCATTTAAGTAATGCCAACGATATATGTGTGTGTGTATATATGGTGGAGTGTTTTCCCTTTGTCTGATGATGAACAAACTTATGAACATAAAATGCAGAAAAGTTCAAAGTAATGTCAAAGAGGAGAAAAAAGGAAGTGGTTTACTGCAGCATGTAACCCTGAAAGCCCAGAGTTAAACCTTAAATTACCTCACTAATATCAACTCCTGCTTCATAGAAGGCTACAGGTCTCAGTAGGAAGAGGAACAGCAAACGTTCATGGTCGCAGCTCATCATGTTTGTACGATTCTTATTTTTGTGTAAGAAAACCTTTAAAGATGTTTCTTGTATTTCTTCAACTGACTCACTGCAGGAATCACTCCAGAAAAAAGTAGTGCCTGGCCCTTTGGTTGAGACACTTTTGTTAAATAAACAATCTAGTTTCTATCATGTTCTAATCAAAACATTTGCATTTTTAGTGAATTGCCAAACTATGATCAGCTGGTGTCCCTTGCTGTTCACATCTAAAATCAGATTGAACCTCTGAACCTTATACTGTTAATGCAGTTTTTACATGAAAGGCAGGATATCTTTTATTTAGATAAATATCAAGTGCTTTTATTTTGACAGAGTAGGTTGTAAGTTTGAAAATTAAGACTATAACCACAGTTTAATTCTCAAAAAGAATAGAATAATTATCACAGTGTCATGAATTTATCTTAAAAATACATTCTCAACATTTATTCATAGACAACAGCAGAGTCTAATGAGTTAATTCCAGATTCTATGAAAATCTTTTTTCTTTGCTTCACATTCAAAGCGGCCAGATCATGTTGATGTCAGCAGTCTGAGTCGGGACTCCCCCGTCCTACTGCCTCTAGCTGATACAGCCCAGTCCGCAGCACGGTGGCTGGCAACAGACAGCCATCTTGGATTTGTTGTGTGAGGCGACCTCAACCTCCATCAGGTCCTCCAGGCTATCATCCAGCTCTTCCAGTTCACTGCGTGCTTCAGCCCAGGCCGGCTGGGACGCTTCCACCGACCAGAATGCAACAGGCACCTGCAGAACCCCCACACAGGTTTGAATTGAATACAAACACTTCAAGATTCTCCCCCCAAATACACAACATTTCTACAATGTACTAGATACTCCCTAACAAGTTGAGGTATGAGAAAGTACAAGGTACAAGTCTCGTACCTGGGGTGTACCTCGTACCTTCTTGTACCTCAACTTGTTCCCAATACAAGAGCCTCCAAATACGCAACCCTTCCACCAGGTACGAGATACTCTCCCCAGGTACAGGACACTTGCACCAGGAACAAGATACTCCCCCCAGGTCTGGGGCACGATACTTCACCCAGGTACGGAACACTTGCACCAGGAACAAGATACTCCCCCCAGGTCTGGGGCACTTGCACCAGGAACAAGATACTTCACCCAGGTCCAGGACACTTGCACCGGGAACAAGATACTTCTCCCAGGTACGGAACACTTGCACCAGGAACAAGATACAGGTACAGGACACCAAAAGATATAAAACAATCCCATCAGGTTCAAGACCCAGTTCTACCCTAGATCATGTTCTTGTTATCTTCCATCTGTTTTAACAGCAAGGGTGTTCTCTGTCTCACCCTTAGCTGCATCTCACTCAGCATGTCCTCCAATCCTGCGATGTGATTGTTCAGATCAGGACTCGGCTGCTCCTCCAAAGTGAGCCACGGGACCTGGACTAAAGCCACCCGGGCTGCCACACCCACCATGCCATCGATACATCCTGGAGAGGAAAGAGAGTGACAGTCATTGAAGAACATCTATTGGTCCTTAAAGAAAGTTCAAAGGCTCCTTGAAAGAGAGATATCTTTGGTGTCTTGGTGGGTGTTCCTGTTGTCCCTAAGGAGGTTCTAGGCTCTACCTGAAAAAGAAGCACCCAAGGCAAGATGTCAGGGAACCAGGAGGGGAACCAGAAATCATTTACAATGGTTCAGGAAACCTGGAAGAGACCGTGTGAGTTCTTGGAGAGCCTGTTGAAGTCTTCTTGAAGATGTTCCAGAGAGTTCTTCAGCTCTTCAGACAAGTATCTTTGAAGGGGTTCTCCAGATCTTTGAGGTAGTGCCAGACACTCAGTGTGAAGGAAGTAAAGAAAGGGGCTAAGGTAAGAATGTAAGGAAGGGGGTAAAGCAAGAAAGGTACGAAGGAAAGCTGCAATAGCTGACCTGTGTTGACCAATGAGCGTCTGTCGTAGCGCTGAGTCAGAGGGAACTGTCCAATCAGATCGCTCGCTTTATGGAGGTCAGACAGGAAGTTCTCCAACGCTGACAGAAAGACAACCCACAGCCGTTCTGACACCTGCCTGTCCTCTATACCTGAGGGATTGGAGTCACTGTCTGACAGCAGACGCACCAGACGCCGGGAAAGACCTACACAAAGACGGACAGGTGAGAGAGAGAGAGAAAGTTGCGATAGAAAAGTTTATAGACAGATGTATATTCTGATGTGTGAACAGATATATAAAGTTCAGGTGTAGTGTCGGAGCTTACCACTGCAGATCCGATGAGCGAGCACCCTCGTTTCGTCCATCTCGTCTCGCAGGAAGCTGCAGTCTGCTGAGCTGCCGAGCGATGCCGCCAGCTGCTGGAAACAAGAGGTGACCCTACTGAGAGCCTCCTGCGCTCGCTCACATTCACCCTGCTGCCGGCGCCGTGCAGCGAGCTCATCCACCGATCGACGCCACCGACTCATGATGTCATCACCCACCTGAAAGGTGAGGAGTGACAAGTCTATGGATCTATAGCAGCTGCTTCACCTGGTTTAATTCACTCATTTCATTCACTCAGGTCTTTAACATAGTTCTGATGTTAAAATGTGAAACCTAATAAAAGCATTGTTTTTGTAATGTTTTTTATCTAGAGCAGTGGTTCCCAACCTTTTCCAACTCATGGCCCACTTGAAAATCTCAAAAATGTTGGTGGCCCATATCTGATCTTATAACAATATGGACGTCAAATAATACATTCCTAGGACACTTTTTATTTTAATGATAATGATCGTACATTTAGGACTGAACTGAAAGAAGGGAAGCTCAGTTTTTCTTTTTTGTTTGACTGGGGAGGGGGGATCACTTGTCAATTCACCATCTGTCTCTTTCCTTTTAAATCTTCCTGTTGCTAACCAGCTATCCATTTTGATACTCCAGTTTTTGCAATGGATGTCATGTTTTAGTGGGCAATCATACTTTAACAGCAAACTGTGGTCCAGCAGTGACAACATAAGTTCCTATCATTGGCTTATCACAGTGATGGGCCTTAATACTAGAAAAAGAAAAAACAATGGAAGGAGTTATTTTCCAAATAATTTTTTGACCCACTTGCAATTCCTTCACAGCCCACAGGTTGGAAATCACTCATCTAAAGAATACCTGAGGCTGAAGAGGAATTAGTTTATTTCATTTGTGAATCCAAACCCTGATGTGTTGTAGAAGTCTTTGGTCCATTCCTTCCACGTGTCCACTCACACTTTTCTACCCATACCTGTCAATTTACCTCTGTCCACCCACACCTTTTCATCTACATCTGTCAACTCACTTGTTCAACCAATGTTAACAGTTAGGGTACTGGAGGGTTAGGGTTAGGTCATCTGCTCAGTCAACAAATAAAATCATAATCTCTGTACAAACCAGCAATTACACTGTCCATTTATTTCAAGTGAGCATTCGGTGAATCTGACTGACTGAAAATATCGGAGTCCACAGAATTTGTGCTAAAATGCAGATTTAGATGCTCTCTTTACTTCGTATAGCTATTTGAAGACCCATAGTTGGCGGTGTGTGACGTTGTGACGTACTGCCGTAATGTGTTATGCACTTATCAGAGAGATCGTACCTGTTCAACCAAAGTTTCATTGTGCAAGTACAGGTGTTTGGGGCACGAGTGGGAATTAAAGAGGAGCTGTTCTCCCTATTACAAGTCAATGTACCATCAAAATGATTTTTAAGCTGTTATGTAAAGGTAGTATAAATGCATAATGTTGCTTTAAGAACTGAAAATGATCAACATAGATAATAATGAACACATTTTATCTTAAGATGATGCAATTTCCCGTCAGTCTGTAAGCATCATCTAATATAAATATTTTTAGGGATCCTGACGATTCCATAGCAGTGACTCTGGGGTCAAACAATCTAAATTATAAAATGAAGCCATTATTCTCTGTTAGCCAAACTTTAAATCTCTTTAACTCTGCTCTTTCTGCCCACTCACTGAAGATGTTTGAAGTTTTTAAATAAAGAAAAGTTTGTGAATAAGGAATAAAACCAATCCTACCTGCTGCCGATCACAACTCCATCCAGCTTCTTCTTCTGTAGTGGAGGACCGTGTAGGTTTCTATAAACACTCTTCTTCTTTTCCTCTCTGGGGATCACCTGTGTTTTTAATTAAAGCCTGGAGGCCAGCTGAGGCCTGAAACTTCCAGCTTGGCTTCAGTATCTCCCAGGGGGCTCTTTCTTTTACCCTTAGCAGGCTAACCTCATGGATTCACCTGCCGAGGGAGGCTGCATCATGACAGGTGAAAGATGTTATTTATAGACTGACCTGGGTCAGTTAATCAAGTGTTATAGCCGTTTCCATCCAGGAACAAAAAGGTCACTGGTGTTGCACAAGCTTCATAAACTAGTTAGTATCAAAAGTATGAAAATAATGAAATCTTTGGGTTCAGACTAGTTGCGTGTTCACAGGTGAACTCAACTCTGTCTCTGAAGATGGAGTCTGTCTGTTGCTAACTGTGCTAACATCAACAAAGTGCTGTGTCATGTTGTTGGGTCATATCCTCGTCACTGTGCTACAAAATAATAAATACAAAATGTTCTAAAGATTAACTAGCTGCTGGGTTAACTACCTAAAAGTAGACATCAGTTAACAACTAACTTTGTCTACCATACATTCTTAACTCTACAATTATACATAATGCTAGCTATCGTTTGTACAAGTGTTAGCTTTTAATATTGTGCATTATGATGGCTAAAGCTTAGCTAAAATGGTACAATGTCAGTTCCATTTGCTAATTTTGTATGTAGTTTATTTACTTAGTTGTTTTAACTTAATCTATTAAAAAAGGTTTAAAAAGTTAAACAGTGATCAGTCATGTCTGTGTTTGTACTTTATTTGATTTTATAAATTTTTATCACTGAAACTAAACACAGCTGATCCTCCACATGCTCCGCCCACTACAGAGACAGGAAATGACACAACAGGTCAGCTGACCATCAGTAGGTGTCCTCTGATGTCACCTGATCATCATCATTATCACAGGACTCATTAATCAAACATCAAATCAAACGATGGCACTTTATAAAGACAGAAACCTTAAAGGAACAGCCCACACTCAGCAGTCTAATCCAGGACTGTTGGCCTAGCTCTGCACAAATACTTGAAGTAGAGGGAAAATGTTAGCCTAGCTTAGCACAAAGACTGGAAGTAGAGGAAAACTGTTAGCCTAGCTTAGCACAAAGACTGGATGTCGAGGGAAACTGTTAGCTTGGCTCTATCAGAAAAGAACTAAAACTTCACTCAGCCACTCATGTGCCTGACCTTTGACCTGCTGTGTTGTTTATTTATCAAGAAATAAAAATGTAAAACGCTGATTTCAGTTTTTTAGGAGCAGATACACAGAAGGACGTCTTCATGCACATCTGTGTTTTTCTAATTCCTTCTTTTTATGTTTTTTGGATCATTTTAACACAGAATATTATTAGAAACATAAACTTTCATGAATGAGGCTCAGTCTATTGAAATCTAATGAGCCTGATGTCTGCTGGTTTGGTGTCCTGTGATCTGAAACGACTGCATTTGAGATTTTAAAAAACACTTCAAACAAATAATAATAATGATGATAATGATTATTTGCCGTGGTTATATTCAGAATCAGAGCATTTTCAGATCCAATATGACGGTTATAACAGAATTAACCAGGTGATGGTGATGGCATCGGCATCTGAATTTGGCTGATCTTCAGTCTACAGTGCAGATCAATACACCCACAAAAACTGAAACTACAGGATAAACAATGAGGCTTATAGGCATGAAGTATGTAAATTGTGTCATCGTAAACAGTCACATCTTTCACCTCCTTACAGACGAGCAATATATTCAGCAGCTGACCTTTTTACTTGTGTGGACTTTGAAAAATTCATGACCCCGACGTCCAGATGCTGCTGTGTCATGTTGCAGCTTGTTGGTCTAAAATTGTTGGCGAGTGACTTCTTGTGATCTCAGCTGCCAGGAACCAGAACCTGAGCAGACTCTAAAATCACAGGTCACGACTGAACACTCAAATCTGATTCTGCTCTTACAATTTGTGCTCTCTCTCAGATGTTTGTTCCTCTTCTGATGAAGCTAGGCTAACAGTATCCCCCTGCTTCCAGTCTTTGTGCTAAGCTAGGCTGACAGCCCTGGACCTCTGTCTGCACTGGATTCTGGACAGAGAACAGGAGGGTTTCATAAACAGTGCGAGTGTTGATTTTAGACTCAGTCACAGATTTACGCATATTAAAGAATTACATGTTTGTTTCCAACATGGTTAATTAGTGTTATCATTTAAAGTCTGTCAGTCTGCACAGTGCAGCGGTTCAGTCTGACAGGTGTCCTTTAACATCAGGACACCTGGAAGATGATAAATAAGTCAGTTTGTGATCAGCTGTTTGTTCTCAGTTCGTCCAGCAGGAGGCAACAGAGAGAAAAAACTTTCACAGTAAAACATCAGAGACGCCGCCTTTTCTCTGTGATGATGTCATCACCGGTCCTGCCTGATTGGCTGTAGCCTCAGAGTGGGGGTAATGCTGGTATTCAGATGGGGGCCAAGTCAAAGTGGACGGGTGTGTCAAGAGTCAGATGGGTGGGTCTACAGGTGAATTCTGGATTTATTCAGTTGTGGTTCCAATGTTCTTGATTCTTTCTGTTCTCCTCTTGTTGATGTTTCTACGGTGAAGTCCTGTTGTTGTAGTTCTGGTTCTGTTGTTCTGGATGAGCTCCTCTGGTTCCATTGTTTTTCTGGTATGTAGTGTAGGTGCAGGTATTATGTTCTGACTGTTGTATCTTTAGGGTTTATGCTGTTGCTTGTGTTGTCATGGCAGAGTGCGTGTTGTCATCGTCATGGCAATATGTTCATCTGTCTTCATCTGTCTTCATCATGGCATCATGTTGTGTGTTGTCGTCGTCATGGCAGCGCATCGCGTTATTGTCGTCGTCTTAGCAGCATGTCGTTTCGTTGTCGTCGTGATGGCAGCTTGTCATGTCGTCATCATGGTATCGTGTAGTCGTCGTCATGGCAGTGTGTCATGTTGCTATCATTGTCATGGCAGCTTGTCAATTCATTATGGCAGCGTGTCGTGTTGTCATCGTCGTCATGGCAGCCTGTCATGTGTGTCGTCATCGTCATAGCAGCGTGTCGTGTTGTCATCGTCTTCATGGCAGCGTGTCGTGTTATTTTTGTCATCATGGCAGCGTGTGTGTGCGTGTGGCGAGTGCCTCCATCAGCTCATGGCAGAGACACTGACAGAACCCATAGAGGACGAGCAGCAGCAGCGTGGAGGGAACCAGACTGACCAGGACCACGCCCAGCCACAGCTGACCAATCATCAGCAGGTAAATCCCCAGAGGCAGGGAGCTGAAGTACACCTGTACACAGACACAATGACACACCTATCAGGACGTCAGACACACACCTGCACAAACACACATGTGACTGACTGGCTTGACTAGTGTTGATTGGTCAAACTAGTGTTGACTGGTCTGACTCTTGTTGACTGGTCTGACTGGTGTTGACTGGTCTGACTGGTGTTGATTGGTCTGAATGATCTTGTATGTACTGACCAGACACAGCACCCCAAGCAGGCAGCGGGGGAAGCTGCGGGACGTCCAGGTGTGACACTTCTGAGCCGGCAGGTTGCAGGGCAGTGAGTCCAGGCTAGGGGGACGGTACAGACCCACAACATTGAGCATGCTCAGTGAGTCTGAGGACGGAGACTCCTCAGGGAGCTCCATGATGGTGATGACCAGACAGTCTGAGGAGCGGTGGGACGTCTCCACACCTCCTCCTGCTGCTGCTGATAGAAGACGGAGATCATAACCTTAATAACTCGGGAGAACAAACTTTAAATATAAGCATTTCTTAAATAAACTTGATGAGTAAGTTTACCCGTCAGACTGGTGGGACTCAGCACCACCTCCCCCCCACCTCCTGCTCCTCCTCCTCCTCGCCGGGCTCGGTCCTGACACGACAGAACCGCCAGGATGTGTCGGTCATCCTCCATCAACCACACCTGAAGAAGCAGAAGAAGAAGAAAAGACAGTCTGACTTAAGGTCGTCACAGTCTGACATCTGGAGGTGAGGAGGGAAGAGGAGAAGTCTCATCTCCTTGTTAAAAATAGAAAAGTAAAGTTGTTTTCATTGGAAAAGTAAAGATGAACTGTCACCTTTTCATTAGAAATGTTAAGTCTCACCTCTTCTTCAGGGACGTGTGTCTCATGGCGACAGAACGGACAGCTGATGACGGAGGGTGACGACTCTCCTGAGAACCAGAAAAAAAAAAAAATCAGAAAAGAGTCACATGACACACTGGATGATGTCATATGGGTTAATTGCTGATCTGATTAACTCTAGTGAACTGAACACACAGAGTTAACTGGTCATCGTGTTTCGTGTTGTGTGGTGACTGCAGAATGCTGCTATCAATATTGATCCGTTGGTATGACCTCTGCTGATTGGGCAATGTCAGGGTTCAAGTTCAAGTTCAGGTCAAGTCACAGTTCCTTCAAGTCTTTTGCAATATTTGGCCATGTAACTTGACTCAGACTTGAGGACACAAGACTCGTCTGGAAGTATCAAGTCTTCTAAAAGACTTGGAATTGTGATTTTTCCAGATCAAAACCTCAACTCAAGCCAAGTCCTCTTTTTTTGTGACTTAAGTCCGACTCAAGTCCAACTCTCGGGTCTACAGCTCTGGCTGATGTCAGGGGAACCATCAAATCGTCTCTTCACAATGGATTCAAGACAAGTTCTGACAGGTCAAGTCCAAGTTAAGTCACCAGTTTTCATAAGCAAAAGAAAACTTTAAACTTGAATATTTTTTCTTTCAAGTCTTGAATCAAGTCAAGTTGTTACAGGGTCAAATATCACATAAGACAAGTCTCACAGGAGTCAAGACCAAGTCAAATCTCAAGTCCTCATTTTTGTGATGTCTGACTTGAGTTCACATATAAAGTCCAAGCCAGATGTTGAGTCATTAAAGAAAGCTACAGTATGCTTGAGTTGAAACCTGCTCCTAAACATATCTTAATGTGGAGAGGTGCCAGAGGCCTCTCTGAGCTTGCTTTAGAGTCTCATGCTAGCACTGTGTTAATTTCTAGAATTTACATATAGCAGCTTTACAGACACCCCATCAAATATGACATTTTTAAGTCCAAATCCTCATTTTTGTGACATGTGACTTGAATCCAAGTCTCAGGTCTGCAGCTCGGGTCGATGTCAGGTAAACTCACCCATGTCGACCATCTTCTTCAGACACTTGGCACATACTCGATGCAGACAGCCCAGCAGTTTGGGTTTCCGGCTGCGGGTGTCGTAGCGGTTGTAACAGATTTTACACTCAAGTTCCTCCAGAGTGTAAACCAGAGACTGAGCCCAGGTCTGCACCTGAACACACCACGACAGAGGGTTAATAACCCTGAACACATCAGGACAGGTGAGTGTCTGCTCTGCTACACACTCCTGCTGTTTGTCCAAATTTTACTCACACTCTCAGAAGCAGCAAACATGAAGAGTATTTCTGTCAGAGCTGATGCTGCAGTGAAGGATGATGGGAGATCTTACCTTGCCCTCCAGCTCCTGGCCAGGCTCTGCCTCCTTCAGCTGGCTCATCCTTTTAGCTGTTGTCTTCACCTGAAGCAGAGGGGAGGGCCAGTGATGTGCAGAGCTTAACTCAATCTGAGGCTGTCACCTGACTGAGAGACAAAGAGAACGACTCTCCTTCAGTGAAATAAACAGAGCAGCAGAGTGAATAATTATTTATTATAACTGAGGTGTTATTTGGACTCTGATTGTCTGATCAGTTTCTGCTGCTTTTTCCCTCCACAGAGATGACCTACCTGACTTCAGATCAGCTGATCAGTCTGAGAGTCTGACAGGACGTCCATCTACAGAGAGACAGAAAGATCAGAGAGAGAGAGACAGGTCAGACAGAGCGAGATAGGTAGTATATGAGTTGATTAAATGTAAATACTCAGAAAATTAATTGCTGTAAAAATACAAAAAGATCAAAAACGAGCAGAATTTTTCAAATAATCCCGTGGGTTCATCAAGGTCCCTTACACTTTTCAATGTACACATTACCAATTATCAAACTACTTGAAAATCTCCAGCCCCAGGACTTGACTTAGACAGAGGACCACCTATTACTGCTATTGGAAAGAGAGAATTTGAACATACTCCATGATTACTGTGAAAACTGGGCAATTAAAGTAAATCTAGAATAAACAAAAATTATATTTAAAAAAAAAAGGCAAGATCACAAACTAAAAAATATCAATTAAATTTGGGAGAGACAACATTGAGCCATACAATAGAGTATAGACACCAAGGCCTAACTATCACTGCTTCAGGACATGTTGTCAAGGCTGTAAGTGCACAGGCAAATAAAGAATGTAGAGCTTATTACAATATAAGAAAATTCATATTATATTTAGAGATTTGGTTTAAAATGCTCCAAAGTGTTATTGAGCCAATCCTTTTGTGTGACCCATTAATTACACAAGAGCACTGGGATTCAAACCCAGTTGAAAAAAATCCATCTTGAGTTTAGAATCTGCCCACACCACAGGTGCAGAGCAAAGCTGGGCCAATTCCCCATCTTAATTTAAATTTAAAACTACAGCAATCACAGAATACAGAATAACAAACCTTAACTTAGATTGAAACTGGTCACCACAAGAGAAAATGGCTGGAAAGAACAAAGAGAACTTGTTGAGACAGAAATGAATTTTCTCACGAAATGTCCAAAATAAAAAGAAATTAGAGACTTCTTCCTTTTTATCAGTGTATTTAATCTTTTTCTATTAGTATATTTAATGTGTTTTTAGTAGTGTATTTAATATTTGTTATTAGTGTGTTTAATGTGTTTTTAATAATGTATTTAATGTTTTTATTAGTTTATTTAATCTGTTTTTATCAGTGTATCTTTGCGTGTGTCCTCGTGTTGTTTCTGTTTTATAATTTATGCTGCACCTTCTGATTAATAACGTATCTGTCAGATCTGATTTATTGTTTTTATTGATGTTAATTTGTTGGGCAGCCACACAAACACAGTAACACACGCAGAAACACACACTGTGTGCTGGGTATATTTATAGACTGCAGTTGTTATATAACTGAGGGAGGGGGGGGGCACTGGGGATGCTGACGTTGCTATGGCAACAGCTTTACCTGTTCCTGAACCTCATATTGGCCAATCAGATGAGTCAGATGCAGTCACATGTTGTTTGATCAGCTGATTCACAGATCAAAATATTATTAATGAAACTGATTTTAGCAGTTTGACTTTAAAGCTGCTGCTGAATGAAAACAAGATCAATCTGATTTTACATCATGACTTTTGTCTTTATAAAGATTCACTGTTAAAGCGACAAACAGAAGATTTTTACTTTTATTTTTACTGTTGTCATTCCTGTGATGTTTTGCTCGTATTTATTTTTAATCTGTAGTCGTCATTAAGAGTTTTTTATTTCTGTTACAACCTATACACAAACCTGCTCACAGTGAGACAATTTTCTGACTGAATCATTTAATAACTGAAAACTGTGAAAACCCTGAGTGGGTTCTTAAAGTTTATAAAGCGTTTCTGAAACATTTTGAGTATTTCTTCAAAGTTTTGAGGAAACTTTTGACAGTGAACTTAAAAGCAGGTCTGTTTGAATCTTTGAACCAATCACAAACGAGTGTTCAGTGATTGACAGGTGTGGAGTTGGAGGTTGAAATCCACCTGAGCTCCACCAGGCTTCACCCTCTAATTACTGACAGGTGTGTTTGTGTTTCCCATCTGTAAATGAGGAGACACAGGGAAAGTCATGTGACATGTTAAACCCTGTCGACCACCAGGACCCACTGATACTGAACATACACCTTGGGTTGATGTCATATCCTGTTGCTACACCTGCTCTATAAACCATACTCATCACATCATACAGACAGACTGGAGTTAAGATAAGCTGACAGATTTGCCCTGCTCCCAGTCTTTGTATTAAGCTAGGCTAAATTTCCACCTTTTTCCAGTTGTTATGGTAAGCTAAGCTAACAGTCCTGTGGAGGAGTCAGAAAAAATGTTGAATTGTTCCTTTACCTGACCTGAAGTCTGCTCAGTTTCTACTAATGTTTTTACAGTACCTCACTTACAATTAATTCACTCACTCATTGATTTATTAATTAATTAATTCACTCACTCATTGATTGACTGATTAATTCATTCACTCACTCATTACCTGTTGGCTGAACCAACACTGCAGTAGTAAAAAAAATAAGTTGCCTAGTCTCTTTATATTTTGTTGTATAGTTTCTGTACCTGTTGTTACTGTAGGTTTAGGTGCTGGCAGCCTGGATGTTGTCGGTCAGGCTGCTGTAGTCTCTGTCAGGTTGAAGCAACATGGTGGTCATTAGACAGCAACAGTTTATTAGCTAGTTGCTGGGGGTGCAGTAGCCTTACATGCTGGAGTCCGTCAGACTGAAGCCACACTGCAGCAACAGTCTGGTTGCTGTAGATGTAGTTGCTGTCTGTCTGGCTGTCCCTGTGTTGTCTCAGGTTGAAGCAACACTGCGGTGGTTGAACATTAATGCTGTGGCTGTTGTTGCTGTTGCTGTAGTTGCTGTATTGTCTCAGGTTGAAGCAACACTGCGGTGGTTGCCCGTCGTCAGTCTCATTAACAGTCCGCCGACGTCGCGCGACTCCTCTGACGAACAACAGCGGGAAACTACATGCTAACGGGCTAATGGAGCTCTGTCTCCGGTCTATCGCTCTGTCAGTTTGTTGGTTACCGGTCGCCGGTTGCTGTCCAGGGCTGGTCTCGGTGTCGGTGACTCACCGTCTCTCCTCCGTCTCACTGCGGCGCGCGGCCGGCGGCGAGAGCACGGGTTACCATGGCAACCAGCCCGCAGCAGGATGACGGGAAATCTCCGAGTGATGATCCAAGAGCAGAGAGGATCAATACCCTGTTTATAAGCGGTTAATAAAGATTTATACGCACTTTATCCGCAAAGGAAATTTAAAGAGTCGCGTTTTCCTCTTTAATTTTAGTAAAGTCTTTTGGGTTTTTTTCTTAGATTTAAATAAAGTCTGTGGTTTTCCTCTTTAAATTAAGTCTGTTGTTTTTATTCGTATTTAATTTGAATGAAGTGTGTTGGTTTTTTTTCTCTCTTTTGTGTTTTATAACTGTCCCGTCATCACCATCAGCTGAGCTGCTGTGTAATACTTTGCATTAGATTGATAATAAATAAAGAAACGCAGAAACTAAAATATTAAAAGACGATGTACATCCATCATCATCATCATCATCACCATTAACAAGCGTCTCTTGATCTGATGTCTTTAAATCTGCATGTTTGGTGGAACTGTGACGGTTAACGAAAGAGTTTGAGTTGAGTAACAATACAACTGTTTGTATAATTATATTTCCCCAGTAAGCACAATTTTAATTAATTGTGTCCCAAACCTGTGACCCTGCACACCCAACACAAATCATCCTCATCCAGCTTGTCCTGTTTTATTAAATGTTTTAACTTCAAACATAAAGAGAAACAAGGGCTCCTAATTTGAAGGAAAAGAGCCCAACAATATGAACAACATCAATATTCAGAATTACTGTAATTTGTTATTTGTGGTAAACTCTTATATCTTTTTAAGAAGCATAAATAAATAATAATGAACATACCTGCTATTTTTTTTTTCTTTTCCTATATTGAAAACACCCATCTGCTCACAGACAGATCAGTAATTATTTTTTTCGTTATCAAAGTCTAAATTTTAATGTTTAGCTGCAGTAATAACAAGTACTCAGATACTTTCATTAAAGTACAAATACCACAGTGTAAAAATAGGCTACTCAATCACAAGTATAAGTACTGTATTTAAAGTCTCACGTCAGTAAAATCCCACAAATATTATCAAAGCATCAGAAGCAACAAGCACTGGACATGCAGTAATTGTTTCTTTCAGTGTTTTATATAAAATATTATTGTATCACAAGTGTATTATCATGTAAACAGCATTTTAATGGCTGATCCGGTTGCAGCTGATTTAACATATATGATGGTATAATTGTGTTTTACACTGAAGAATGACAATCTTAAAAAATAATTATCAGCTGGTTATGGAGCCTTTTTTCTTAATATAATGAAATACAACTATAATGCTGGAGTAAGTACTCAGTTACTTTCCACCACTGATAAATATGAAACTTTTTGTTGGAGGAACGTCGCTCAATGTAACTGTACTGCAGGAACCCTTTTATGTTCCTTGGTCCGGGTAGGAGTAATTCCGCTGCGACACTCTACCGTCTGCGTCACTTCCTGTAACTGCAGATAAAGAAGGGCCTGGCGAGTGATCCGCGGGTCAATTTTTTGGGTTTGTTCGGTGAATCCGGCGGGAATCGGAGCCATCAGAACCGCAAACATGGTGAGTGTCTATGGGACAGAGAGTCCACGGGCTCCCCGCCACGGGGCTCTCCGTATTTTAATGAATTACGGTTTAATTGTGATGATGGCGGGAGTTTGAATGAACGTCAGATGAACGTCGGTGAAGAGCTTTAGCTCCGCGCGGGTCAAACCTATTTGTCAGATCAATAATCAGTTCGTCGTCGGGTATCAGTCCCTCGGTCCGTTAACGAGCAACAAACAGTCGGTGACTTACCGTATGTTTGTTCTGTTAGCCGTTAGCACCCCAGTTAGCTTCCCGGTTATGTTATGGTCAGTTCGGTCTCCTACATACAAAACGCATCTGCCCGAGTCGAAGCTCGCGTTCAGTCTGAGTGTAAATACGGGTCCGTTAAACTACAGACTGTGCTACTCACAGCCCGGTAACGGACTTTGTTGCTGAGTTTACGGACTGTAATCTTAGGCTAGCCCAGCTAATGGGGCTAACGGCTACACTCCGCCAGCCTTTAACAATGGGTCTGGGTATTAGTCCGTGTCTCTGGCTCTAAGGGTCTGGGTCTTTTGTCGTCTTTCAGGAACCACTGCTAAAAAATAAAGGTTCAATTTTTTTGTGCCACAATGAAATAACGTGGAACAGACTGACCTCACACCTGATTTTTCACAAACTACTCCAACAAGCTCCACATATTGATCTGATGCATAAAAAGTTGAAGAAGGAGCCGGGAGCAGCTAATCATGATTAGAGTCTCATCAAAAGTCTCCACTCTACTGATCTACAAAGGTTCACTAATGGTCATGGAGAGATGCTGCAGAGTGATGCCTCTCCACAAACAATCTTTGGCAGAGTTCAGTTGCATTAACAGGCTGAAGTTTCACAATTCACATGAATTATTTACAGATATTATCATCTACAGCCGCTGATGTTACCTGCAGGTTTTCTATCTGAAAACTAACCAAGTCAGATTAAAGGTTCAGTAAGTCTTGTTACAAGTCTGAGGACATTACTGATCCCATCAGTATTCAAAGTGGAACCAGGTATCAGAACCCAACCCTGATCTGTATGATAAATGTTTGTATTGGAGTGGGAAGGTGACATCACAGTGACGGTTGTCTCTGATTGGTTTTCAGACGGTGGGCAAGAGCAGTAAGATGCTGCAGCACATCGACTTCAGGATGAGGTGCATCCTGCAGGACGGTCGCATCTTCATTGGCACATTTAAAGCTTTTGACAAACACATGAACCTGATCCTGTGCGACTGTGACGAGTTCAGGAAGATCAAGTAAGTTCAAATGTTGACCTGTCACCTGATCATTACCTTTGTAATATCGATTAAACCGTTTATTTATTCATTCATCTGATAAATTTGTCTTTTCAACAGTTCTCATCAGATTAATCAATCAATTAAAACAATCCTTAGTTTTGATTTCAATAATTTGACCTCTCCAGTCTTGTTAAGATCATTTTAAATATAGTTTTCTGTCCTTCCTTTTTTGGGAAGCTGAAAGCTTTTACCTCAGTTTTCATCATATAGAAAGTTCAGAAGAATCCGGTTCCAGCTGTGACTATGTTCTGTCAGACGCTCAATATCGTTTATTAAAAACTTCCTTGAAGAGGAAACACCTCCTTCAGATAATGTGAAAACATCAGTTAGAGATGTGGAGACATTAGAAACTGGAAGGATAAAATCACGTTTTAATCATGCTGTCAGCCCATTGTTGTGGCCAAAGATCTCAGTGATCAGTGTCATCAGAGCGATCATCCCCTGCATATAAGTGATGCTTGTGGTGCACACACACACACACACACACACACTCTGATCAGCTGTCCACCATTAAGCGCTGTTTGTTGTGTGTAGGTGTTGTGCTGTGTTTAAACGGGGAGGAAGAGATAGACAGACAGAACGCGTCACTTAGTGCGGTTTGTTTAGTTTTAACATGGCTATAAAATGTGTGTTATCCTGCTGTCATCACACATGGGTTTTTGAGAAAGACGCTCTCTTGCTTGCTCTTTGGTCTCTCTTCTTCCCGTAAACCTATGTCAGTCAGCGCCATGGCATGTTTTGTAATGAGTTTGTCTTTTTTTTCTCCTTTCTTCAGGCCAAAGAACTCAAAGCAGCCGGAGCGGGAGGAGAAGAGAGTGCTGGGTCTGGTTCTGCTGAGGGGGGAGAACCTAGTTTCTATGACAGTGGAGGGCCCACCCCCTAAAGATGTAAGTATTACTTGTAGCCAGGTAACGGTACAGCTCAAGTGTCTCCGACTTCAGTTAACCAAACCTGATTCTCAAAAAACGTTAATACAAACTGTTCATTGACAAGCTCCTGTCTCCTGTCTGTCTGTGTTCAGACTGGTATAGCCCGGGTCCCATTGGCAGGTGTAGCCGGGGGTCCAGGTGTGGGACGGGCAGCAGGTCGTGGTGTCCCTGCAGGAGCTCCAATGCCTCAGGCTCCAGCTGGACTCGCCGGTCCAGTCAGAGGTGTCGGTGGGCCTTCGCAGCAGGTAACCATAGCAACAACATCTGCTCAGTGCTCAGGTGTGTGTATGTGTTCAGGTGATGACGGCTGCCTTTGTGTGTCTAGGTGATGACCCCGCAGGGCAGAGGGACAGTTGCCGCAGCAGCAGCAGGTGCAAGCATCGCCGGGGCCCCCACACAGTATCCACCTGGACGAGGAGCCCCACCCCCGATGGGTCGGGGAGCCCCACCTCCAGGTGAGAGGAACTGTGAAGTCACATGTTTGTCATCACCTGTAGTGATGATCTGTTAACATGTATTGATGCAGCAGCAGGTAGTTTCTCAGCTTGATGAATCTGGATGTTTTACCAACTTGGAACAAGATCCAAAATGGGACTAAATATCAAACTCTACGCAGAGACCCTAGAAACCAGTTAGTGATGACCTACTGACACCAGGAACCAGCAGGTTCACTGCACCATTCTCAGGCTCAGACCGATGTTCCATCTTGTTCTCAGCTGATCTGCAAAATGATTGATTTTTTTGTCTCCAAGTGTCTGATCAAGCAGGTTAGTTTGTTTTAATCAGTTGAACGTGCCTGAGGTCTCGACATATTTTCTGCTCTATACGCTCATAAACCCACCTGCCCCTAATCACAGGTGACACTCTACTGTATGTGAACACCTCCTGTGTGACACTTGGAGACCTCAAACACCTGACTTGATTCTGTTTTCATCTTTCTATCAGCTGATTTGTTGTTACCTGGCTCCTCTCCCTGCAGGTATGATGGGTCCTCCCCCTGGCATGCGGCCCCCTATGGGTCCTCCAATGGGGATGCCTCCTGGTCCCGGACGAGGAGCTCCAATGGGGATGCCCCCTCCAGGCATGAGGCCACCACCGCCTGGTATGAGAGGTAAGCTGTTACCATGGAGATTGGGTTGGTCAGCTCTGTGAGGAGTGCAATATTGTTAATTGCATTTTGGTTAATCATACTCGGTGTGAGCAGATCATGTGACCTTTGCTCTGGTGTTTTAGGACCGCCCCCTCCCGGGATGAGGCCACCCCCCCGGCCCTGAAGAAGCCTCGCTCCGTCACTCACCTGTTGTATAGGTTTTTTTTAAAGTTCTGGTTTGCGTTTGTCGGTTTGTTTTTTTTGTTTTTTTTAAATAAAGTTTGCTCAGGATGTTTGATTTCAGCTTGGCTGTGTTTTCATTTTCCATGGTAACCAGTTCAATAAAGGTCTGGAGTAACAGCCAAGTAGAGAACAGATTACCTCATTTATATTTTAAACAGGAGGCGGAGTTTGACAAACCGTCAACAAGATGACAATATTACAATGTGCACTGGCGCTACACTGTACTGCCAATGTTGGGGAAGCTACTCTGAAAGCAAAGCTTAGCAATCTACCAATTACTTCACTCTGGAAGAAGATGAACTACAGTAAAGCTACTCTAGAGAGAAACCTAGTTTATTTGATTAAAGCTACTTAGAAAAAGTAATTCAAGCTACTTTGTAAAAAAAAAAAAAAAAAAAAAAAAAATTATCAGACAGGAGGTTTACATGTGATATGAAATTATAAATAAATATAATACAAGAAAGTTGCATGCTAGCAAAATATGCCACTCAACTGAGTTGATTGCAAAAGGTGCCTACTTGTTCACTGGTTGTAACAGACAATAAAATACTCCTGTTCATGGGAAAGTGTAAGGAAAGTCAGCTTTGATTTTGTAAACAATAATTGCTTTAAGTATGACCATGGTGATTCTTAAGGCTGAGATTTGGGAGGTTTATCCATGATGATGTCAATGAGTAAGCATTAAGCAACGCCCACCCTTGGCTTTTACACATGCACTACACAAAGATCACAAAGTGTGTGGTGGTGATTGCCTAACTAATGCGTTGCCTGGACATCAGCGGTTGAGGCTGATCAGAGGGTTCAATTACAGGAGAGAAGGAAGGATAAAAAAATTTCTTTCCTTTTGTAGCTCAAACTGTAACTTAGTTATACTATAACCTGAAGTACCATCAAGCTACTGCAAAATGTAGTTAAGCTACTTTTTTTAATTACATGTAGTTCATTACTGCTCAATGGTCAATATGTCAGACTGTTTTGTAAAACCTATACACACTGTTTACTCAGCCAAAAATATGCTCTAAAACATTTCAGGCCAGACAAGTGTACATCAGTCTTTTGAAACAGGAAATTAACTGTAATGTTTTATGAAAACGGAGGGTGATGGGAAAAGGTCACACATAGAGCAACACTTTCAGAGAGATAAAACATTTTTTATCTTCCTGTTTTATTGATAGCTATAGACAATAGACAGAGGAGCAACTGCAGCACCTGACCCCGGCTTGCTCCCGCGAGAGTTTAATTTCACGAGACACTGTCATGTTCTGTAACGCCGCCGAAATCGGACTAAATCGAGAAATAAAATTATAACCAGTCTTCTGTTATGAACAAAACTCATTAAGGAAATATAACCAGCATGCATCACGTTAATTCAGTGGTATGCAGCGCCCCATGAAGTCGAACGCACCTTGATTATGTCCTTGTTACTGCAATTAATTATTATAAACTTGAATTATACAGCGTGTATGTCCACATTGCTGTGAAAATAAAACTAACAAATAAAGTGAGTTCTGCAACTCATTATTTCATAAATTTTAAATGTTCAAATTCCCATTTTAATGTCAGATTAACAGAATCTCAGAGCCCAGATTTTGTGATTTTGCTCCCAGTCTCTAAAAAAAAACTACATCAACTACAACTTTAATGTTTTCATCTATTTATCGTGTTACACCTCATTATGAAAAGTTAAACATGGGGAGGGGGCAGGAGGTCATGTGACCGTGTACTGTCATATGACCGCTGTGAGTCTTCAGTATCTGCAGCTGCAGTCACAACGTTGCCTGTGGAAAGAAGAAACCAGGTGCGGACAGACGGTGAGTTTTTCCTTTGTCCACCGACAGAATCTCATTCAGTTCTCCGTCGGGTTTTTAGTGTTTTCTGCCAAACTTTGCTGTTGTTTATGCGTGTTAGCAGTTAGCCTGAGCTAGCCTGCTTCCGGATTTGATAAAAACAAACGGAAACTAACTTCATTGAGTTAAACTGTGTGACTTACATGAGCTTGTTTGAGTTTGTTGTTAGTGTGATCAGTTAGGAGTCAGTTTAATAGAGAAACAGCAGGTTAAAAACAAACTGCCCGCATGTTCCCTTATGCGTAATCTACCAGACTTCATTGAAAAACACCGGAATTTAACATTTATTTTGTTATTGGGCAAAAATAACCTCCTAATTAATATCGGTTAAAACACATTCTGAATCAGAGCCTTCTTGTGATAGATTCAGCTGACACCACAAATCTTAGTTCCTCTTTAAAATCATGTGTTTTATATAATACAATCACGGTTCTCAGTCAATCACACACACATTACATCTTTTACAATACCACACGCTTTAGACCCGGTTCCTTTAATCCCGCAGCGCCCCCTGCTGTACATCTCTGCACTTACCTTCCACTCAGATGATCTGAATGTGACCTGACCAACAGATGAAGAGCTGAGCAGCCTTCATCTCTGGGTCGTTTTCAGACGCAAGTGATGATTGATGATGTGACTTCCTGTTTTTCAGCCTCTAGATTTCAGATGGACGTGTTGTTGCTGTTTTACTTCCTGTCCTCTCTGCTGTGCGGTGACGCAGCTCGAGATGCAGATGAGGTGACTTACCTGCCCGGTCTGCAGAAACAGCCGAGCTTCAGACATTACTCTGGATACCTGAGTGTTGCTGACGGGAAACACCTGCACTACTGGTCCGTACCTGAGACACATCATCTGATGTTCACCTAAATCATAAAATATCAGCTGTAACAAACTCGGGGTGTTTTCATTTCTGAACACTTTCTGACAAACAAAACAAACCTGAGGACACCTGTTGTCATCACTGGCTTTTTCTACCTGAGCATGAGTTAATCACCTGTGTACACTGTGTCACTTGAGCATCAATACATTGGCCAGTATAGCCACACCGGAGTGTCTATAGAACACCTGAACTGACACACACCTGTACATTCACCCAACGTTGCTATGTCACCTACATGTTCACCTGAACCTCGCTGCGACCACCTGGGTTTTGGTACGTCACCTGAGCTTGTGGTTGTTTTTCAGGTTCCTGGAGTCTCAGAACAACCCGTCCTCTGACCCCGTGGTGTTGTGGTTGAATGGCGGCCCGGGATGCAGCTCTTTGGACGGACTGCTGACTGAACACGGACCCTTCCTGGTAGGTAACCTTTGACTCCACCCACTTAACCCACACTCGCCTGTATCAGCGTTGGTGACCTCTGACCTCTGTCGTTTAAGATCCAAGATGATGGAGTGACACTGCAGTACAACCCGTACTCCTGGAACAAGGTCAGTTAAAAAGTTGCAGGGTAAATCTGCACGCCATCATGTGACTCAGGTTTGGTCATTTGGTTAATGTGTTTGTGATTTTTCTAAAAGCTGATTGGTTCACTGTTTCTGAGCAGATTGCCAACATGTTGTACCTGGAGTCTCCAGCAGGAGTTGGCTTCTCATACTCTGACGATCAGAAATATGTCACCAACGACACGGAGGTCAGTGACACGTCTGAAACTCAAGTCCTGATTGGCTCACAGGTGTTCAGGTATTAAAAGTGTTTTTGTTTTGTTTTTTCTCCTCAGGTGTCGATGAACAACTACCTGGCTCTGAAGGAGTTCTTCAGTCTGTTTCCAGAGTACAGCAAGAACGAACTTTTCCTCACCGGAGAGAGTTACGGAGGAATCTACATCCCGACGCTGGCCGAGAGGGTGATGGAGGACCCCAGCCTCAACCTGCAGGTACGCACTGCAGTACTACACACTGGTACTGCAGTACTGCACCCTACTCATATTGCAGTATTACAAGCTGATAATATTTCAGGGTGGAGAAGGAGGTGTAGGATCACTGTTAGCCTGTGGAATGCTATCATTAGCAATCGTGTTATCTGTATCTTGCCTGTCCTGCTAGGGCATTGCCGTGGGAAACGGTATGTCGAGTTATGAGATGAACGATAACTCTCTGGTGTACTTTGCGTACTACCACGGCCTGCTGGGAAGTCGACTGTGGAGCAATCTGCAGACGTTCTGCTGCAAAAACAAGACATGCAACTTCTTCAACACCCAGGAACCGAACTGTAGCACCAGCGTAAGTCTGAACCAGTCTGAACCAGTCTTCATATGCAGCCAATCATAACAAGACTGAATCCAGCTTCTTAATCTTATGATCTATATTAGACTAGTTTATTACTAGTCTGGTTAAACTGGACTAGTTTTATATTACTAGTCTAGCCCTGGTTTAGGTCCAGGTGGTCTGGATCTTTAAGGAAGGTGAAGTCCGTCTGAACTGGTTTATAATGAATTAAATCTTGTTTTGTCTCAGGTGGGGGAGGTTCAGGACATCGTCTACAGTTCAGGACTGAACATGTACAACCTGTACGCTTCCTGTCCAGGCGGAGTCGGCCAGAGAGTCAGGTGAGCTGTGACCTTTGACGTCTGACTCATCATCATTGTTTTACTTTACAGAACAAATGTAAATTGATTTAATCCTAAACACAGTGTCTGTAGCTGCTGCTGCTGCTGGACTTAAACTCACCAGCAGCCGGCGCAGGTGTCTGGACCACAGACAGGTGACAGGTTTTGACTTCTGTTATTGATTGTTTTATTGATTATCAGTGTTAACCAAGGCGAGCTGGTGATCAGGGATCTGGGGAACTCGTTCATCAACCATCCGTGGACTAAGCTTTGGAATCAGGTGAGTACGAAGTCACCTGTGTGTTTACATCAAAGCTCACTCACCTGACGGATGGATACATACCTGCTTTTCCTCTGACTCTGTGCAGAAGTTACGAAATCTGGCGAATGTCCACCTGTCTGTCCGTCTGGACCCCCCCTGTACCAACTCCACCCCCTCCAACCTCTTCCTGAACAACCCATATGTCAAAGCCGCCATTCACATCAGTCCCAAAGCCCTGGATTGGGTCATCTGCAGGTAACTGCAACCTGAAACTCGCCTGTGACACCTGTCCCATTTCACACCTGCACAACTCTGCACACCTGAAAAAAAAACTACATACCTGTCCTATTGAACACCTGTTGACCTGTAAGTCAGAGCCACTCTGCTCATCAGTGCTGAGGGTAATGTACACAACCTAAACTCACCTGTTGGACTACACCTTACACACCTGCTCACCTATCTGCACGTAACACTACCCATCTTTCACACCTGTACAACTATGCATTTCTCCTACTCACTTGTACAGACCTGTCCCACTCCACATTACACTGTTGTTTCTTGTCCCTGACTTTAATTTAAGTGTGTGTGTGTGTGTGTGTGTGTGTGTGTGTGTGTTTGTTGTGTTTCCCCTGTTGTGATTTGTCAATAAAGTTGTAAAAAACCTTTTTACCTCTTCCTTGTGTTGCAGTTCTGAGGTGAATCTGAACTATGGTCGTCTCTACATGGACGTCAAGAAACAGTACCTGAAGCTGCTCTCTGCTCTGGTCGGTGAACACACCTGTTTTTCTTAAACGTTTTAATTTAGTTAGACTCTAGTTAGACATCCACTCTCACTTAAATTCAGTATAAAAGTGTAACGTGGATCACTGGTAAAATGAACAGCAGAGTAGTGACAGAGATGTGCAGAAAGGGGGGAATTGAATAACTGGATTTCCACAGGAAGAAAAGAACTCCTGTGGAGTTTAGTGGTGCACTTGCTCAGAGACCCACTTTCAATCCGGTCCGAACACCGTCCCACTCTGTGACGGACTGTCAGTCTGTGTGGAGTCACACTCGCGGCTCTGGAGGGTCTCTTAATTAAGAGGGAGGGTATAAATACAGCGGCAAACGTTGGGACACCCTCACCTTTCTGCGACGAAAACGGGAAATTTTATCAGCATGGTGTTCAATCAACATGTTTCAGCTGCAGCGACGTGTTGTGATCCATCACCTGCTGGGTGCAAATTCTAGCGTTGATGCAGCAGCAGGTAAGCACGCCTCTTCAGTTATTTGCACTCTTGTGTTTGCAACATAAACATTTCTTTTTCGTAACTCCTCTTCTTCTTTTTGTAAGTACATTTGTAAGACTACATGGTTTTACTATAAGATAGTTTTTAACATCTTGTGTAGCTTTACTTTCATTAGGGGCCGGATTGGATTTGGGTCTCTGAATGTGCTGAGAGAGAGAGAGATATTTAACAGTGACAGGAACTATAGAGCTCAGCTGGTGATTAGCTGATGGGTGTGGCCTGTTAATCCAGGTGTGTGTGTGTGTGTGTGGTGCACGTCCTTGTTAAAGTTTTGCGATGTTCTCTGCAGAAGTACCGTGTCCTGGTGTATAACGGAGACGTGGACATGGCCTGTAACTTCATGGGGGACGAGTGGTTCGTGGAATCTCTGCATCAGCAGGTAACTTCCTATTAAAGTTAATAATCAAGTGGGTCCAGTTGTGAAAGGCAGTTAGAATAAGGTACAAGGTAGTCTCAAAGTGTGATGCCAGGTGTCTTCAGGTGTAGTAACCTCAGGTGTCTGTCAGGTGGAGGTCCAGAGGCGTCCATGGCTCTACGATGATAAAGATGGTCGGCAAGTTGGAGGCTTCGTCAAAGAGTTTGACAACATCGCCTTCCTCACCATCAAGGTAAACACCTTCTTTATCATTATCAGCTGACCTTCGCTGACCCTGTGATGTCATCTTTATCGGGGTCTGCTGCTGCTTACCTGTCTGAGTTTTTAATATGTTTTATTGATGGTAGATCTCATGATGTTTGATCCACAGGTTGCTCATCTGTGATCTGTTTTACTGTTGATTGATTTATTGGTGATGGGATGGTTGTATTGTTTAGACTCTGCTGCTGACCTTTGACCTCTGTCCTCCTGCAGGGTTCTGGTCACATGGTTCCATCAGATAAACCAATTGCTGCCTACGCCATGTTCACCAGATTCATCAAGAAACAACCCTACTGACCTCTGACCTCTGCGGGTCACCGCTCCCTCTTTCTCTTTGTTCTGTTTGAACTTCTCAGACAGCAATAATTTTTATTTGATTTTTTTTTTTTTTTTTTCTTTTTCTCACTGCCAGCCAATCGGTACAGCGCTCCTGTGTTGCCCGGCAACAAGATTATTGCTTTAGGAAATTTAAAAGTCTCAACCTCAGCCAATCACTCACTTGGTGACCGTGGAGACCTTGTGTGGTTTTCATGGAAACGAGCACTGCCGTCAGTCTATCCGTTTATTTTAATGTGAAAATTATTATGGTGTTTTTGTTTTGATTTAAAGGGAAAAACCACAAAATAAAGTTTTATTTGAAACGAGGACTCGACTGATGTCTTCATTTCATCTGGACCTTCTGTGACTGTGGTGGGAAAACCCTGAACCAGCAGAGATTTTTAGTTGTTTAAAGGTGCTAACTTTGTCTCTCAGGCTGGGTGTCCTGTAGCAGGGATGGGTGGGTGGTCTCATACTGTCCATAGATGTCTGAAATCTGTTTAACCTCTGACCGTTGTGTGGTCACACTGAATCAGACTCATGTTAACCCTTTGTATCGACTGTAGATCCAGTTCACTGCAGAGTGGGCGTGTGTCTTTAGTGCAGAATGAGAAGAAAATTGCACAGTGAGCTTTAAATACTGTCGGACTCTGATAGCAAACACCACCCTGCATGTTGATGCTGCGTCACTCTGATTGTTGACTGTAAACTGAAACTGTCCTGGTACACAGTACTGTACTGTCACCTGCCAGTCACAGCTCAGGGCGAAGAGGGCACAGCCTCTACTTAAACTGATACAAGAGAAGAGGTGTGAAGTTTCCCAGCTTACCCTGAAGGCAGCGGCAGGAGGAGGTTTATGTTTTTGACCTTCAATGAGACTGGACTGATTTCACTGTTTGTGTTTGAATGTTAGCTCAACGACTCACCTGCTGCTCACTCTCCTGGACTCACCTGTGCAGGTATGACATTTCATCTCATTCTGTGACATTAATCTGTGAGACGGACTGAACAAGTGTCTGATGGTGGTGAGTTCACTGTCACCGTTTAAATCAGTTTTTAATTCTTAGCGTCAGAGTTGAAATCTAACCTCTGTAGAGTCGCAGCAGGTGTCTTCAGGTGTCTGGCCTGGGTTTGTTTCTGGTGTCTCATGAAATCACTTTTTTTCTCTCTACTTCTCTGAAACAAACTGATCTCTGACCAGCCAGATGTGATAAGTACATACATAAATAACTGTACATTTACTCTAGTGCTGCTCTTGTCAGTTTAAACTTCATTTGAATTTTTCCTTTTTTTTCCCCAAAGAGTTTTTACTGTAAATTTTTCCAATGAATCCGACTTTTCCCATTTGTCGACAGGATGTTCATCAGAATAAATGTTCAGTAACTCTGTTTGAAAGACTCTATCCAAGTGCATTATGGGAAGTGTAGCATCCAGTCTGTCTGTCATAACGACTGAAGAGACCAAGTGAAGACCTGCAATGACCCTTTAACCTTACTGAAGAAAAAACCTGAAGCCTTTTCATCAACTGAAAAACCATTTGTTAACTTATTAAACTTATATCTGTCTCTGTCTCAGGTGTCTAGGTGAGCTTTGATTGGCGGGCAATGGACCAATCACTGTCCAGTGGGCGGGGTCATATGAGCGTGCTCAGTTGTTTCCCGCCCTCCGTGGGCAGAGACATCGTGGTTGCTGTGTTGAAGCCCCTGGGAGCCACCCTGGGAAACCCTAACAACCACAGCCTGCTGCATACAGACAGACAGGTGAGTGTGTGTGTGTGTGTGACCTGTATGGAAAGTTAAACACACACTCAGGTGTTGATCTGTAATCAGTGTTTGTTGAGTCTAAAAATCATTCACAGAGTTGCACATTAATTTACGACAGTCCCGCTTCACTTTGAGACAGATGTTCCCAATAAACTGGACACAGAGTTTGTTTGAACTGCAAATGACATCACAACAGCTGGAAACATCAGACCCTGTGGCTGGTTAAGAAATCTGTGCTTGTGTCTCCAGGTGAAGTGGACAATGGAGGTGTTGTGTTATGGTTTGACTCTCCCATTGGACGGAGACACAGTCAAACTCTGTGTTGATGTCTACACTGATTGGCTGATGGCGCTGGTTTCCCCAAAAGACTCCATCCCACCACCAATCAACAGAGAGCCCAACCTGTACGTCCAGAAGATTCTCCGACACCTGTACAGCCTGTTCTTGGCCAGGTAGACTGTCACACCTGAACTCAACCACTGACACATGTTGCAACACTGATCCCAGACCTGATCCCCACAGGAGGAACCTTTTACTAAGGAACCCACGACCTTGTAACCTTTAATGACCTGTTGACCTTTAATGAGCCAGTCACCTTAAAGTACCTGGTGACCTTTATTGACCCCATGACCTTTCCTTAAGCCAGAGTATTTATGACAATGTATTCTAATCTAATAAAGTCTTGTCGCTCTGCCCCCTCTTCAGGTCAGACCAGGTGAGTCCGGTGTACCTGTCTCTCTGTCAGCAGGTGTTGTGTGCAGTGCGGTTATTGGCCAGAGAGAGCACTGTGATGAGTAGAGACACCTGGGAGACTCTGCTGCACTTCCTGCTCCGCATCAACCACGCCATGCTGGCTCCTCCCACTGCTGCAGGTGAGACAATGACCCCACCCCCTTTGTGTCCTCGCTTGTCTCTCATATTTCTCACCACTCTCTCTCACCTGTCTGTCTCCCAGCAGTTGGTGTGTCTGACCTGTCGATGGCGGTCCACTTCGAGGTCTTGTTGCTGTCTTGCTCTCGGTGTTTCCCGTCTCACTCACTCTGGCAGATGTGCAGACAGATGTTGAGCGGCTGGCGACATCAGTCTGTGGTGGTGGATCAGTGGAACCGAGTCGTCGCAGCTTTAACCTCCAGGTTCGAATCATTTTGTAGGTCTTGTCCATCGTCTCAGGTTATTCATGCTAACAGAGGTGTGTTGTTGTTCTCTTATGTTGTGTTTTGTGTTCTTGTTGCATTGTTGCGTTGTTGTTGATTTTGTTGTTGCGTTCTTGTTGTTGCATTGCTGTGTCGTATTGGATTGTTGTTTTTGTTGTTGTTGAGGTGTTGTGTTGTTTGTTTTTGTTATGATGTTGTTGCTGTTTTGTTACATTGTTGTGTTGTGGTATTGCTGTTGTGTTGATATTATGTTGTTAATGTGCATTGTTGTTGTTATTGTATTGTGTTCTTGTTTTTGTTGTTGTGTTGTTGATGTTGTTGTTGTGTCATCATTGTTATGTTGTGCGTTCAGGCTGTTGCTGTTAACCTTCGGTCCATCCTTCCCTGAGTTTAAAGTCCCAGATGAAGACGCGGCTCTGATCCCTGCAGACCTGGACGATGACAGAGTCCCTCAGACCTGGTTCAGGTTCCTGCACATGTTCAGGTAACACGTCTTTAAGTCTTTCTAGTTTCAGGCTGCACATGTGACGTGTTTCTTGCTAACACTCACTCTCTGCCTCCTCTCAGTCACCCGGTGGTTGTTGGTTCAACTCCTTCTTCTCAGGAGGAGGTGTCAAGAGGAGGACACAATCAGCTGCCTAAAATCTTCTTCAGAGCCATGAGAGGAGTCAGCACTCTAGTTGACGCTTTCCTTGGTACTCTAACCTATGTCCTCTGATCCTCATCTCACCCCTACCCAACCCTGATCAGACATCTACCTAACCCCTGACCCCCACCTGATCCCAGACCACAAACTAACCCAGGAACTACTACCAATATATCCCAACATTTAAAGGACCATTGTGGTGTTTCTGCATATTTGATCCTGTTTATTACAAACCACACAGTCTGACCTTCCTGCTTATCATTTCCCAAATCAACTGTCAGTTTATAGATTTCTCCATGCAGCCGTTGGTTTCACTTCATTAATATGGAAATAACTTTTAAAAACTTAAAACCAGAGAGAAAATCCATGACAGTTAAAGTTTACTGTTTTGTGGTTTACCCACTCACAGTGCTGCATGCGGAGGAAGTGAAGAATAATTTTACAGCCCGAATCTTACTTTTGATGTTTGGACCAACATGTGAACAAAATACTGAGTTAATGATGTAGTAGTAAATGTTCACTTTATTTCCACAGGTGTCTCAGTGGTCAGTAAAGAACCAACGGAGCTGCTGCTGCCAAACACTGGTATACACACATTACCTACACACTGGTTTACACACATTACCTACACACTGGTTTACACACGCTGTCTATATGAAATGGTATACACATGTCACCTATATACCTACATGCTTTAGTTGATGTGTTTCTCCAGGGCTGACAACAAGGATCCATTTCAGAGACCGGTTGCCATCTCTTGGTAAACCAGATTAACCCAAAGTGATCATGTCAATCTGATCAATAAGCCAATCAAAGCAGAGCCACTGAGAACCTGGTCTGGACTTGATCGATTAAAGTTAATTTTATTGACCACATAAATCAAAATCAAACTTTCAGTCTTACCTGTGATGTTCGGTGTTCAGTTTGAGGATGTTAGTTTTTCACCTCGTCTCCTCCCAGGTGTTGCTGTGACCAAAAGCCCCTTCAGAGACCTCCTCCCCTCCTATGGTAAGCCCTGCCCCCGAGCCCTGATTTGATTGGTGGAATTGATCTGCAGTATTAGAGCAGGGTGGTGCTCATGTTGTGTGGTCTCCTCAGGGTTCTCCCGGCCTCGTTCTGGCAGTGCCCCGCCCACCCCAGTGAACATACTGAGCTTGCCCAGTGCCCCTCCCTCCACCACGTCCCCCCCAATGCACAGGCGACTAAAACCTGTGCATGTTTCCAAGGCAACGGGCAAACCGACGGTATGACATCTTTATCCGCCCAGGTACATGTCTCTTTACCTTCCCAGGTATGCAGTGGGAAGAAAGAGTTCACTTCTCCCGAGCTTCACTCCGACATTATCCTATAGAAGACCAAGGTAAACTTGCACAGGCTCAGCTTCGTCGTGCAGGTTATCCATTGAATGATGTTTTAAATATGGAAGAACAACACAATAATCTGTGTTTTTACTTCAAATAGTTTGTGTTTGTTCATTATTGTGATGTAGATGAAGATCTGAACATGTTATAACTTCTCTTTTCTTGTCTTGGTACGTTTGAACCATGTTCTGACTTTTGGGTCTCCTCCTTCTCTCCTCTCAGATGTCTTCCTCCTCCCCTCCTCCCTCATCCCCTCCCCCGCTGTGCTCCAGTCCCCGACCCCCCCCCTCCCCCCTCAGGTGTGACGTGGACTCCCTCCTGCACCTGTTCGGCTGCTGGTTGTTTGATGCTGCTCTGATCAACAGAGACTCTGGTCTGTTTGGCCAGTACTCTGTCTGTACTACTACAGTACTACTACAGTAGTACTACAATGCTACACATACTACACACGTGAAGCAGCTGCAGGTTACCACATGATAAACTCTGTGTCTCCTTCAGCTGGTCACTGTGATGTCACAGTGATGTCAGAAAGGTGGGCTGCAGGTCGAGCTGAGGCCTGCGGGACGCTCTGCAGGATCATCACCTCTAAGAAGACTGCAGAGGACATCCTGCCTGTCTACCTGTCCAGGTATATGTCTGCTTACCTGTCCAGGTCTAGTCACCTGTCTTTGGACTGTGTTATGATCATGCCCCCCCCCCCCTCCCAGGTTCTACATGGTTCTCCTGCAGGGTCTCCAGGTGTGTGAGGGGGCGTGTCTTCCTGTTCTGGCCTCCATCCTGCTAAACTCCACCTGTCTGTTCTGCTGTGACCTGAGAGGAGTCAACATGCTGCTCCCCTCCTTCATCTCAGCTCTGGAGAGCGTGCTGCTCGACAGGTACAAGTACTGCAAGTACTACAATTACTGTAGATACTAGTACCAGTACTGCACACATTACTACTCTGAACATGACTAATAAGTGCAAGGAGATCAAAATAAAGACATGCACCGTAAGTGCTAGTTGGGTCATGTTAGGGTGTGTAGGAGAGGAGGTGCGTTTTCAAGAGATTCCTAAAGATAGAGAGGGACGTCCCTGCTCTCATAGTATTCGGTAGCTTGTTCTATGATCGGGGAACCTCAGACGAGAATAGTCTGGACTGCGATGGCCTTGTTTGCAGGGGTGGCAAAGTCCAGGCAGTATAGTCCAGGTCTTGTTTCCGCTGTGGTCTCTGATGAATCCAGTTCAAGTCACACTAACATGAAATCCATTCAACAAATACAGCCAGTGATAAACTCACTTCAGTCAGAGCATCCAGACACAGATTTACAGAAGAACCACACGCATTAGCTGAGGTGATCAACTTTCACTTCCCAGTTTCTCTTCAGCCACACTTTCACTTCCTCTCTCAAACTGAGGTTATCTGTGTTTTAATGTGAGGTGGTTTCACAGACAACAATCACTCCAGGCTGACGGGCTGTGAAACTAGCCTGTGAGACGCTCAGGGACTCTGATGTTACAGATACTACGACCCACACTGATGTGTAGTTGTAGCTCTGTCCTTCACAGGTAACCACCCACCTGAGCTGTGGGAGCTTCTGTTTGTGATCCAGCACAATGAGGACGAACTTGTTCTGAGAGATCTGAGTCAGAACAAGAGAACCGCAAACCTCCTGTCTCCACCCAGACTACTGTCAGACAAACTGTTCTAATGTGAGTCATTACGAGCAGATCTGAACGCAGGTCCCTGTGGGTACAAACCTGTTTCAGCCAGTTTCCCTCTCCCTGGTCAGTCCAAGTCCTGCGGTCTGCAGCAGGACTACAGTCTCACGTCTGAAACATGCAGCAGTAATGTGTTCATCAAGCAGGAAGCGTAGTCATCCAATCACTCACTTACACCTACAGATACAGTAAAGTCCAGGTCCAGCTGTGACTGTAGGTAACACTCTCTCTCTCTCTCTCTCACCCTGTGTGTCTATGTCTCTCGCCCAGAGAGCTGTTGAGATTTAAGAGTTTTGTGAGTCCGGTGGATTTGAGACGAGCCTCCATCCTCATCCTGCTGTCCCTGCTGCCCCTCTCTCTGCAGTTTGGATCTGTCCAATCTGAGGTAACCTCCTGTCCACCTGGTTAAACACCTACACACACCCGTGCAGACATGACCTGGACCTCACAGGTATACGATAGGAACATCCAATAATAACCACCAGCTACAGTAACGTTCACCTGTGTGTGTGTGTGTGTGTGTTTGTGTGTGTGTGTGTGTGTGTGTGTGTGTGCGTGTGCACTCAGGTGTTACTGGACAGACAGTTTGGGGGTAATGATGTCACAGCAGGCAGCTTCCTGTCTCTGAAGCCCCGCCTCATCGGTGTTCTGATTGGAGCTCTGCAGACAGAGAGCAACGCCTCCAACACACAGGTGATCCTGGGTCAGTCACAGATCCTGGTTCCTGTTTACAGTTTGAAACAGTAGAACATGAACCACAGGTCTGATTGTTTAAATGGTTTCTGTTGAACTGATGCAGCCGCCATGTTGAACCTGGTCCAGGACTTGGCTCTGGTACAGGCGGTAGGACAAACTCAACAGGTGAGTCTACTGACATCTACTGACATCTACCTCTGACTTCAGGGCACTTTTCATATAGAGCAGGTCTAGACCGTACTCTGCCAGAACAGAAACAGTGAATGACAAATTCTGGTTTATTTTGGTTCCTTTCATTGCTCTTTATGTTTCTTCTAGAACTTCTAGATAATAACACACAGTGCTGACCTGAGGATGTGTGCATGTATTGGCCTCCAGGGGGCGCCAAATGGACTTTACTCTGTTATTCTGGGTTTTCCAGGAAACTCAGTCCCACCGTGGGGGAACCAGTAGAGCCAGATGGACTGGGGGAACCGGGGAAACCAGTGGAACCAGTGGAAACAGACGAACCAGAGGAACCAGTGGTTAATGATGATCATTTGGATTTTAACTAATTTTTAAGTTGTAATTGTTTGTAATATTGACCCAGTATGTCGTGGAAATCTGAGTGACTGTGAGTTTTTTTTGTTTGTTTGTTTTTTTGTATGTGTGTGTGCATTGCCATGACAACCAGCTGTCCAATCAGATGCAGCAGGGGTTCTGTGGGTTCAGTTTTTGCGTCTGCTCACTCAGCGTTTGACGTCTCAGTGGAGGAACGAATCAGCAGTTTGTCTGTCTGCACTGGAAGTACTGGGAGGACTGGCAAAGGTGGACACAGATGTGCACACACACACACACTCTCTCTCTCACACACACACACACCTGAACCATCCCTGTATCTGTAACTCTGTGGTGTGGTCCTGCAGGTGGAGGTCAGGGTGGAGGAGTCGGAGAGGAGGCGAGCAGTCAGTTCTGTCTGTACTTACATCGTGTTTCAGTGCAGTCGTCCTCCTCCTCTTCACTCCAGAGATCTTCACTCCATCATCGTCGCTGCTTTCCACTGTCTAAACATCTGGTTAACTCAGCACCCCGCCATGTTAGACCACCAGGTAACTCACCAACAGACAGATAACTGTATATATTATACAGACAGGTGTGTACATTCATACAATGTATTAGGTGTGTGTTGTACATTTAGTTGTGTGTGTTTCAGGAGTGTTTATTGGAGATTCTGGAGATTGTGGAGTTGGGGATTTCAGGCAGTAAATCCAGACAGGAACAGGAAGTGAAGTGTAAAGAAGAGAAAGAACTGAACCCAGCCTCTCTGAGGGTGAAGGAGGCAGCTGAGGCCACACTGAGCTGGTGAGCAAAACGAACACACTCTGAAACATCTACACTGAAACATGCGATGCTGTTTCCACAGAATGCAGATGTGGAGAATAAAGTGCTGGTCTGATTTTAAAAACAGCAGATGTTTCTTCTTGAAGTGAAGGATTAACTTTTTCCACCTTAATCAGACCAGAGTTCTCTCTCTTTCTAAACCAGGACCATGACTTTTCCCTGATGTGAATCCATTTTTACTTGCCTTGCCTGCGCACATGTTGAAATATATAACAAAAACCTGCTCTTTATCCATATCTCAGTGTCATGCAGGTTTCAGGAGGATTCCCGTTTGTTGGAGGTGTGCTGGATGAGGACGCTGTGATTGGCTGCTCTAGTTTGAGTGACAGCAGTGTGAAGAAGTTCAGATATTTTGTGGTGGACAGCTCGGTGATTCTGGCCATGCTGGAGGAACCACCAGTACCTGAACAGGGTTAGTCCTGACTCACAGAAACACAACCCAACACACACACTCTAATGTCCCACACATATTCAAGTACAGAAACTCCAGTTCTCCTTTGAAAACGACTGCAATAATCACATATTTGAATTTTTTGTGATTCATTCTCACTGAGTTGGCTGATCGATCAATCACTCAGATACTGTTTTTAATGTATGTATCGTGTGTGCAGCATCATGTCCATCGCTCACAGTGCTGATCAGAGGACCATCAGGGCGTCACGGCTGGACTCTACAGCTCCACCTGGAGCCCAGAGAGGGAAGAACACCTACACAGGTAACCACTTACACCTTCATCACTGAGTAGTATAACAAACACACAATAATAGTGATGAAAGAAGTAAACGCAGTGTGTTTCACAGGCTTCAGATCAGTGTTTTATCCTTATTGTCTGTTGATTTATTGCAGAAAACTCGAACCCCAGAACACTGCGGTGTAGCCCAGGAGGATTCTGGGATACGATGTGGTGTCAAACATCAGGTGTTTCCTGAAAACATGAACAGATTTCCTTCAGTTAAAGCAGATCTGAGTATTCCAGCCCTGAACGAGGCCGTTACTGAGGAGGTAGGAACCTCAACCGGGTCAAGACCCTGGTCTGACCCAGAACCAGAACCTGTGTTCGTTCAGTTACAATTGATGGTTGTTCCTTACCTGTGCATATCACCTGTGGCGTTCCTCAGGCACCAGTGTAAGGTCCTCTTTCTCCAGCTACATCGAAGTCAGTCAGATGTTCTTTACCTGTTCTCCACATGGTGTTTTTTTATGATAGCTGTTATGTAGGATGAGTCATCACCTGGCGTCAGGTGTCAGTCAAGTCTAAACTCCTCCTCTGTCAGGTTCATCGGCAGTTGGAGCGTCTGCGAGCAGTGTTAAAGAGACAACGCCAGGTTGAGGATCGGCTACAGGCGAGTGGTCATTCGGTTGTCATGACGACCTGCAGGCCACCGCCTCCGGTCACTAACTTTCAGACGGCAAGACTGTTCTTGTCCCACCTCGGTCTGCTGACACCTGAGACCCTGAAGGTACAGAGGACACGAGGACAGGACAGACATCGATTCAGTGAGTTATTGATTCATTTAGACATGTCTGTCTCACCTGTCTCCCTCTCACCTGTCCGTAGGATCCAGGTACCAGCGGTGTCCCAGCTCAGCTGGTGTCTCTGGATTCGTCTCTTCCAGGATTCTCAGAGGATCTGAGACGTTTGGATCAGATGCCGTTCAGAAACTGTGACTCTGCCTTTGTTTTCTACATGAAAGCTGGACAGAGGACAGCTGCTGAGGTCATACACACCTGTCTGTCTCACTTGTCCGTCAGCTGCTAAGGTTTTACTCACCTGTCTGTCTCTCTGTAGATCTTAAGGAACGTTGAGTCCCGGTGTAGCGTCCCATCTCACTTCCTGGACTTCCTGTCTTCTCTTGGTCGGCCGGTGGAGGTGGGGCCACGACAGGGGAGCAGCACCAGCTCCAGCAGTCCAAGTGAGCAGACAGACAGTGTCAGGTGACCGAGGTCATCAGAGGTCACTCTGTACTCCTTGTACCTGACTGGTTGTTTTCTGTCTCCCAGAATTCCCTGCTGTGCTGGGTGACAGTGGAGGGGGTGTGTTTAACGGAGAGAAATTTGTCCTGATGTTTGCTGATGCTCTGACGGAGCTCACCTTCATCGTCCCATCATCATCCCACAGTCAGTGTCTGATGATGTCACAGTCAGAAAATGTCTCTAGTGATTAACATAGTCAGTTCCTCCATGACCATATAAGGAGACGAGCTGTTCTTTTATATATATTTTTTTCTATTACTAAATGAACTTCCTTTTTTTGTTTGAAGCAGTTGATTGGTTGAAGAATCTAAAGGAGGCGGAGTCTCCGACTGAGTCATCATGCCACATGCAGAGTCACTCTGAGCTTGGCCAAGACCCCACAGTACGTCTCTTCAAAATAAAAGCTTTTTCACTTGGTTATCACTGACCTGTCTATCTCTCTCTGAACTGTATGTATGTCTCTGACCTGTCTCTCTCTCTCTCTGTCCAACCTGACCTGTCTAACCATGACCTGTCTGTCTCTCTCTAACCTGTCTGTCCAGAGTTCTCCAGTCGAAGACAGGAAGTCTTTTCCTTTTGTGTCGTCGTTCGTCGGCTCTGAATCTAAACTGCTGATAGTTTGGGTTGAGCGGTTTGACGATATCGGTAAATAACTTTATTGCTAACTAGCTGTAGCTAACTGTGTATTAGCAAGACTGGGGAGTGACCTCCATCTCACTGGTGACTTTGTGTTTCAGAGAGTTTCCCTCTGTCTGATCTGCTGTTAGAGAGGAAGACAGGAACATCGGCTGGGTAAAAAACCGACAGTCCACCCTCTAACAAACTGATTCAGTCTGATTCTTTAACAAACTGATGACATCTGTCCATCAATCTGTCTGACAGCGTCTCAGACGTCCAGCTGATCTTCATCCATCCTCTGAAAACTGGACTCTACCGGATCCGTTTCCATGAAAACGTCACCAGCAAGTTCAGTTTAGTTGTTCCACTGGTCAATGGGAGTGTGGTCAGCAAGAGGTCACTGAGTAGGTCTATCACCTGTCTGTCTGTCTGTCTGTCTGAGTATGACCTGTCTCACTGTCACATGTCTGTCTGTCACATACAAAACCAGAATTACTGCTTCCTGGTTGTATCCCTCTGCCACTCAGACTAGTTTCAGATTACATCTCTGTTTATCCACAATCATGTAAAATCTTGAAATTTTGTCATAATTGCCATGTGAAATCTTGAGTAATGGCTAAAAAGTGTTTTTTTTAGGTCACCGTGACCTTTGACCACCAATGTCTAATCAGTTTGTCCTTGAGTCCAAGGGAATGTTTTTACCAAATTTGAAGGGATTCCCTTGAGGCATTCTGGAGGTATGGCATTCACAAGGCCAAAATCATGTTTTGTGTGGTTAATGTGACCTTGACCTTTAACCTTTGACCCTCAAAATCTAATCAGTTCATCCTTTAGTCCTAGTGAATGTTTGTGCCAAATTTGAAGAAGTTCTGTCAATGGGACGGACCAATGGATGAGACCTGATTCTCTGTGTAGCAGTGAGATTATAAATCCTTTATCAGGGAGAGAAACTGTCTAAAACCGGAGCTTATCCAGTTCAGCTGTCGGGCGTCTTTCTTTAATGTAATGCTGTCTAATATATATATATAATACAAACTTGATTTTCTGAAAAAGTGACAGCCCTTGTATACACCAGTCCCCACATAACTCATTTACCTCATGCTGTTTAATGCAGCCTCAGCCGAGCCATTCAATGCCCCGGGGAAAAACACGCTTCGCGTGTCTGGCCAGTGTGCAGCACTGGTCCCCTAACCGATCTTGGCACTTCGTTATGACATCAAGAGCAGGGCAGCCTGCTACTGTGAAGTATCTAAACATTTGGTGTTCTCCGTGCACCACTATTATACTCCCAAACTGTAGCACCTGGCACATTAAGTTCAGCTGAGCCAGTGTCCTGTTGCTGCGAGGCGCTGATAATACATCAGGTTACACCGCTGCCTTGTTAGCTGAGTTGGTTAAAATTAATTAAAGTTCAAACGGAATGTTATTGAACATCCCATTGTTAATGTTAGCTCCGTTCCTCTTCAGGTTTATTGTCTCCTGACAGTAACGTTTCTACACACTCACTTTTTTATCTGCAGCATTACATTGTCGACCTGTTTTATTTGGTTTTCGATGGTTTTGCAGGTGAAGCCTTGGAGGCCCCTTGATCCCTTTGGGCCCCTGGGCCTGTGCTGGGTCAGCCTGGTCTTTAATCCAGCCATGTGTCTAATGACAAGGAGGCGATCTGCATTACTGGATTGTTTGAAAAATAAAAACATTTTGTTGTGAATAGGCCTTTGACAAAACATTCATCACATCACAGATTTTGTTGATTAATTTAACATTAATGAAGAAGACCATCTGTCTGTCTCCAGGTTTCCTGGTCAGAGAGATGGTGATCAACTGTTGCCATCGGCGACGGTTGGAAAGTGACTCTGCCCCTCCGCCACATGTCAGAAGGAAGCACATGATCAATGACATCATCCTTCGTTACCGCAGCCGCTGCTCGGAGCCTGCCTTCTATTCTGCCCTGTTCCGTGACCTCTGACTGTTGCCGTGGCAACATTATTGCTGATCTACCATTAACAGTTTTAAAGGGGGCTATTTGTAAGTTTTGCTATTGCTATGTCACCGACGTTAGCATTAACAGCAGTCTACTTACCAGTCTAGAAGAACTAAGAGCTGTCTCCACCAGTGGAAAGCAACGCCATGTTAACTCTTATTTTACTTCTATTTCTATTTTCTTCTATTGAAGTTAGCATGCTAACTGGCTAGCACTGGCCGGGCTGTACTGTACTGTAGCATCCGGTCTGCCCTGAACAAATAACGCTGCCCACCAGTTGCTCCCAGCAACAAACCACATTTGTTGGTGGAGAAAATGTACAAATCGCCTATTTAAAGGTGTGTGTCTAAATCAACCAATCAGAATCAACCGTTATTGCTCTCAGGTTAAAAACTTTACCTCCAAGTTTGATTTTCTGATGACAGGTGTTACTGAGTGATGATGTCAGCTGTATGTCTAATAAATAGTGTGTGTTTAAACCACTGTTGTCTCTGTAAAAACCTCACATCCAACATCTACCAGCTGATTGGTCCTCTGGTGAGTGATGTCATCACGTTACTGAACTTGACAAACAAAATGCTACCTTCTCCTCACCTCCTCCACGCCACTGCCTCCTCCTTTTCTTCTCCACCTCCTCCTTTCCCCCTCCTCTTTGCTTTCTCCTCTTCTTCCTTCTGAACATCTCCACCTCCTTCTTTACTTCTCCTCCTCCTCTTTCTCTTCCTCGACCTCTGCTCCTTGATTTCTTCACCTCCTCCTTTACTTCTCTTCCTACTCCTCTACTTCTTACTGTCTCTTCCTCCTCTTCTTGACCACCTCCTACTTTCCTTCTTCCTCCCTTCCTCATCCACCTCCTTTTCCCCCCTCATTTATAAGGCTCCTGCTTTATTTCACTCCACCTGTCTCTCCTCTGGTTGCCATGGTTACCACCTTGAGGTCATCCTGTTACCATGGTGATGGACAGATAAGATAATAAAACATCCTGCACATAAATCTTTTTTGTTGTGTTTGTCTTGTTATATCTAATTGATCAGTGTTTTTTTTTCCTTATCTGTGATCAATAACCCGTCGCTGACGTCATTCTGTTTCCTATTTGTGCGGGAAGTCGGTGAGGAGAGAAAAAACCTGCTGATCAACCAATCTGCCACCGGCCTGTCTCTCTGCGGGTTCTCTTTCCCTCCATACCTCTCTCCTCTTCACCTCCTCCTCTCCTCATTCTCCTCCTCCACCTCCTCTCCGCAGCAGCGATGCTCCCGCCAGACCAGGCCGGCCTCGGTGCTTTGTCTGCGGGCTGGCGGTAGATCGGTAGGTCGGTGCGGGTCGCGGCTCTCAGTCATGGTGCAGAAATCCCGGAACGGCGGGGTTTTCCCCGGAGCGCAGGCCGACCAGAAGAAGCTGAAGGTCGGCTTCGTGGGTCTGGAGGCCGGAGGGACCGAGTCCAGCAGGGACGGAGCTCTGCTCATATCAGGTAAACACGAAAACCGCAGCTGTTAGTGCAAGTTAATAAGAGGTCGGAGGTCGTTAACGGGAGATGGCACGCGGCTGGAAAATATGTGTGTATATAATGTGTGTGTGTTTACAATGACGGGTCCTTACGAATATAGTAAGACAAAGATGTGTGTGTGTGTGTGGGTGTGTTTGTAATGTGTAAGCGGGATTAACGGGAGAAAAAACGGAGAAGGTGTTTCTGATGCAATGAATGAATTTAATAATGTAAACATGAGAAATAGATCCGGGAATGTTCCGGGACGTTCTCAGTGTTTACTGTGGTGGATAAAAAATAAAAAAGGAACATTTATTCACATCCAGACCTGCAGGTTTGGACCAATGAGGCTAAAGGAGGAGATGTTACTTGTAAACGTGTCGGACAATGATTGAAGGTGATTGTCTGATGGAAAATATTTATTTGGATTATATGTTAAAGATGAAGTTCATTACAAACCTGCAGCAGATTTTATTTCTGACGAGTTAATTTTAACTGATGATATTCTCGCGTTAAGACTCAAACCGACACTGAATTTTCCGATAAACGTGTTGAAATAGAATCTGTTTCCTCTGTGCTATAATGATCTTTTGTTGTCCAGTATCTATTCAAATCATCATTAGTGCTGGGATGTCTGAGTGCAGTTTTCCCTCTGGTATACAGGCTGTGGGCTGTGTGCACCTTTCAGACCGCAGAGTGCAGGACACTATCCTCCCAAAATATGAAGCTGCAGGGTTTATAAAGCTGAAAACTTATCAAGAAGCATTTTTACTTAACATACTGTGATAATTGTTTTGATGCCACTTGTGTATTTTTTTTTTTTTACAGTAAATGAACCAAACTACAAACTCATATGTTGCATCAGAGGAGCAGAAATAAAAAATAACCTGGGGACAATGAAAGTATTTAAATCAAAATGTAAAACAGTCATTAACACTAACAGGAACTATAAGTTGTGTAACCTCAGTCGACTCTCTGACTCTCAACATGAACTGAAATACCTTATTTTTTTGGCCAACAGTGTGAAACCAAAGATATTCACTGTAATACTGTGTTAAAATAAGGACATTTCACATGTGAGAAGCTTCAATAAGAGAAAGTTTTTGTGCTTGTGATTTAAAAATGTAATGATGAATCATCTATGTGAATAGTTGCTCATTAATTTGTTAATTGAGTAATCTAATGCAGTCACAGAAACAGTTAAATCTCTGTCTGTGTGCTCAGGTGGGGAGGAGGGACCTCGGCGGCAGCGCAGCAGCGTCTCCGGAGGAAAGAAACCTCCGAAACGAAACGCTCTCTACAGACGACTGCAGAACTTCCTGTACAACGTCCTAGAGAGACCTCGAGGATGGGCCTTCATCTACCACGCATACGTGTAAATACCTGTCAACTACACCTGTCTACACGCTGCACCTGATTACCGATTAGCTGACGGTAACAGACACAGGACAGATGTTCTTATTATTACGTCCACGCTATTTATATCAATGAGGGGAGGCTAAACAACAGAAGCACCTCTCTGTGTCATGGCAGCAGCACAAACTGCAGCCTCCACAGTGACCAGATACAGCTGAGTCAGCACCTCTCCAACAGTTGCAATGCAAACTGAACCAGGAGGCTTCATTACAGACCTGCTGCATCAGACTGACACAGCTTTAGCTGCTGTTCCTAATAAACTGACTGCTGAGTGTATGTAGTAATATCCTGCAGTGAAAGACACTATATAAAATAACAATAAATAAATACATTATTAAATTAATAAAGTACCCTATTATACAATACAAAAATATTTATAATATTCATGTGTGTATTACTGTATATATGTGTAATATAACTTTGTAAATATATAAATATCGTATATACACATATATGAAATATATGAAAGCCAGATATAAAAGATATAAATAAATGCAAATCAATTCAATAATATTTTTTATTCTGTTAGAAGCTCCGATAAACATCTTAATTTCTACAGGGTCAATTCTTTCTACACTGCTGGTCTCATCTACTTTTTCATATTTATCATGTAACTGTCAGATAAAAGTGGTGAAAGAACAATTTTTATGTATAAAGTGTATAAAGTATAAAAGTAAGATGAAGAGTAAATGTACTTAGTTACTGTCTACAACTATAATCCTAAAGATCTGGTTTTTAAAACAACCTGAGAGTCTGAATTAAACATCAACTCCATCTGCAACAAGCAGCGACTGGTCGATATCTGCACCAGCATCACGTCACGAGCAGCAAATAAAAATCCAGAGAAAATAATAATCAGTCAAACAGAAAAATAAAACTGACGTTAATAACATCAGTGACAAAGTGATAAATGATGAAATAAATGGGTCAGTGCTGCTCTCAGGTCAGTTTCCAGGAAGAGCTGAGGATCAATAACTGAAGACGGACCTGGGATCAGGTGTCACAGTTTAAGTCTTCTCCCAGGAACACAGACGTGAGATCAGTTTTCAGGCACACGGCAGAGTATCAGTGTGTTTACTGTTAAATGTTCTGTGTTCAGGTTCCTGCTGGTGTTCTCCTGTCTGGTTCTGTCTGTGTTCTCCACCATCAAAGAGTACGAAAAGAGTTCAGAGGACGCTCTCTACATCCTGGTAAAAAAATAACATCACACCAGCATCTTTTATCTGCAGCTCTCAGAGTGAATGACTGATCTGAGGTCAGTTGATGAACTGAATAAATTCTGTAAATGGAGCTCAGGACGTTCTGGTATTTTTAGCTTCTCTGTTCCTGTGATTTGATATTTTTAATTCAGTTCATGTTTCCTCTCTGTGGATTTGATTTAGCAGCTGATTGTAGAGCTTCAACAATTAATGGATTGATTGGTGATTAACAGAAAAAAGGGAAAGATTTCAAATATTTGTTGTTTCCAGCTTCTCAAATATGAAGATTTGTTTTCTCTGCCGTCGGTCACAGTAACTAAATCCTTTATTGATAGAGAAAATAATGGTTAGTTGCAGCTGTAGTTGGTTGTTAACAGTGTGTTGTTGTTGTTGTTGCCTAACAGGAAGTGGTGACCATCGTGGTGTTCGGTGTGGAGTACATGGTGAGGATCTGGGCTGCAGGTTGTTGTTGTCGGTACAGAGGATGGAGAGGACGACTCAAATTCGCCAGAAAACCCTTCTGTGTCATAGGTGAGTCTGACGACTTTAACGACATGATTACACTCCGACAGGTGAGTCTGATGATGGGTAAAAGCCCGGGCCCCCCACCATAGAGCAATGGTTAGAAATGAGAGATCTGTTCTATGGAAAAACGGACTCATCAGCTCAGAGTGAGGGAAGAAATGTCTGAACTATGACACAGTGATGAACGATTTATAGATTACAGGATTATGGACTTGAATACGACTTTCCTTGACAATGGAAACCTGTAATTTTGTTTTCTGTTTGTGTCTGTTTATGTTTATGTTCCTTATGACTGTGAAAAAAGTAAAGCTGTACCTTGAAAGTAAATAAAACAATTGTTAGGAAAGTAAGGCATGTGGAAACAAGTGCACCATTGTAAATATATGTACAAATACAAGCAGAGTCTTGTAGCAAACAGACCTGAGTAACTGTATAAGTACTCTGCTATCTGTGTCAGCGGATGTCTTGGTAAATTATTCTGTAGTATTCTGAACAAAAGAATACTAAATAACATGAAACATGAAAATGCTAAGATATTCACATTGTTTTATTTTAATACAATGCTTTTATTGTTCTTTGTAACAGCTTGCAGGTGAAGTGTGTGTGTGTCTGTGTGTGTGTGTGTGTGTGTGTGTGTGTGTATGTGTGTGTGTGTGTGTGTTTCACTCACTGTCCCCCACAGTATGGCAGGTAAAGACATCCTGCAGCTCTCTGTGTGCTCTCCAAGCAGAGTTGGCAGTTTGTTTATGTTGCCATAAACAAATTGGAGCCTGTTTTCTTTGCTCAGCTCTTGGCACCGCGGGGCTTTGTAGTGATCGGGGTGGGAGTCACTGTTTTTAATAGGAAGCCAATATTTGATGGCTCTTTTTTTTATTTTTTTATTTAGATGAATAATAATGGGAACTGGCCTAATTCAACTCTGCAGGTGTTTGTGAGATTCTTCTGTGCACATGTAAGACGCTCCTCTAAATGCATTCTTCCACCCATAAAGGAGAATCGGTTTCATGACGGATTAAAATAATTTGAGCCAGATTTGAAATGAGATTTGAATATAAATTTTACATTTTATTGCATAGAAAGCTCTGCATGCTTTCTTTATTCTTCTTTAGTCTTTATTTATTTCTGTCTTATTTTTATGCCTCCACGCCGCTGATATTGTTTCCGTCCGTCTGTCCCATTCTCGTGGACATATCTCAGTAACGTCTTGATGGAACCTCGTCAGATTTGGCACAAGAATTCCCCAGGACTCAAGGATGAACTGATTAGATTTTGCGGGTCAAAGGTCAAAGTGTGTGACCTCACAAAACAAATATATAAAATATAGTTTTTTTATTTTATATGGGATGTAACCTGAAACTAGTCTGAGTGGCGGAGGGATACAACCACGAGGTGGTAATTCTAGCTCTCACTTATTTTCAGTCCTAAATGATTATAATCTGTACTTGTCTTATTTGTGTTCCTCATGTGAAACTATATGTTTCCCTGAGATCTGGATCTTCTCTCTCTGTCTCTTTCAGACATCATGGTGCTGATCGCGTCCATCTCAGTCTTGGCTGCAGGGACTCAGGGCAACGTCTTTGCCACGTCTGCGATCCGGTCTCTTCGGTTCCTTCAGATCCTGAGGATGATCCGGATGGACCGGCGAGGAGGAACCTGGAAACTGCTGGGATCAGTGGTCTACGCCCACAGCAAGGTAAACTGGGGAAACACCTGTCTTCATCTCTTCACCTGTCTGTCATTTTACCTGTCTTTCTTTCAGAAAGACTGTTTGTCCAGATGTGACTCTTTCAGACAGATGTGATGTTTTCACCGAGATCACTTTGTGTTGATTCGGTGATTAAAGCTGCAGATCTTTGTGACTGTGAGAGAATCAAACATGAAACGTGATGTGGTCACATGGGTTTACTGAGGAAAGCTGTGTGTGTGTGTGTGTGTGTGTGTGTGTGTGTGTGTGTGTGTGTGTGTGTGTGTGTATCAGTGTGTCTTTGTGTCAGCAGTATTGGTTTGTTAGTATCATCTTCTTGACATCTGATAGTTTTCATTGATTTTGGACAGTATTGATTGGAGCTATTGACCCCCCCCCCCATGTTCCTGATTTCTCAGTAACAGTTTGTTGGCATGTAAAGGTGTGTGTGTGTGTGTGTGTGTGTGTGTGTCTTAACCTAATGTCTCTCTCTCTCTCTCTGTGTGACTCAACTTTTTTACCAGTTCAATTCAGTAAGCTTTATTGGTACGAGTGTCAGGTGAATAATATTGCCTAAGCATCAGTGATAATACAATTCAATAATGAGATGAGAGAAAAAAGATTCCAGATGGACATTGTTAGTTAATTTAATCATTTGGTTTACTCTGACTAGTGGTAGGATCGGATGCTGTCTGAGGTTGAACAGTATTGGCTGTTGTTTGATCAGTAAGCCTCCAGCTGACAGAAGAGACTCTTTTAGGGGTTCAGTTCTCGGCTCAGTGTGTCTTGAGGGCTTAATTTGAGATGTTACCAAAACTGAATTGTTCTTTTTTTAATGGGTTACGGCCTAATTCTGTCCTACATGCACTGGTTAATTCTTTTTTATTACGTTATTAATATGGACCTACAGAATTCTGCTTGCAGGGGATGACTGTCCCACCTAGTGTCGTCCTGACGACTGACCCCAAACTCACTACCATATATAACGATTGGTCGGATTACAAATATTTCAGTGCAAATTCTAATTGGTTTGTTTATTTGTACAAATGTTCTTCCTCTTCCTCCTGTGTAAAATGCAACTAGAAGATATTAGGTTAGACTCTCTCTCTCTCAGTCTGACCTAATGTCTCTCTCTCTGTCTCTCTCTCTCTCTCTTTCTCTCAGTCTGACCTAATGTCCCTCTCTCTCTCTGTCTGACCTGTATGTCTCTCTCAATAAAATTCAGTTCAATATCAATTCAATAAGCTTTATTGGCATTAATGTCAAGTGGACAATATTGCCAAAGAGTTACAGACAAAATAATAATGGTATCAGGAAGAAATACACATATATATATACTGTATATACACACATAATCGATTAAGTAATTTAGTGTAATAACTGATCTCTCTCTCTCTCTCAGTCTGACCTTAATGTCTCTCGCCCCCTGCAGGAGTTGATCACAGCCTGGTATATCGGCTTCTTGTGTCTCATTCTGGCCAGTTTCCTCGTTTATTTGGCAGAAAAGGAAGACAACGAACAGTTTGAGACTTACGCCGACGCACTCTGGTGGGGACTGGTGAGGCCAACACACGCTGATACATACGATAATACAGTGACACACACACACACACACACACACACACACACACACAGAATGACAGGTGCTAGGACACAGGCAGTCCTGTTAACATGATGTAGTGGATGTAAACAGCACTGACAGGACTCTTAACAGGACACGACATCTGTTTTATGTCTTCAGTTGTCAGTGTTTTAACTACTTTATATACAGTTAATATAGTTTAGTGCAGTGGTCCCCAACCTACGGGTCGGGCCCCTCCAAAGGGTCACCAGACAAATCTTAGGGGTCGTCCGATGATTCTTGGGAGAGGAAAAAAGAAAAAAGAAATGATTCACTGATCTGGTTTCAGTCTTTTCTCTAATATATGAATGTAGTGAAATTTTTAATTATTTTATTTAGAGGATAAATTAACTGAAAACAAGGACAGACTTATACAGACTTATTTTATGCAAGAGACAGAACTACACACTCATTTTTTTTATGGTGTCACAAATCAAAGAGGTTGGAACCAAAGATTTAAATTTAGACTCATCAAGTTTTTTAAATTTTTTTAATGTAACTGTAATGTAACTCTTATTTAGTAAAGTAACCACTAACTCAGTTACAGGCCGATCTGATTGGTCTGTTTCTATCTATGTCAGATCACCTTGACAACCATTGGTTATGGCGATAAATTCCCCATCACCTGGAACGGACGTCTGCTGGCTGCGACCTTCACGCTGATCGGAGTTTCGTTCTTCGCTCTGCCCGCTGTGAGTCACTCAAATGATTTCCTGAGTTCACCTGAGCCAGGTGAGCCTCCACCTGGTTCATCCAGCTCACCTGGTCTCCTGTTACCTGTGCGTATGTGTATGTCCTCAGGGGATCCTGGGTTCTGGATTTGCTCTGAAGGTTCAGGAGCAGCACCGGCAGAAACACTTCGAGAAGAGACGAAACCCAGCAGCCGGACTCATACAGGTGAATTGACGCTCTGACATCACACCTACTCTGCACAGTGATTGGTCAGCTCTTGAGAAGAGAGAAAGTAGGCGGGGTTTGAACTGTCTCAGCTCTCTTACTGACCTGAGTTTAAGACGACCCTGATTATAATGTCGACAGCAGAATGAGGAACAGGAAGAGCAGCCGTTATTGTGACCTGTGATGTTCACACACGATTCGAGCTGGTTAATTATCCCCGGTGCTAACGTTGTAGCCAGAGCAGATAAACACAATAAATTAGCTTTTTTTGTGTTATATATCAAGTGAAACCAGATCCAAACAAACAGTGAACAGCTGCTATAAAAATTTGTTAAATTGATTGTATCAATTTTAATACAGGATTTTATTTTGGTGCATTTGCAGCCATTATGTGAACAGCTGACATGTCCGTGATTCTTTTCACCAAGTGGGAGAGATCGATCCACAGAGAAGAGAGTCTGCATCTGTTTTCAAAGTGAACCATTAAATAATCCAGTTTAAGTAGAAAGTAAAACCCACATTGTATCTTGTCTCTCTGTCACAGACTCTCACTCTCTCCTGTCAGACTGTTGAGGGTCAAAATCATTTTCTCTGACAGTATTTTTTAGACTTCAGACTTTCTCATCATCTGTGACAGCTGTTGGCTGTCTGACAGATCTTCTCCCTGATTCATCTCTGCAGTAAAGACGTCAAAGACGCTGTGAACTTGGGTAACTGCAACACTTAAAGTGCTGACTGACGCTGAAAGACTCACTCATAAATAGACTGAAAACACTCGCTAGCTTGGCAACATTAAATTACAAACAACCCAGACAAAGACGTGATGGCGGCTGACTCAGAATCACCTGAAACTCTGTTTAACTTCTCCAAAGTAGTCTTTTACTTTGAAAATCCATGAAGACAACAGGTTATTTATAACCGTTTCCATGGAAACAACCATCCTCTGTTTGTCTGCAGGCGGCGTGGAGGGTTTACGCCACAAATCTGACCCGAACAGATCTGACTTCAACATGGGATTATTACGAGAGGACTGTCTCTGTCCCCATGTACAGGTAAGACAGCACCTGTCCACCTACAGACACTATTGTTCTATAATCACTTCATATCATCATGTATGATTCGGTCTGTGTCTCCAGGTTGATTCCTCCTCTCAATCAGCTGGATTTATTGAGGAACCTCAAGAACAAATCAGGACTCTCATTCAGGTCTGAAATGTTCAACGCAACAAGTCACATAACAAGTAACTCACATAACTCCTGCAACACAACGAGATAGTTTAATTTGTTGACCAGCGATCCACAGAAGCTCGTTAATCAGTGTCCATGTCTTTAACATTAAATAAAGACATTAAAGTCAGAATTGTCAAGAAAATTCTTCCATAATAATAATAATAACAACCTGTCTGTCTCACCTGTCCGTCTGTCTCTGCAGGAAAGACGTCCAGCCTGAACCGTCTCCCAGGTCAGTGTCCAGTCCTTTACCGAGACCCTAAAACCTCTGACCTTCCCAGGCAGACTTTTCACACTTGACTCCTTACCTCTGACCTTTGACCTCAGAAAAACTGACCCCTGACCCTTCACCTCAACCACTGATTCAGAGTCAACAAAATACATATTGTTGATAATGAAAACGAAAAGAAAACAAACAGGATTGAAAAGTTTAAATAATATAACATGAAAGGAAAATACAAGATCCAGTTATAATCCAACCTGTCGGTTTGTTTGTCTGCAGTCAGAAGGTCAGTCTGAAGGAGAGGGTCTTCTCGTCTCCGCGGAGCTCAGGAACCAAAGGGAAAGGTTCTCCTCAGCACGGTGAGTGTGAGAACCAAAGTCTCGTTGTAAGATTATATTTTTGAAATGTTGACGTTATTGGACATTTCAGAAATTAGTCAGATTATTGATAATTTATTGCAAACCCTCAGTGCCCAACTGAAACAGTGGTTCTGATTGATGTGTTTCATCCTTGACCGCCATCTTTCTTTCACTGCTTCCTGTCTCCAGTGGTTTCCACAGTCGGCCCCGGTGTGAGTCCTGGTCCTGGTGTGGCTCCTGGAGTTCCTGGAGGTCCGGGGGGAGTCCAGGCCCTGCGACGGTCCCCCAGCATGGAGCCCAATCTGGAGGACAGTCCCAGCAAGGTTCCAAAGAGCTGGAGCTTTGGAGAACGCAGCAGAACCCGACAGGCGTTCAGGATCCGAGGAGCTGCCTCCCGCCAAAACTCTGAAGGTAAATGACATTCGGAGCACTTTATCTGTAGGTCACAACCACTAACATGGAGCTTTAACATCTAAAACTAGAGAACAACCTGAGCACTCAACCTGAAAAATCCCCTGCCACCCAAAAATCATTTTCCCATAGACCTACATTATAAAAGAGATGTCCGTAAAAACTGTTTACAGGACACACACAACTGCAAACAAGCTCAGGTAACACTTGAAAACCCTTTGGACTCATTCTCAATGAGTAATTTTCATTCAAGTGTCTGGACACCATCTTGAAATCTGGTGTCCAGGTCTCGTAGTACACCCATGGACTCCAGCAGCAGTGAGAGGTCTGAGGTCTGCTCAAGTGTTTTGGAGGTAGATGTGTCATAGTACATTTTATTTCTGTTCATCATATTCAGTATGTGAAACACCCTAATGAAGAGCCGCGAATGTGACATAATTAGACTTCATACATACTAAAAACACATGAAACGTGTCAGTAAAACATTTTAAATCAAGTTCAGTTAAATGGTATTTATATAGCGCCAAATCATAACATATATTTTGTTAAGGCACTTAACGAAGTAAAGTTGAGACCCAACAGTTCATGAGCAAGCACGTGGTGACAATGGAGAGGAAGAAATGGTGTTAGCAGCCTTTTTGATACAGAGTCGTTAAAGAGTAAAGTTTCCATGTTACAGACCAAAGACTTTATTCAGTCATTGAAAAGAAGATTTAAGGGTGGAAAGGAGATAAGGAGACAGGGAAGGAAATGAGGTTTAAAGGAGGAGAAGGAGAGGAAACAGACCAACTCTCATCATCTGGGACGACTGGCTTACACTTAACCTGACTGGTTTATACTGGATGTGACTGGTTTATACTGGACCTCACTGGTTTATACTGGATGTGACTGGTTTATACTGGACCTCACTGGTTTATACTGGATGTGACTGGTTTATACTGGACCTCACTGGTTTATACTGGATGTGACTTGTTTTAACTGGATCTGACTGGTTTAAACTGGTTTTCACACCTTGCTATTAAACTTTTGTGCCAAGATTCAACAATTAAACCTCACGTGATTCTAGCATTGTGATAGCAGATAATTTCCCTGTGCTTCCAGTCTTTGTGCTAAGCTAGGCTAACAGTTTCCATCTGTTTAGTCTTTGCACTAAGCTAGGCTAACAGTTTCTGTCTGTGTCTAGTCTTTGTGCTAAGTAAGGCTAACAGTTTCCATCTGTGTCTAGTCTTTGTGCTAAGCTAGGCTAACAGTTTCCGTCTGTCTTATCTTTGTGCTAAGCTAGGCTAACAGTTTCCGTCTGTGTCTAGTCTTTGTGCTAAGTAAGGCTAACAGTTTCCGTCTGTGTCTAGTCTTTGTGCTAAGTAAGGCTAACAGTTTCAGTCTGTGTCTAGTCTTTGTGCTAAGCTAGGCTAACAGCTTCAGTCTGCATCTAGTCTTTGTGCTAAGCTAGGCTAACAGTTTCCGTCTGTCTTATCTTTGTGCTAAGCTAGGCTAACAATTTCAGTCTGCGTCTAGTCTTTGTGCTAAGCTAGGCTAACAGGTTCCATCGGCGTCTAGTCTTTGTGCTAAGCTAGGCTAACAGTTTCCATCTGCGTCAAGTCTTTGTGCTAAGCTAGGCTAAATGATGCTGTACCTCTGCACTGAAACTGACGATTTAATGAATGTTGGACTGTTTCTTTAAATCTGTAAACACCTCAGTACCTGACAGGTGTTTACCTCTTCTTTGTTGGTGTTCTCAGCCCTGACGATGGTGATGATGAGTGCTCTGATGAAGGTCTCTGTCTCCTCTGTCTCCTCCTGTAGTGCTGATAGAGATGCAGGATGAAGAGTTCAGACAGAAGAACTCCCCAGGTCAGCGCGCACACACACACACACACACACACGCACACACACACACACACATATCCTGAGACCAGGTCCACCTGAATGTCAGTGGAGCTTCTTCCTCCGTTCTTCTTCTAAATACTGATTCAGGTAAAATACCAGTTCTGGTTTTACTAGAAATTTAACTTAAAGTTCAGAGTTGTTTTGTCACCATTGGTAGATATGAATCTGATAGGGTGGCTATGACATGTGGAATCCTCCAGAGATCAGTTCTCGGACCTCCTCTGTTCAGGCTCTACGTGCTTCCTTTGGGTCAAATTCTAACCAGACAACATTGATGACCATAGTTTTGCAGGTGATTACACACAGATATACCTGGCTCTTTCACCAGATTACAGCTCAATAGACTCACTGCGTCAATGTTTAGAGCAAAAATATGATGGATGAGCCAAAGTTTTCTTCAGTTAATTGAGGAAAAAACAGAGATTATTGTTTGTTTGGAAACAAAAATAATAGAATCAGTATTTGTAAACCATCTGCAGTCAATTTTTGTCCAGGGGCGCTTTAACAAGTTAATGTGGCCCTGATTGGAACAGGTATTAGCTGAACTTGTTTCAGGACTCTGGTCCTCAGTGCTGCAGTGTCACATGCTTCAGGTAGGGGGCGCTGACCGACACTTCAGACGCTGTGATGATGATGATGTTGTGGTTTCAGAGGCCAGCCTGCCAGGAGAAGACATGGCCGACGACAACAAGAGCTGTCACTGTGAGTTTGTCCCTCAGGATCTGACCCCAGGGTTAAAGGTCACCATCAGAGCCATCTGGTACGAACTGTTTGTTTTAATTTTATTCAGAAAAATCATTTTATTTTATCAGTTTATCTGCTCATCATTCATCGCTTTGCTCACCTTTATTTGCTGGTTATTATGCACTGAATCATTCTGCTTTTTATTCACATTATTTTTTGTTTGTTTTTGTTTTTTATTTATTTGTGCTCACCCCAGGGTCAAAGGTCATCATCAGCTGTTGGGTAAGACCAGTTAGTCTGACCTCCAGTTAGCTTCATTGTTTTCTGTTGTTTCACTGTTTTCCGTTGTCTGCCACTTTAGCTCCTCTGTTGTGCTGTTTGGTAAGACATTTTATTGTTATTATTGTTTATTTCTTTTTTTATCCCTCTTGGTGCTGTTGGTGTCCTACCGTCCACTGCTCCTCTCCTGTATGTTTGAAGTTAAAGTTTCACATCTGTAAGGGATTCCCCAGTTTGATAAAGTCTGTCTCTACAGAAGAACCAAGACCAGTAACTCTTTAAGTAACAGTTTTCTGGTTCAGGTCTGTGTTTCCTGGTTTTGGTTCGACCCTGGTCCAGGATAAGTGACTCAGCTGTAGACTAATGGTGGGGACCCACATCAGGACTATATCTCTGATGAGGAATCTGATTTGACTTGACAACTGATGTCAGTTCCTGTCTGGTCAGCTGGTTCTGACACTCTGCAGATAAAATCCTGTAGTGTGATATGTAGAAACATTGATTAATCATGTTTGATATCTGCGACTGATGTCCCACACTGATGATGTCACCTGTGCGTTGCTGTGGGAGACATACAGGCAAATAAACACATTTACCAGAAGTTAGCTTTCTTTTACAAAGTTAATCCAGCTCTGGGTCCCTCTGTGGGCTCTGCAGTCCTACACACCCCTCCATCCAGGATCTCACCAAACTCTGAGCCTTTTTCCTCAAATGTCTACAGAGACCAGTCCACACTCACTCTCAGAAGACTCTGTAGGTCTGTGAGATTAGTCCAGACTCACTGTAAGAAGCATCTGTAGACTAGATTCAGCTCATAGACCTACAGAGACTAGTCCAGACCCACTGAACACCCCATCTATTAATACCTGAGCCCACCAGAGCTCTCCCCAGCCATCAGAGGTTGGGTGACAGCTGACTTCCTGTTTTCTCTCTGTGTCTCTCAGCATCATGCGTTTCATGGTGTCGAAGAGGAAATTTAAGGAGAGTCTTCGTCCCTATGATGTCATGGACGTGATTGAACAGTACTCAGCCGGACACCTGGACATGCTCGCCCGCATCAAGAACCTCCAGTCAAGGTAAGACCGCTGATTTCTGACCCGCCACATATATATCTGAGGTTGCTTTACCATCTAAATATTTCCCATGTTGAATATTTTCTCTTACCGTCATAAAGTTCCTCACTGTCTTCTGATTGGCAGAGTGGATCAGATAGTCGGCAGAGGGACACCAATTGCAGACAAAGACCGTCCCAAAGCAGCCAGTGAGGAGCTCCCTGATGATCCGAGCATGATGGGACGGCTGGGGAAGGTGGAGAAGCAGGTAACCAGTAGCAACCAGTGTGTTGTTAAATAGACTTTCAGCAGAGCAGTGCTGAAAACTCAATAACTCTGAACCTGCTGGTTTTCCTGATGCAGTTTCAGCCTTGAATCTGATTGGTCCTCTGCTGGTCTTGTGTCCCTAGGTCCTGTCAATGGAGAGAAAGTTGGACTTCCTGGTTAACATCTACATCCAGCGAATGGGAATACCTCAGGCTGAGACAGACGCCTACTTCGGATCCAAGGAGCCAGACCCGGCCCCGCCCTACCACAGTCCGGTGGATCAGCTGGAGAAGAGCCAGTCCATCAATAAAATCCAGCAGTCAGTGTCTCCTATTACTGGGAAACCACAGAAGCACTATCAGACCAGGACCAGTTACAGACTGGGATCCATAACACAACAGAACCAGGAACACACTACAACTAGTGACGCACCAGAACCAGTATCACACCAGGACCAGTAGCACACCTGAGTCAGGCACAAAACAGACCTTGTTGTCATTGTATGCTGTTGCCATTGTGTATGGCATGCCTTTGTTTATCATGTTTACATGTTGGTAACTTTTGTTTTTAGAACCTCCATTTTTCCAGTTGATGGAATCTGAAATCCTAAATTTAATCTAAATGTTTGACTCGTTCAGCAGCCAAACAAACTTGACGTTCTTTCTGCAATGGAAGTCAAATATCATTCAGAAAGTTGATCCCAACACTGCTGCAGAAGTTAATTTATGTATTTCACACAAATCAGAATAAAATACAAGTAAAAGCATACAAACATGATTATAGCAATGAGTGAAAATGAAGTGACACATCAAAAAGCTTCAGAGGCTTGTGAATAGGGGCCCAGTCACTGTCTGAGTAAACGAAATACAATTTCAGCCACAAAATACCTAAATCCCAATATGTAAAACCATTAAAAAAATTACCAAATGGTTCAAAAACATCTATACCATCAGTCCAAACTTTAATTCTCACAAATTGCACTTCTAGGTTGCTTTGCTTTCACCTTCTGTCCAGTTCATCCCAAACCAGCTCCATGTGGTTTAAGCCTGGAGACTGTGCTGCTCTTCATCATGTGAAGCCACCGTCTCGTCTTTTCTTCTAATGTTTCAGCTCCTTATCTTGCTTTAGGATGAACCCCTGACCAACCAGTCTGTCTTCCTTTGTTACTTTTCTTTCTCTCACTGTTCTAATAGTAATGTACAGTTCTTCTTCCTGAACTTCAGTACTGTCCTAATAATACATCAGAGGGTGTAGTAAAACAGTTTGTTCCAACACTGCCTTTGTACAGACAGAGTCAGTCATTAACCTGTAGCAATTGTTTGCATTAACTTTCAAGGCATCATTTACCTCCATTGCTGCAGAAAAGCTGAACGTTTCTTAATCCATGAACAGGCCTATGATATCTACAGGATTTTTCAGCTTTTTTATTTTACCTTGGGCAGGTTACCTCTGAACCTTTTACCAGAGGGTTTTCACTGGTCTTGAGCTGCTGAAATCTGAATAAAAACTGGAAAAAATGGGAAGGATCTAAAACTTTTGACCGGTTGTGTTCATGTTGTTAACACATTGTTTACATGTTGTGCAGGGTGACTGGCGACCATACAGAGAAGACCCGTTTTGGGACGAAGATGGTCCGCTCCAGCAGCTCGACTGGACAAAGAAACTGCAACACCCCCACCTGCCCCCCCTCCACCTCCTGGCAGCCAATCAGCTCCCAACTCCACCAGCAGGCCCCACCCCCTCCTCAGCGCAGCCACGGTAACACTCCGAGTCCGGTGGGAGACGGGTCACTGGTTCGACTCCCACCTCCCCCAGCTGGGGAGAGACACGGCGGGAACCGTTCGAATCGGCACAGCAACGGAGAGCGAGGGGGGGCAGAGAGACAGGAGAGGGGAGGAGGAGGACGGGCAAGTGGGGCTGGGGAAGGAGGAGGAGAAGGAGGGGAGGAGGTGAAGCAGGACAGCGACACCTCCATCTCCATCCCGTCAGTGGACCACGAGGAGCTGGAGCGCTCCTTCAGCGGCTTCTCCATCTCCCAGTCCAGAGAGAACCTGGATTTCCTCAACAATAGCTTCTACTCCTCCACCAACCTGGGAGACCACCGAGGAGGAGGTGGCAGCGCCCGCTGTGCCACCATCAGGCCTTACATCGCTGAGGGCGAGTCAGACTCCGACTCAGAGCTCTGCGCCCCATCGCCGCACTCGGACCGGGCCTGGACCGGAACCAAGTAGAGTTGAAGGTAAACTGGAGCAGAACCAGCAGAACCCTTAAAATAATTCAAATGTGAATGACAACTATGAAACTGTGAAGTGCAACAGGTCCAAGTTAACGGACAGAGTCAAAAACTTATAACACCAGCTGGAAGTTCAGAGTGAAGCATCATGGGAACAGCAAGCGTCATGGTGTTTTTATCTGTGTGAATGTTTTAACGTGTATGGCAAATGTTTGTCCTCACTGTCACTGATTAGTTAACTGCTGGGACACGCTCACACCTGATATGTTCACTGCAGGGACACGCTTGCGCCTGATTGGTTAACTGCTGCAACACGCTTGCACATGATTAGCTCACTGCTGCGACATGCTCACACCTGATTGGATCATTATTATTATCAGAAGCTTACTGTTCAATTTAATCATTACCTTTTTAAAAAACAACTGAACAATTGACTGATACATCACCATGACAACAGACACAGCTGTTGTTCTCTCTATTTCTTGTACAGAGCAATTGATTTGTTTATTCTGCCCCCTAAAGGCAGAGAGTGGTAACTACAGAAAAGGTTCAAATGTTCAGGCGTGATCAAAAGGTGGTGTTGTCTTCATTAAATGTGTTTTTATTCTGATTATTTTACTCCAAAAATTCACTGTCACAGACCCAAAGAGGATTTATAAAGAATATTTATCTGCACTCTCTGAATAATCTTGTCACTGACAGATTTTATCAGTTGCTAAGCTAATATAAAGCTAACAGTACCTCCAAGAACTACTTGAAGACATAATCTTCACAAGATTTTTTTGTATTTCCAGTTGATTTGTTTGAAAACAAGAACCCTGTTAAAGTTGTCTATGATGGCTGCATACATGATATCATGCTAACAAACTTAGGCTAACACTAACAGCTTCTCTACTCTTTTGCACGAATTTTTGGAAAGTTGATCAAAGGACATGACCCTCAAAAAGTATATCCCCTAACAGTCATGCTACCCAGTTACAGTTGCTAAGCTGTGATTGGACAGTTGCTGTTCGGGGGAGGGGTTTTGTAAACTGTAAGTTAAGACTCCCATAACTCCCATATGACTTCAATGCAGCTGTCTTACACAATCATGATGTCATAAAAACATTATAGTGCTTATATATAATGTAATCATCAAACTGTTAATTCTTCTATAAGTAATATTCATTATTAATCCCAACAATTCATTAAATAACAGCAACAGGAATGTTAACATAATACTGATGATAAAATGTTTGATGAATGAATTTGTGAATCAGCTACTGAATCTGGCCAGCAGGGAGAAGTCAGGACAATCAGTCACTACAGGAAACCAAAATAAGACAAACTTACCAAAATAAAAGTCTGTTTTACTGCCTGAGTTCTGGATAAAGAGCTCAACATTTCTTACCAGCAGTGAAGATAAATACAGAGTTTCCCTGGGGATGCCACAGGTGTCATTATTAAGTCCCACCCCGGAAACCACACATACAAGGTTTAGATGTAACAGTTTGTAGTTAAGAGATTTCATCAGTAAATAGACTGATTTCATCATCAGGATGAAGATGAAGAGTAAATGCTCAGCTGATCGATCAGTTCTTCTTTGATCAGCTGATGAAAGTGACTCATTATTCAGTGACCTGCTGCTTGCTGACCTGCTCATTAACTTATTAGTCTGAATGTAGAAACACTTCATTTAATGTTTCCATGGGGACCATGTTTCCATGGTGACATTTCCTTCCTTCCTGACATTTTTGTTTGCTAGTAAAAGTTTGTCACAGATGTTAAACTGATTACATTAAACTTTTGAATTAATTTTTTAGACTTTTGTGAAGGGTTTTTGTCATCTGACCGTCAACCTGTGTGGAAATGTCTAAACCTGTTCTGGATTAATTTTCAAATACAACAATGTAGATCTTTGTTCAAACAACCTGATAGTATTAAAATATTATCACACTTTTTAATGGTCACTTCTATCAGTTCCTTCAAAATCCTTTAAATGAGTTCTGGCAAAAAAGCGGTACGAATAAATCTTTGTGTTAAATCTTGTTTCTGTAGCTGAGACTGTAAAACACAAACTGTATCTTTGTACAGAATGTTGCTTGTTTGATTGTATTTCAGTATGAATAAACCTTTAACCACAACAGACCTGATGTGACCTCAACCATCTTCAATCTTTTCTACATAGTTTGTAAAAATATCACTGTCATTTGTAAGGAAGGTTGTGTGGTTTGTAAGCATTTTGCTCTGATTTGAAAAATGTTGCTGTGGTTTATGAAAAAATTGCAGTGGTTTGTAAGGACGTCACTGTGGTTTATGAAAATGCTGGCATGGTTTGAAAGGACATTGAACATTGCTCTGGTTTGTAAAAAAAAAAAAAAAATGCAGTGGTTTTTATAATAGTAGTAGTACTCATAAAATGTCACATTACAGTAAGGAAAGATGTCTAGTCTAGTAAGGCATAAAAAGTCTCATGTAGTAGGTCATAAAAAAGTCATAGTATAGTGTGGGGTAAAAAGTCATAGTATGGTAAGGCATAACAAATTATATTATAGTGAGGAAAAAAAAGTCATACTATAATCAGTGATGAGGTCATAGTATAGTAAGGCATAAAAAGTCATAGTATAGGAAAGCAAAAAATTCATAAATTAAGACATAAAAGGTCATGGTATAATAAGGTATAAAAAGTCAGAGTATAGTAAGGAAAAAAAGTCATAGTATGGTAAAGCATAAAAAGTCATAGTATAGAAAGGCAAAAAAAAAAGTCATAGTATAGTAAGGCATAAAAAGTCATAGTATAACAAGGCATAAAAAGTCATAGTATAGTGAGGTGTAAAAGGTCATTGTATAATAAGGTATAAAAAGTCATAGTATAGTAAGGCGCAAAAAGTCAGTATAGTAGGGCGTAAAAAGTCATAGTATAGTAAGGCGTAAAAAGTCATAGTATAGTAAGGCATAAAAATGTAAAAAAAAGTCAGAGTATAACAAGGCATAAAAAGTCATAGTATAATAGGGCGTAAAAAGTCATAGTATAGTAAGGTGTAAAAAGGCATAGTATAGTAAGGCATAAAAATGTAAAAAAAAGTCAGAGTATAACAAGGCATAAAAAGTCATAGTATAGTAAGGCGTAAAAAGTCATAGTATAGTAAGGCGTAAAAAGTCATAGTATAGTAAGGCATAAAAATGTAAAAAAAAGTCAGAGTATAACAAGGCATAAAAAGTCATAGTATACTAAGGTATAAAGTCATAGTATAGTAGGGCGTAAAAAGTCATAGTATTGTAAGACATAAATATGTTAAAAAAAGTCATAGTATAACAAGGCATAAAAAGTCATAGTATAGTATGGTGCAAAAAGTCATAGTATAGTAAGGCGTAAAAATTTAAAAAAAAAGTCATAGTATAGTAAGGTAAAAAAAGTCATAGCATAAAAAGGCATAAAATGTTATAAAAACGTCATAGTATAACAAGGAATAAAAAGTCATAGTATAGTAAGGCGCAAAACGTCATAGTATAGTAAGGCATAAAAAATTATAGTATAATAAGGCACAAAAATGTTACAAAAAAGTCATAGTATAACAAGGCGTAAAAAGTCATTGTATAGTAAGGCACAAAAAGTCATAGTATAGTAAGGCATAAAGATTTTATGAAAAAGTCATAGTATAACAAGGCATAAAAAGTCATAGTATAATAAGGCGTAAAAATTTTATGAAAAAGTCATAGTATAACAAGGTGTAAAAAGTCATTGTATAGTAAGGCACAAAAAGCCATAGTATAGTAAGGCATAAAAATGTTATAAAAAAGTTATAGTATAACAAAGCATAAAAAGTCATAGTATAGTAAGGTGTAAAAAGTCATAATATAGTAAGGCATAAAAATGTTAAAAAAAAGTCATAGTATAACAAGGCATAAAAAGTCATAGTATAGTAAGGCATAAAAAGACATAGTATAGTAAGGCATAAAAATGTTATTAAAAAAGTCATAGTATGACAAGGCATAAATAGTCATAGTATAGTAAGGTGTAAAAAGTCATAATATAGTAAGGCATAAAAATGTTAAAAAAAAGTCATAGTATAACAAGGCATAAAAAGTCATAGTATAGTAAGGCATAAAAAGTCATAATATAGTAAGGCATAAAAATGTAAAAAAAAAGTCATAGTATAACAAGGCATAAAAAGTCAAAGTATAGTAAGGCGCAAAAAGTCATAGTATAGTAGGGCATAAAAAGTCATATTATACTAAGGTATAAAGTCATAGTATAGTAGGGCGTAAAAAGTCATAGTATAGTAAGACATAAAAATTAAAAAAAAAAGTCATAGTATAGTAAGGTATGAAAAGTCATAGAATAAAAAGGCATAAAATGTTATAAAAACGTCATAGTATGACAAGGAATAAAAAGTCATAGTATAGTAAGGCGCAAAACGTCATAATATAGTAAGGCATAAAAAATCATAGGATAATAAGGCATAAAAATGTTACAAAAAAGTCATAGTATAACTAGGCATAAAAAGTCATAGTACAGTAAGGCATAAAAAGTCATAGTACAGTAAGGCATAAAAAGTCATAGTACAGTAAGGCATAAAAAGTCATAGTACAGTAAGGCATAAAAAGTCATAGTACAGTAAGGCATAAAAAGTCATAGTACAGTAAGGCATAAAAAGTCATAGTACAGTAAGGCATAAAAAGTCATAGTACAGTAAGGCATAAAAAGTCATAGTACAGTAAGGCATAAAAAGTCATAGTACAGTAAGGCATAAAAAGTCATAGTACAGTAAGGCATAAAAAGTCATAGTACAGTAAGGCATAAAAAGTCATAGTACAGTAAGGCATAAAAAGTCATAGTACAGTAAGGCATAAAAAGTCATAGTACAGTAAGGCATAAAAAGTCATAGTACAGTAAGGCATAAAAAGTCATAGTACAGTAAGGCATAAAAAGTCATAGTACAGTAAGGCATAAAAAGTCATAGTACAGTAAGGCATAAAAAGTCATAGTACAGTAAGGCATAAAAAGTCATAGTACAGTAAGGCATAAAAAGTCATAGTACAGTAAGGCATAAAAAGTCATAGTATACTAAGGTATAAAGTCATAGTATAGTAGGGCGTAAAAAGTCATAGTATAGTAAGACATAAATATGTTAAAAAAAAAGTCATAGTATAACTAGGCATAAAAAGTCATAGTATAGTATAGTGCAAAAAGTCATAGAATAGTAAGGCGTAAAAAGTCATAATATAGTAAGGCATAAAAATGTTAAAAAAAAGTCATAGTATAACAAGGCGCAAAACGTCATAATATAGTAAGGCATAAAAAATCATAGGATAATAAGGCATAAAAATGTTACAAAAAAGTCATAGTATAACAAGGCGTAAAAAGTCATTGTATAGTAAGGCACAAAAAGTCATAGTATAGTAAGGCATAAAAATGATTAAAAAAAAAGTCATAGTATAACGGCATAAAAANTAAAAATGATTAAAAAAAAAGTCATAGTATAACAAGGCATAAAAAGTCATAGTATAGTAAGGCATAAAAAGTCATAGTATAATAAGGCATAAAAATGTTTCAAAAAAGTCATAGTATAACAAGGCGTAAAAAGTCATAGTATAATAAGGCATAAAAATGTTACAAAAAAGTCATAGTATAACAAGGCGTAAAAAGTCATTGTATAGTAAGGCACAAAAAGTCATAGTATAGTAAGGCATAAAAATGTTATAAAAAAGTCATAGTATAACAAGGCATAAAAAGTCATAGTATAGTAAGGCATTAAAAGACATAGTATAGTAAGGTGTAAAAAGTCATAATATAGTAAGCCATAAAAACGTTATAAAAAAGTCATAGTATAACAAGGCATAGAAAGTTATAGTATAATAAGGCATAAAAATGTTATAAAAAAGTCATAGTATAACAAGACATAAAAAGTCATAGTATAGTAAGGCGTTAAAAGACATAGTATAGTAAGGCATAAAAAGTCATAGTATAGTAAGGCGTTAAAAGACATAGTATAGTAAGGCATAAAAAGTCATAGTATAGTAAGGCGTTAAAAGACATAGTATAGTAAGGCATAAAAAGTCATAGTATAGTAAGGCGTTAAAAGACATAGTATAGTAAGGCATAAAAAGTCATAGTATAGTAAGGCGTTAAAAGACATAGTATAGTAAGGCATAAAAAGTCATAGTATAGTAAGGCGTTAAAAGACATAGTATAGTAAGGCATAAAAAGTCATAGTATAGTAAGGCGTTAAAAGACATAGTATAGTAAGGCATAAAAAGTCATAGTATAGTAAGGCGTTAAAAGACATAGTATAGTAAGGCATAAAAAGTCATAGTATAGTAAGGCGTTAAAAGACATAGTATAGTAAGGCATAAAAAGTCATAGTATAGTAAGGCGTTAAAAGACATAGTATAGTAAGGCATAAAAAGTCATAGTATAGTAAGGCGTTAAAAGACATAGTATAGTAAGGCATAAAAAGTCATAGTATAGTAAGGCGTTAAAAGACATAGTATAGTAAGGCATAAAAAGTCATAGTATAGTAAGGCGTTAAAAGACATAGTATAGTAAGGCATAAAAAGTCATAGTATAGTAAGGCGTTAAAAGACATAGTATAGTAAGGCATAAAAAGTCATAGTATAGTAAGGCGTTAAAAGACATAGTATAGTAAGGCATAAAAAGTCATAGTATAGTAAGGCGTTAAAAGACATAGTATAGTAAGGCATAAAAAGTCATAGTATAGTAAGGCGTTAAAAGACATAGTATAGTAAGGCATAAAAAGTCATAGTATAGTAAGGCGTTAAAAGACATAGTATAGTAAGGCATAAAAAGTCATAGTATAGTAAGGCGTTAAAAGACATAGTATAGTAAGGCATAAAAAGTCATAGTATAGTAAGGCGTTAAAAGACATAGTATAGTAAGGCATAAAAAGTCATAGTATAGTAAGGCGTTAAAAGACATAGTATAGTAAGGCATAAAAAGTCATAGTATAGTAAGGCGTTAAAAGACATAGTATAGTAAGGCATAAAAAGTCATAGTATAGTAAGGCGTTAAAAGACATAGTATAGTAAGGCATAAAAAGTCATAGTATAGTAAGGCGTTAAAAGACATAGTATAGTAAGGCATAAAAAGTCATAGTATAGTAAGGCGTTAAAAGACA